ATATTTGGAGGGTAAACAAACACAGGTCGGGTGTTCTTGCATTCCGTTACGTCGTTTTTCCGTAAATACTCATCAAAGAATCTGATGAGATTGGCGAATAATAACTAATTTATCATTTTTGCAAAAGGGCAACTTTGCACAGGGCTGTGCATGACGCAAAGTTTTTAAAAAGCTGTGTATGGAATTTTTTTAGATCTTGGATACATGCTCTATATAACAATTTTTTGACTACATTTTTTCAAGAACTAATTTTTGGCACAAACCTTGCTTGTAATAGTTTAAAAAATTGACATTTTTTATGGATAAGCTCGTAAAGAAATGTTGAATTTTGACAAACTTTCTACTGAAAAATCTCGGCCATTTCTGCAAAGGGCAAGATTTTTATATGCCTCAAAAATTACTCAAAATTTATTGGACGTTTTTTCAAAAATAGCCTCAAAATTTTGATCAATTAAGGGGTCTCATGGTCACTAATTTTGCAGCGAATTGCAAATCGAGTTTTCATTTTTAGATCCAAAATCCAACATCAAAACAAAATCCATAACTGTGATCGAAAACACCTCGCCATAACTCATCTTCATCCCATCGAAAAATGAGAGAAAACTTGAAAAAAACAAATAGAAGCGAGCGAAAGACTAAAAGTTGTCGCAACTCCTTCTCTTTTCTCATTTATTGCATATCAATTAAAATGATTTTCAATTAAAATCATTGTAAACATTTTGTGTAAAAAGTAGGCAGTGTTTGAAGAAGGGATTTTTTGAAAAAAACAAAAGAAAGATTGAATTTAAAAATCTCATTTCCACCTTGAAGTTAGACCAAATCCTCTCGCCCATTTCGAGGGAGAAAATGTCGTAGATTTACGAAAAGCGTCGAATTGATGACGAAAGACGTTGAAGGGTAAATTGAGTTATAGTGAAGCGATGCTGTAATAAAATGTGCCAACAAAATATACGAAAATAAAGAATTTTTAAAAAATTATTTTTGATGGAAGAGTGCTAAAGTTGTTTTCGAAATTTCGAAAGTATGACCCATCTAGGACATATCAATTTCAGAAACTTTTAGTTCATGTTTTTCTAGGGCAGTGGGATAATAAACGATCGGGAAAAAGACGATAGAAAATGAAGAGACGGGCAGAGAATAAAACCATTTCCTTTATAATATTTTTTAAACTTGTGCTTTGGCTTCCTAAAAATTTCAAGTTGCGGTTTGAAGAATCTTTTCGGAAGATGAACCATGAAAATAATTAGAGAGCATTGGAGAAAATAACTTTGTGTAGCTATGCCTCCTCTTACCTTCGATTTTGAAACAAAAATTTGAAAAAAAATTATTTTTTTGCATTTAAAAAAAATCTCAACAATGCCATAAAAAATTCTAATTTTTATTTGTCACAAGATTCGTCAAATTATCAGCACTTTTCACAAAAAAATCATACCGTACCGCATCAAAAAATGACCTCCAAACTCTGCTTCTAACCCCCTCAGAAACTATTAGGTTGGACGGAAAGTTCGTACGATTTTTTACTGCTGCTATTTTTTCTTGCGCTGATGGAAAAAGACAAACACAAATATATGGTGTCGGTAGGGGACAGGCATCCCTATCTAGCAGTACAACCTTCAGCCATCTTAAGCATTTACGAACTGAGAACTTAATTTAGACATTTACCCATCTTTGGTCCAAAATTACAAATCCTTGGCTGGTTTGTTTAATAAGGCCTACCAGGAAATTGTTTTGGCACTGCTAAAAAGCCTTCTTCTGTAGCTCTTAATATGCGTAAAGTCGCCGGGGACTAAATCAAAACATAGCCATAAAATTTGACTTTTGCAGGACCACCCCAAGTTTGAATATAACTGCAACCGCCGCTTTGCCGGTGCATTTCTATGTGTAAAACTATGATATGCAGAAACTAAGGACAATCCCTTACACTCAGCTACTCCTCAATAGCCAACTGTTTTGCCGTACGACATAATAGAACTAAATTACTTTTCTCAAAAAATCGTTGGTGAACTGTTGGATCATCCCGTACAATTCTAAAAAGAGCTCATAACATCTTTCCACTCCTCCCTTTCTTGGGTGCAAAATAGAGCCGCTTTATTGCTCTACTACCTCGTGAAACAATGGGCTACCATTGTTGACTGTCACAAAATTACGCGCATTGCTCTACAGCTATAATTTTTGGCAATTTTGTCTCTTTGCGGATAACCCGAGGCATCTGTGATCCGGTTTACTCATGTTGCACGTAAAGGGCTCTCTATGTGCCTTACTGCACCCTATTGCAGAGACAGACAATAAGAAATACGCGGAATAATAAGAAAAAGTTTTCATAGGGGGCCTTTGCTGAAGACTTGGTTGAAAGTGTTGCTATTATTTTATCCGACACGCTTTTTTATGATTTCTAATTGTGTTTAACGTAGTCAGAAAGACCACTGGACATTGCCTAAAAAGTTTCAGAGCTTCATCGAAAGCGATCTGGAAACTAGAGTTTGCGTTCTGGACCCTACCCGAAATAGCCGCAAAGCGGAAAACCTCTTATAATTAAGCTCGTTTTGGCGGAGCTAACGATTGGCACGTAGCATATAAATCTTCACACTGTACTCTTGTATATGCTAGGTATTTACGGTGGGCAATCGGTCTTGGCGCGAAAAAAATTAAATTGAAAGTTGGGTAAAAAATCGTACGAACTTTCCGTCCAACCTAATAAATTAGAAGCTCAACTTTAGGTTTCGCCCTCGTTATGAGCAACATTCTTCATTTATAACAAACTACCACCACATGTTAAAATAATAATAGATGGGGTCTGAAGAAAAAACCACTGCTTGGAAATTCACTTTGTTTATAACAAAAAAAATGCCGAAAAAAGTGTTCTAAACTTTAGAAAGGGAGAATTCTCCAGGCTAAAAACGGTTAACAATACATAACGGGAAAATTGGTTGTTTTGAAGGTGATTACAGTAAACAAAAGGATTTTTGTGGGGCTTGGAAGTAAACACGGCGAGTCTGGACTTGTGAAAAATATAAGCTATAATAAAGCTTGAAGGTCCTAAAAAATTCTGATTCCACACTCGGCGTGCATAGCAAATTGCATAAAACTTTACGTAACCTGAGACTAGAACTTGCAACGACATATATGAGTTACACAAAAAATTTTTGTTTGCTCTTTGCCGAAATCGCCAAGATTTTTAGTCAAAAAATGATTTTTCAGAATTTTGGACTACTGTATTTGACATATGGCGGTATATATTGCCTTTATCACTATCTATTTTGTTTAGATTTGCGAATAAGGTTTATTTTCAGGCAATATCAAACTCAGAAAATTTGCATGCTTTAGTGTATAAGCAGCATTTTTCAAGCATAAAAATTGAGATGGTTTCTGAAAAGCGTGAGCTAAAAATCGAGTATTTCAAAATTTTGTGCTTAATTTGTGTCACATCTTATTAAAATAAACCGGTTGTGTCAAACATTTCTGCTGCAGATTCTTCGAAACCTTCGAGTCAAAAATTTCGATGGTTTCAGCAAAGAAAGCGTAAAAAATTTCGCGGATCTTAAAAAATGCTGATCCAAAGCTGCCCCAGGTTTTCTTTCAGCCCCACCATCGGACTTCGACAACGTCTGATGACATTGTAAATCAGATTATTAGCGCAATAAACCACCGGTAAAAGCATCAGTAATAAGCTACCCCTTCTCCATCCGTTCGCCCTTCCTTTTCCGAACTCTTCTCCCCCCAAATGATTCAATCCACAAATCCCAAAAACAAACAGCCCGCTCTCCAACTCCCTAACGAGATGATATGTGATAAAGCTGACGCAGAACCCATATTTTGCGGTTTGGCCAGGTATATGGCGCTTAACGCCGCGCTACAATGATTGATCACGTCCGCAAAAAACGTGGGCGCTCCATCCCAAAAAATGAAGGAGAGGCTTGAAGATGGGTCGGAAATTAGTCGACGCCACTTAAGGAATTAACCCATTCAATTAAAAAATGGGAAAATGAACAGCGTTCACTGCAAAAAAACGGTGATTGTGTAATTGGGCTTGAAATATTTGGTACGAATGGACATTGGGAGGAGAAGGGTGGCTACTAAGGGCGATATGCGGAACTTACGTGACTTTTTCGGACAAATTGAAGCAAAATTAAACTTGTAGATTGAATTTATATTAGATGAAATGCAGATTTCATTTTGCAAGAAACTGTGTCCATATGTAAATTTTTTGTAAATTTTTTTATTGGAGAATTGCGTTGCACAGACTTCAAAGACACTTTTTTCCATGAGCTCTCCTTTGCAAAGCTCACAAAATATCTTTGATGTGCCTGAAAAGCATGAGCTAAAATCTCTAGACATTGATTTATGGCCTTTCTCCGTAGTCTTTGAGAATTCGAACACTATACGCAATAAATAGATTTTTCAGTAAGATTAAAAATCTATTCCTTATTATGTTGTACATGTTAAGATAATGTAAACCTTTCGAAAAATCGAAATACACTTTATATTTGCTTGGCAAACCACTCGAAATCCTTTCCTGTTCGCCAAACTCGAATTCCTCACGAAAAGAGCGCCCGCACGTTATCGCGGAAATAGTCGAGTGGGAATGACCCCCGCTTCGCATTCGAAAAGTCGCGGGTTCGATCCCGCCGGTTAATCAAAGGCGTTATTCTGTTTACAAAGGTAACGGTTTCAAGTACCGGCTAGATCGCTATAGCGATTCTTGATGGCACCTGTGTGGTCCTCCGTAGCACGGTGTTGTAGTAATCATGCTACACTCTTTTTGTTTCAACTTGTTCTGCTTCATTACTATATATGTATATATAGTAATAAAGTCCGATACGAAATGCGTATTTTACCCTGTATTCTCAAAAAAAGGCTAAAAGTTCAAAATAATTGTGAAAAATTAAATTTATTCAAAAAATCACACGTGGAAATAAATTAAATGACTATAAAATTAACTGTCTATCCGATTCACCATTTGATATGGAGAAGATAAAAAAAAAGACGAAAAGCGAGCTGGATCAGTAGAATTTGGCCTTATCGGGTTTGCTTCTGAAATTATTATTCCATTAATTACAAAATTCAACCAAACTCTCCTCAAAAATCGTTTCAAAAAACCAAAAAATGACCTAAAAATCTAAAAAATCCCAAAGCCTACCTCATATAAGTGAAAGCGAGGATAACTCCAGTCTGTATGAGTATCACAAGCAAAAAGAAGGTCGAGCTGGGTCCATTGCTCTCACAGACGGCCTGAGTGGTGCCTGCTTGATGTCCGCCAGGGGCATTGGCTTGATTTTGACGGACCAATCGGACTTCCGACTGGATATTTTCGAGGTATTGGCGGACCTGAGGGTCGATGCCTTGGGCTGCGACTGGAGCGTTGCCGGTTTGGACGGGGACTCCGCCACCCAGCTTTTGCTCGATATTGTAGGAACGAGTGAAGATCTCATTTATGTAGTTCTTCATGTCTCGGAGCTGGTTGGTGTGGTCGCGGAGAGATTGGATTATTTCGTTTTTCTCGTGTTGTTGTAGGCCTGGAAAGAATTTGAAAAGGTAAAATACGGTCAAGGGTTTTCCTAGTCACAAAAAAAAATTAGAGCCAAAAAAATGCTAAAAATCATCAAAACAGAGTAATTTTTTCTCAAAAATCAACTATTTTTCATTCTCCTGAACTCCCTCTTACCTCCAGTTTGAACAACCTGTCCAGCTTGACCTCCCTGCTGCACTGTGCCAATAGCACCAGTCCTCTGATGGACTTCATTCAACGTTTTTTCCATCTTCTCCATGATCCTGTAGATGGCACTCTGACTTTCGTGAATTAGCCTCAGTTGCTTGGTCTCCGCATCTTCGTAATACTTTCCTGGGTCATCCTCGTCCTCATGGACCTTATCGGGATGCTGTTCCTTGAACTTTTTCTTCTCCTCTTCGAATTCGTGCATCTGTTTTTCGAATTCGGCGTCATACTTTTGCCGCTCATCTTGAGGAATGGCGCGGCTGGCTTCGCGTTGCGCATGAGTGGCCAAAGAGTAGACGCTGAAGTCGACAACATCATGATCATCGGCCAGACCACCAGTGGCAGCGGACACTCCGAAGAAACCTCGAGCAGGGAGGAAAACATTCTCGGCACGAAGACAAGTCTCATATCGCGGTTGAGGAGTCAAACCGTCGGAAAGATCGACAGTGAGGATGTTGTTGAGGTATTGGATGCGAACTCGGACTGGGTAGGGCTTATTACGGAAGTCTCGTTGACATCCTGCAACAATAAAAATTTTCAGAACGGGACATTCACCACATTTTAGGTATCAAATACGTTCGATCCTAAAAGTCAACAAACAAAAGTAACTCTCGCTTACCTCCCAAAATTTGATCAGAACCGTCGTTGTGATGGTTGTAAGCCTTGGTTCCGTCATTCACCATCACTGAGACATATGGATTATCTTTTCTTCCATCATTATCAAAGGAATCAAACATGATCGCCAAGCCATTCCAATGGTCGTTCGCGCCGAAAACAGGTCCTAGCGTTCCCTGACTAGCTGTGTACCTACAAATATGGCCATAAAATAACGTTCGCGAGGACTTTTGATGTTATCCATAGGGTGGTACTAAAAACAAAAATAAAAAATGAAAAAATATTTACCAGACGGCCAAACCATCAGCACCGATTCTCTGTCCAGTAATCTTGAAAGCCACATCGACTTCGAAGTTCTCGGCTTCAGTGTAAGCTCGCTTATTCCAGGCGATTCCTTTCCTCGACCTCATTGATGGAGCCAACCGAAGTTGTTCCGACGAAGCGATAGCATCACCCGTAACTACCCAAAAAGGAATCGTCCCATCTCGTTGTGCTAGATTCGGTGCTCGGAATGAGTGCTTATACTCGAACCGACGGTACATCTGATTTGGATTCGGGACATGTTGCTGGGAATGGACGAAACTCGTCACTGACAGGAATATAAGCCACCCGGTTGAGAGTGACATTCTGAAAAAAGATTTAGTTACTCTGAAGTGGCTATTCACATCAAAAGTTTAACATTATACTTCCAAATAGACTCAGAATCGAAATTTTTTCATGTACAATATAACAAGAACAAAATCGTTTCGCGGAAGTGACCGGAACCTCTCGAAACAGGTCAAAAAATAAAAACAAAACGAGTTCCACGTCAGTCTATTGGTAAAAATATCTGAAAAGACCTATATATTGTACATGAGGCAAGTATAATATAAACCTTGATTTCGGATAAACCTCAAAAGATCCGACCTATACATTGTTAAAATATGTCATAACACTTCACAATCCACCCATAAAAGGAAATTTACAGCGCTGAAAACACGTTTTTTCGTGTAACAAAAAGATTTATTTTCCCATGAGCTGGACTAGACATAAACTCGGAATAAATTATTATAAATCCCTAGAAAACACTGCGTCGAGAAGCAACATTCGGTGGGAGATTCCTCCACGCGTACCTTTGCAGCTCAAAACCGAGAGACCAGCGAGAGCGGCTGTAGGGCGAACAAAGAGGTGGGCGATCCAAAATACACGTAAGACAAATAAAAATAATTCAATTTCAAGGGAAATTATAAAGAGATAAATTCTAGTCTGCTTCCAATGAATTGGGCCCATTTGACGCTTTTGGGTGGCCATAAAAGGTTGGGGGAAAAAGAATTGGCAAAATTGGAAAAAGGACATTTTATACGATGGAACATGTAAAATGCGAATGAAATACGGTAATTTACGGAACAACTTGTTTAGAACCGGGTAAAATTTGTGTAACCAGTAAACAGAACGTATTTATATCCCCAAAGATTTATTTCAGCTGTAAAAGTTCCAAAAATTATATTACACATGACTCAAAAAAATTCATGTTTAGCAAAGCAAATCCTTCCCGCCAACTTGAAAACAAAATTTACTTCTTAGAGAATCTCATACAATAAAACTTAGGTCTTTATATTACACTTTTTTATACATAACAACCTTTTCATGTATAGCGTAATCACCGGTATTAATGCTGACTATATAATGATGTAGAACTTCGAGCAGTTGGGTCCAATGTATTTGGCGACTGGGGCTAATTTGTGAGCAATTACTTCATCCACCGGGACTTTTTCAAACTCCTCCGATGTGTATTTTATGGGTTGGCAGTCGTAGACGGAGCCTTCTGGAGCGGGTGGGGCGTCTTCTACGAATGGGGCGAACTCGCCGTTATTCGCGTTCAATTTTTTGAGGCATTCTGGGAGAGGGACCTAAAAATAAAATTTATAACAAGGTGTGACAAAAAAAATTTCAAAAATTTCAGAATTTTTTTTTTGAGAAAATCGTATTTTTCACTTACCCAATGATGTGTCTTGTCGCATAAAAGCTCACTCGGTCTAAATGCTGCCTTGTACCGCATTTTCCGACAGTTGTGGACATAATAGCCCATATAATAAAATCGGAAGTTGGGTTTGTGTTTCATAATCCGTCTGACTAGTTCAATTTCCCTGAAAATCAACATGTCAGCTCAAAATCAAACAAAATTTTTCCTCTAATTATTCCACTACATTTTTTAAACGTTTTCCTACCATTTCCATCCATCAACAACATAATTTTCATCAAAAAATTACCTTATCTTATACTTGACCATGTCCCACCACTCAAACTTCTCAAAACCCCGCTTAACCTTCATAAATCAACCCAAATCTCTTACCGTAACGCAGAGTATGTTCCAAAATTTAGGAACTGATAATCCGGATCATAATAAAAATATGCCGACGATAAGCAATTTGGTAAAATGTCGATCACACCCACTGCTACAATCTTCCCATCGATTAGGTACTGTAAATGATGCGCGCCTTCCGAGGGGCCTCCAGGGAAGAGGGGTTCAAAGTCCCTGGGTACAAAGGGATTATCCACGAGGAAGCTTTGGAAGCCCTTCTTCGTGCAATCCATGTCCTTATGAATAATGTTCTGATACTTCTTGTAGACGAGGAAACTTTCCTCAAATGAGTCGGCAAACTCTTCCGTGCCGGCGGACACTATTCGGAGCTAAAATCAAGAAGATTTAAGGCTATATTGAGCCTATTACCTCAAGTTTATGTTTGAAACCCTCCTCGTAATTGACGATATAATCTTCGATCCGTCTTTGGCGCGCTCTTTCCCGTTCTTCTCGCTGCCGCTGGAACTGAAACAGCAAAAAAAGTTATCAATCTCAAAATCCATAATTTTAATAGTCAAATGAGAAATTTCGACCCCGTATTTTACCCACCTCTTTTACGTCGATTCCCTTTTCGGTCATCCGTTTGATGGCCCGTTCTTTTCTCATAATTTTCCGCTTTTGGCCAGCATTTGGCCTGGGCTCCGTTCGTTGAGGAGTCGGAAATTTTGGGCTTCGAGGGCCCGCATAAGCTGCCGATTCCGCCTTATTCGGCTGAGGTTTCACTTCCGATTTTTTATCGAATTGCAAGAAATCCCTCCAGATTCGGAGGACCCGTTTTTGTGAGCGAGATAATGCAAAATGAGCGGCGTCTAGTCTGAAAACACCTTATTCGTCATAATCAATAAGATGTTTTACCTAAAACCAAAAAAAAACTTAATTTCTTACCTTATAGTATATAAAGGACAACAAGTTTTCTCCATTTCCGGTTTGTAAAAGTACCTACCCGACCTGAAATAATTATCTGTAATACCCTAACACAAAGTATAAAAAAATACCACAACAATTTCAATATTATACATGGTTCAAAAAACTGAAATTCAAAAAATCGTCAAAAATCGACCTAAATCAACAATAAAAATCAAAATAAACTCTGACCGTCTCCAGCCGTAATCACAGAACATTTGGTATTCAGCAGGAGTCACTCGGAATCCCCATAGGCCTGAAAACTTCAATTAATTTCAAACTTTCGACCAATTTTTCATTTCTCAACGCCTCTGGGGACCGATGACCGCGCTTTTTGGCATAACCAAAAAAATAAAAAGGTATTTTATAATATGAAGAAGAATTTACCAACTCCAGCCGGAAGCCATTAGGGTAAGAACGTCCTCCGTATAGACACGAATGGCGCCGATGCCTGAAAATAATTTATTTTCAGGTCAAACCTATCCCGTATACTTTCTAAATGTGAGCCGATGCCCAGAGGCGTTGTGCAAAATGTCAAAAACTTTAAGAAACAAGTCAAAAATTGTAGTGCAAAAAGAGAAAATATCCAATTTAGCGCCTAAATGTCAAGTACAATATAAAAAAATGCACGTACCAAAACAAACGGATCGCTTTCCATCCCCCGAAGTTCCATCATCCTCGCTACCATCTGGAGTTGTCTCCGGCGCATCCGGATTCCGGCAATACCCGCAGTTTTCGGCCGATTTTCTGGAGCTGAACCCAATGTACTGGATGACTGACTGCTGGGTCAGCCAGTCCATAATGGCCTAAAACCTTCATACAACATCTCAAATTCTTTTCAGATATGATTCCGAGTCGAACGGATACTAAAAAATGCAATTCCAAAGTCTAATAAGTTTATCAACAATAAACAAGGTAAAACAATGAATCTAATGGCAGTAAAATCCTAGCTGGTAGCAGCAACTGTTCTTTTCTTCTTTTCCTCCTTCTTAGCCATCTTTTCGGCCTAAAAACAAAAAAATTATACATTATCCATGACAGATATCAAGTATAATGTCAAAACCATACCTTCGCCTCCTCAGCCTCCTTTTGCTTCAACATAACCTCAAACCGTGGATCACTGGGGTCAATCCAGTACCCAAAGTACTCTTGAATCTCTTGCATACGCCTTTCATTTGCCAATTCTTCCGGCGTTTTCTCGGCCGGGGGTGCGTTCAGGGATTCCTTATATTCAGAGAGGACTTTGTCATAATCTTGGAGGTTCTTCTTCACTGTTTCAATGCTAAACAAATAAACTCATTAATAATCCAAACAAAAAGCAAATTGATAACGGTTTTCACTGCTTTTTCCATGTTTTCACACCTAAAAATCCAACAAAAATATGAGCAAAGAAACTTACTGCTTTCGTTTTCTAGCTTCTTCTTCCTTTGCGATCTTCTGGGCCAACTCAACAGCCTCTTTAGCAGGTCGATAAAACTTTAGCTCGTTGATCTCATTTATTTCCTGGAAAACGATTTTCAGACCTTATTTTACACCAATCCCCGGGTTACCTCCACTGTTGGCCATAATTTTCCCAATTCAATGTTGGCAGCAAGACCATAGCGTCCAAATTGTCGACCAAGCCACACTTTATCTCGTTGCTGCTCATAGTTCAACGGGGGGATCCCACCTTCGATTTGGGTTTGATGAATTTCCTTCAGCCTATAGAATAATATAACGCGTTAATAGGACTATGTAAACGCAAATTTACGATTTATACGTTCTAACAAATTCTCAAGAGATAATTAGGTCAAATCTATTTTATCGAAGGCAAAACATTGTTTTAGACATATCTCCCGCGGCATAATAAAAAACATATAAAACAGATGTAACAATCAATAAGAAACCATCCAAAATCCCTCTCAATCTCAACTAAAGACATCAGTTTGTGAGTACTCTAGTTTTTCCGCCTAAATCGTCAAAAAATCAAGTGTAATATCCGCTTACCCGCTGGGAATACGTTTCTTATTCTCGGAAGAATATCGCCGAACACCGGCCAAAGAACGACGCCACAACATGATCGAGAAGGTGTGAAGAGAGATCTCGAGGCATGGAAATAATTTTTACGGACAATTAGACACAATGCCAAGCTTTGTTTTCGGGGCGAAACACTGCAAACTTGGCCACGGAAGTGATTACCGGCAAGTTTTTTTCAAAAGTTGACCGAAAATGGAATTTCGAAGTCGTTTTTAGTACAAATTCTGTAGTTATTCTCAAATGTGTGCAATGAAACGGTTGGTTGGCGGCTTCTTTGTGTTTCTTCTTGTCATCCCTTCGTTTTGTGATGACAATGGCCCTTCTGTAAGTTTTGGTGGAAAAATATAGTCAAAAATACTTTTGTTTGTACTTTTTGAGACTCCTGGAGGTAAAAAAATCGGATCAAAATGCAAAAATAGTTTCTTCCGTTGCCGGGAATCGAACCCGGGCCTTGCGGGTGAGAGCCGCAAATCCTAACCACTAGACCACAACGGAACGGTTGTCAGGCATTGATTATTTGGTTCAAAAAATTTAGAAAAAGGAGGAGTTTTGATTTGAAAAAGGGCTGTAAAAAGAAAGTTAAGAATTTCACACCGTTTTATATTGCCCTACATTCAGAAAGAAGCCCCGCTCCGCCAGATAAAACTTCCATTTGCGTTGAAAGAGAACCAACTGTATGTGGCCATCGGTCCGATGTTTGTGGTCCTCGCAATTCAATTGGGCTTTCTAATCTTCTGCATTGTGGCAATGAAGGCCCAAATGCCCAAAATTCCAAGTGAAAAGGAGCTGGAGGTGCTCAGAGAGAAAGATCACGAAGCCGCGAAGAAGAGGAAACCTAAGAAAAAGGAGACTGGTGGTCCTCCGGTAAGTGAGAATCAATTTTTTTTTTTCAAAAATCAAAATTATTTTTTCAGAAAGTTGAATTCGTTTTCGAAGACGAAGGAGTTTTGGTGGAGGATGTGGCCACAATGGTCCCAGAAGAAAACGAGAATGTTGAAGGTGGCGCCGACGGTCAAGCCAATCAAGAAGCGGCTAATCCACCCCTCGCAGGGGCCCCTGTAGCTTTTTGAAATGAAAATAAAAATAATGGAAATTTAAACGTTGGTGATGACTATGAGCAAAAGTAAACAAAACAAATTTTTTTTATTTATTATTAGTAAGTAAACACAAATCGATTTTTCACAGCGCATCTTATAGAACCAAGTCCACTCTTTTAATTTCTTCTTCAAAAAGTCTTGCTTGAGGATGCTTCTGTAGACGTTCACGGTAATCTTCAAGGAACTTTCTTCCCTCCTCAGACTTGGCTCCTTGAGCAAAAATTCCATAGCGAACTTCGGGGGATTGGCTGAAATTTTTTTTGAGAAAGATATGTATAGTATGCAAATTGCCGGCCATGCACTTACTAAGAGCAATAAAAAAGGTCTTGATCCGGAGCACACATCTCTTCAAATTCGTTGAAGAATGCTTGAGTGCGGTTAACTACATTCTCAACCTCTAACTTGACGCCTCGGGTGAAAAGAGGGCGGGCCAGAATTCTGAAGAGTTTAAGATTTTAAAGTTATGGTCTTGGGAAGATATCAAGTGTAAAATGAAAATTCACCGGCTATAGACAGTGTCTAATCCGACCCAATTGTTCATCAAGCTGTAAATGGTATGCTCATCGGTCTGAAATGTGAAAAATCACCTTAAAGACATGGGCTGAATACGGCGTTAAAGTGTGCTTGATATTGTATGCATTATGTCAATTTAAGATCGTCGAATACTCACCAAGTCATTGATGAAATCGGCCAGCAATGGATCAATAATATAATCATAGCCTTGGGCGATCCTTTCGAACACTTTCTCTCGATCGCCGTATTCATTCAGGACCAGAATTTGATTAACTGGCGACAGTTTGACGATATTCTTATGTTCTCTCACTTTTTTCTGAACCTTTTCATCCAGTTCGACAAAGGCGAAAGTTTTGAATTCGCTGTTGAATAACAGAGTGTCTGTTGTATTCAAAATGACCGGATCTGTCCGAATATCCACTCGGATCTCCTCTAATTTGTCCAAATTATAGGCAAACAAAGGGACAAGCCAGGTGGTTGAGCCGCGGAAAGGAGTTTGTTCAATCACATACTGACCTTGCTCGTTCAGAGTGACATTTACTGTTGGAATACCGACTTGTCGAATGTAGGGATACAAGTATTCTGTGGTAAAGTTGAAGCCAAGCGGTGGGGCACTTTGTAACGCCTGAAATTAATTTTTATAGAGGTAATGGGGTACCTTATCAAAAGCTCCTGCCAATGTGTCTGTATCAGCATTTCCGAATCTATTTTCCGTCAAATAAATGTTCAGAGCTTTGTAGAAGACTTCTTCCGTGAGCAAGTTCTTAATCGAAGCGAGAATAGTGCCGCCAACTCCATAGGTGATGTCTGTAAGAATTTGTAGTTTTAGAGCGATAATGCGGCGTCTTTTGGGTACTCAGCAATTCTTTGATTTGCTATAAATAAATAAATACTCACCGTCAAACTGACTTTTGTTGTCTTCAATAGCATGTGAAGCGTCTTTGGCAATGTCGCGCACAGCGTAGTACTGTCTAATGAACTCAAGTTTCTGAAGAACGTTTGCGTTTTACGTATTCTGTTACAGTGGCGGACCTGATGCAGTGGCAAAAAACGTACCATTTTGCATTTAGTAAAGGAAAAAAATATCGCAAAATACCTCCCTTCTCAAAGCAAAAATGCCCCGCTTTGAAGAGCGCACCCTTTCCTTTACGAAGAGAGCGTTAGCAAGAATGCATCCGAAAATCTTCGCGAGCTTTTTGATTGCAAGAAGGGAGGTATTTTGCGACATTTTGGTTCCTTCCTCCACGCAAAATGGTGCGTTTTTTGCCATTGGAGTACTATTGTATATTATAAATGGAAGTTATTTCTTGGTAAGCAGATTTTTACGGAACCCCGTAGATTTTTATAGAATCGCTTTCCCTCACAATCATTCTCTGAAATTTTGCCAGCCGTTCTACATATTCAGCGACAACTTACTGCGGCATATTTGACATGACCTATGTCTTGAAAGAGTTCCGTTTGGAAGAATGTAGCAAAAGATTCATGCAGGTATTCCAAACCCCATCGCTTGGCCGTGACCAAGTTCCCGAACCTGCAAACTGTTTGTAAATTAATTTGATTGCGTATTACCATTGATGTGAAGTCTCATGCGCGACAATCATAACCCTTTTGTATATATGAGCAAGGTCTTCGAGGTACGGGGCCACCAATAGGCCACCGGTGTAAATGATAAGGCCATAGTTTTCCATTGCGCCTGCGGAGAGAGTGCGAGCGTCAAGGTGACCTGAAATATACGGAAAACAACTGTAAAATAACTTGGTATCCTACCCAATTTGTCCAAGGGATACTTGACCCCAGTTAGTTGCTCCAAAACTTCAATGAATCTTGAGCTAAATGTGGCCGTCGTTAGTGTTCGAAGTGGATCTTTGTAGGTGGTATAAACTATCGACTGGAATTTATAATAGTAACTGAATTTTGGGAGTCTTTGACATACCGAGTCGGCCACCATTTCGGTAAAATTTCCAATAGCAAAAGCCAATAAATAGGTGGGCATTTTAACCGTTGTATTAAAGACAGTTATTGCTTGAGCGCTGAAAAAAGTTTCGCATTATTTCCTAGCTCCTATTTAGAGCATGTGGCCAAGCCTTTGGCCTATGAATTGTCCTTGTTGGATGCTTCACGACGATGACTATTTTTTTAAACCTACCCGGCATCGGTTTCACTTATAGGGTACTCATTACTCAACGCTTTTGACCCTTTAGGATGATGTAATGTAACTTGGAAGGTCGATTTGAATGAGGGATCATCGAAACACGGGAATACGGTCCTCGCTTTGATCTCCTCAAATAATGTCGCCACTAATGCTCTAAGAGATCATCAATAAAAACACGATAATATTTGACCTACGTCTTTTCATTATCATCATCAACGTAGTCCACATAGTAGATACTATCGCCGCTATTGCCTATTTTTCCGTTGAATTCAAAAGATAGAGTAAGGTTTTTGGAGACTTCCAAGGCCTTGTCTGTCGTTAATATCAAGTGATCTTCTTTAGTGTGCTCCTGTTTGGTAATTTTGTATTCTGTGGCGCCGTCGGTTAGATGGATTGACGTGATATTTACAGCGGAGTTCAGTTCAATTTCATTGGTTTGATTCGAAACCGACAATACAATATGAACGCTGCCTGTGAAGGTATTTAGCTTGTCTGAAAACCATGTGTACTCTGAAGGATTTTAAGTTTGCAACAACAGATTTTTGACAATGAGATGAGGGAACCTTTCACATTTTCCACTACGCTTTTTCGAAAATAATATCGTCACAGCGAAAAGAGATATGGCTAAAAAGAAATAAGTTTACCCTCCGGAAACTTGTATCCCTTGAAAGCAAAAGTTGGATCAAGCGTTAAGTTGTAATGGTAAACCTCTACAGTATGCGGTAGACTGTCATTGGTATGGTCAATATGTGCAAACAACGGTTGAAATGGTTTCGATCCATCATCTTTCCGTAATATCGCTAAAATCGGTGTCATGACATGTACATGTCATAAAACTTGCCGATCAACTTACGCTTCAAACCGTAGACAAAACTACAGAAAAGCAACAGGAATAAACAATACTTGAGCATCTTTGACCTCATCCGAATGAATACCAGTTAATAGTAAAGATACGTATAATTGCATTAATTTATACATGATTGAAGATCACATAAATGCTACAACCTTTTTGTGATAAAAGGAGTGCCGATAATTAAGCCTGGAAATGCCGGTTGTGTTATTTAAAGTTTTTTCGAAATGTGCTTGACCCAGTAATGTTTCTTGTTTGATTTCAGTTCATACGTTCATATTCCGCTTTAGCAAAGGTCAAAAAATTTTGGAAATCGCTTGTCTTGAAATGAAAAAAATCTTACTGCGGAAGCAAAATTTTTTTGTCGAAAGGTCAACTTCAAGTCAACTTTTTTATACCAAAAAGCTGACGATTTTTCGTTTTTACCTCAAGATCTCATCGAATCGGATCAAGACATGATTTTAGTTGGGCTGGGCCAAGCCATCATCTTCAATTTCTCTTAACTTTCAGAAGCCCGTAGAACTTTTGAAGTTTCGGTCTCAAATTTATAAACTAAAAAAAAATTTCTTCATTGTTACTCGAATTAATTTTTATATGTATCTTTATTCGCAATATGTAAATATCTTTTTTTGATTCTTTACTTTTCAATTAACCCAAGATATCCCCAACCCTCATGTATTCCGGCATAAAAAGTTGTCCTTCGGGATACGCAGCATTTTCAAGGCGTTCATGGTAATTCGAGAGGAAGGCCAAGCCATCTTCCGATTTGATTCCTTGTGTGTACACACCGTATCGGTACTCAGGAATAATTCTGCAAGAGCAATATATCTGTGGCATTAATATCTTACTTTGCGCAGCCATGCAAAGGCTTTTTTGCGTCGCAATCTTTGACAAATTGATCGAACAATGTCTGTGTAAGATTAACGATTTTTGGGACTTCAAGCTGCACAGCGCGGAGGAGAAGATGTCGCCCGACATGTCTGAAAACGGGGTAAAGAAAATGTTGTTTTTGATATCATTTCTACCTGGCTTCTGTTGTGTTCTCAAGGATGAACTTGTCGGCAAGCTTGGTCACTAGATCCTTGTTATTCTGAAATTACAAAAATTTTGCAGATGCGGGAGCTATGTAAAAGGTTATTCAAGGTGGAAGGCTCTTAAACATGGCCTTAAAAACTCCTTTTTCTAGAACAAAAAAGTTCCGTCAATCGATGTAGATTAACCTGACACACTTTAAAGCCGTCTCTAATGAGAGCACTTACAACATTCGGAAGATACTGAGCTGCAAATGGATCAACTTCATAGCCATTTCCTTCGACAATCCTTGCCAACACTTCTTCCTCACGCCCTTCATAACTGAGCACGGCCACTTGGTTTTGAGCTGACAATTTAGGGAGATTCTTGTGTTTCACAACTTTTTCCACGATCGTATCATCTAGATTAACAAAAGCAAAAGTTTTGTAATTGCTGTTAAAAAGCAATGTGTCCGTTGTATTCAAAGTCACCGGGTCTTTCCGAACATCCACTCTGATCTCCTCCATTTTGTCCAAATTGTAGATGAACAAGGGGACAAGCCAGGTGTTTGAATTTTGGAATGTAATTTGTTGAATTACATATTGATCTTGCTCGTTCAAGGTGACATTTACCGTTGGAATTCCAACTTGTCTGATGTAGGGTTTCAAGTATTCTTCGGAGAAGTCAAAGCCCAGACTTGGGGCATCTTTGAGAGCCTAAAAGTGATCTTTTCGCTAGATCCTGTACTCTTGAATAGCCTTGGAATATAAAATCGTTGAAAAAAGACCTTGCTAAGACCAATTTTGTTACCCGTTGCAAGGCCTTACCTCGTTAAAAGCCGCTGCCAATGCATCAGTGTCAGCGTTGCCAAAGCTGTTGTTTTTTAAGTACGTATGAAGGGCGGAGTAAAACACTTTCTCGGAAACCAGATTTTTAATGACCAACAATAAAGCGCCGCCAACTTCGTAAGTCATTTCTGTTAGAAACAAAGGTACTCTTTCAAAATCACTTAAAGACTTACCATCAAAGTAGCTGACCTTGTCCTCAATGGCATGCCACGCTTTTTCCGCGAAGCCACGGGCATCTTTAAACCTTTTTATAGTGTCCATTCTCTGCAATTTATTTTAATGTATTGATATATGTTGTCTAACAAGGGAAGTCACTTAAATCACGGATCGATTTTGTAAAACGACTGTTACAGCGATGGGGAGGGTAGGACGGAGATACCAAATCTGAAAACCGTTACCTCCACCGGCCTCTGGGAGCCGAGATAATCGACCAAAAAGTTTGACCAAATTCGTCCAAACATTTCTTCCTTCCGAAAGAAGAAAAGCCAGCGAACCGAATGGTCCGGTGGTCTGGAAGCGCGCTTCCGGGCCTTAACCTTTTCAAGTTCGAATCCGCGCGGGTCTCGAGCTTGTGAAAAATTTATAAAACAGTTGATGTAATCCAGTAAATTTACTAGCAATTTATTTTTAGATTTTATGGCTATTTTACGGTAAATTTTCAACCTGGAAAGTTCAAATAGTTTGGAATTCGCATTCAAATAATTACTCTGAAATTTCGTAAAATATGCAAAAAATCAAAAATTTTATCTTACCGGTAAATTTACTGGATTACAGGAAAAGTTTAAAAAACTATTTGACCCATGCGGATTCGAACCTGAAAAGGCCAAGGCCCGGAAGCGCGCTTCCAGACCACCGGACCATTCGGTTCTCTGCCCCCTTCTTTCGGAAGAGAGGACTACTCGGAGCAACTTTTTTTGGTCAAACCTTTTTGGTCGATTATCTCGGCTCCCAGAGGCCGGTGGAGGTAGCGGTTTTCAGATTTGGTATCTCCGTCCTACCTTCCCCATCGCGGTAACAGTCGTTTTTAAAAACCGATCCGTGACTTAAGTGACTTCCCTTGTAAGCAGGATGCGTATGCAAAGTTGCAGTAATGCGAGCTCACTTACTACTGCATAATTGAAAAGATCAATGTTTTGCATAACTTCGGTCTCAAACAAGTTCGCAAACGACTCGTGAAGATATTCCAAGCCCCATCTCTTACCTGTCACCAAATTTCCAAACCTGAAAATTATTTATCAAAACACATGACATGGCACTCTTGCGCCCTCCGTTACCATTGATGAGAAGTCTCATGAGCAATGACATTGATTCTCGTAAACTGATCGACCAGATTCTCGTCGTACTTTGCATTCAGATATTTATTGTTGTAGGTAATAAGCCCGAAGTTCTCCATTCCTTCTGCCATCATAAACATTACATCGAGATGATCTAAAATCATAGTATATATACGCTTGCTACAGTGTATCTATACCCAATTTCTCCAATGGATACTCGATTCCGGTCAAATTCTCCATAATGTCGACAATCTTGGCTGCATAAACGGCGGTTTCCTGATTGAATTTGGGGTCTTTGTGAATGGAAATTACTCTAGTCTACAATTGCTCATATATCCGACAAGTTTCAGATTACCTACCAAAACTCCTCGACTTGTTTTGGCCGAGACTTCGTAAAAGCCGGAGGCGGCAAGGGCAAACAAGTACGATGGCATTTTTGGGGTGATTCCGAAGACGGTAATAGTCTGCTGGCTGGAAATACAACAAGTGTAACTTATATTTCCATGAAGCAAAAAAACTAGCAAAGTTGAAGAAAATTGTGGCCATTACCCTTCAAAGTTACAGCCCTTAGTAATCGGTCTTACCCGACATCTTTGTGACTCAAAGCTTCTGCATTATTTAATGCTTTCGACCCTTTCGGATGATATAATGTAAGCTGGAAGGTTGATTTGAAAGACGGGTCATCAAAACATGGAAACGCTGTCCTCGCTTTGATCTCTTCAAATTGTGTCGCCAGAATAGCTCTGAAAAACGTATCTCTGTAAAACAAGCCTTCGTAAAACGAAACCCTTTTTTAGCCAATAATTTTTTAACCGCTTTTCTGCCCTGTATTTTAAAACTAAAAAGTCGTACGTCTCTTGATGATCTTCATCAGTGATATCCACAGAGTAAAGTCCTTCCCATTCCTTGTTGAAGTGTCCGTTAAATTCAAAGGATAATGTGTAATTTTTAGCAACTTCTAACGTCTCCTTCGTATGTATTATTAAGTGGTCTGCCGCAGTATGTTCTTGTTTTGTGATAGTGTACTGAGTAGTACCGTCAGTTAGATGTGTGGAGGTTATATTCACGGCAGAGTTCAGTTCAATTTGATTGATTTGTTGTAGTGGCGAGAGAAAGATTTGGACTTGTCCGACAAAAGTGTTCAACTTTTCTGAAAGGTGATATTGCCAGTTGCGGGTGTCTTGAGATGCTTAAAATTTGGGCCCGCGTTCATAAAAATTTCAGCGTAGCACTTGGAATGCTTCTTCTTGAGTCTGAAGATCGTATATGTACGAGCAGTGACAGCCCGTAACTTCGCTTCAAGTGAGGCCTTAACATAATCTAAAGTATTACTTTACCTGCCGGGAATTTGTATCCCTTATACGCAAAGGTCGCATCCAACGTCAAGTTGTAATGATAGACCTCAACCTTATGCGGCAAGCTGTCATTTGTGTTGTCGACATCCGGGAATGGTCGAGCCCCATTACGGCGGTCTTGTCTTCGTGGAGAAGCTAAACTTTGTCTTCGATATGCACATAAACCTACGTCTGAGACCGAAAACGCAAAGGCAGAAGAACAATAAAACAAGAAGATGTCTTGTCATTTCTTCTGACGTAAATGAATGCAGTTTTTGGAGAGGTTTTATGTTATTTATATTCAAATTATTTAAAGTTTGTTGAGAACTATATTTAAACTTTTTTAGAAACAAATAAGATGCCGCCGTTAAATTTTAGAAATGATATTTTTAAAATGTTTTGTGTGTAGTGTGAATGGTATTTTGATTTTATTTTGAGAGTATGCGACAAAAGTTGTTGTTTTTCAGTATCGTCTGAAAAGAGAAGAATGATACTTAGCGTGATCTTTGAATAACTCGAATGTGGCCTCAAGATGCAGACTAAAATATTCATTCATTGTCAAGCGATAGACATACCGTAAAGGCAACATTTCCAAGCTATGTCGCGGAGAAAATTGTGTCGGCTTTTTATCATCGTTTGCTACGCTTTTTTGTATCATTGTTAACTTGGCGACGGCCTCGAAACCCACTAGTTGGAGATGCTCGCCGCAACCTCCTTTTCACGCCAGCTATGTCTAGACTAGTACCCCATGAAATATTCGTCAAATTGCTCCGTTCTGCTGCGATCACTGGCTCCTCTTACGTTTCAAAATAACGTCAAAGTTGTTGGTTCTCCTAAGCTGTTTTGAATTTCTCCATCGATTACGTGGAGATTATGTATGTAAATCAAGGGCAAAGGGTAGACGGCAATAGGGATTGGTTTGGAACAGGCGACGAGCTTCAAATCCAAAAACTTTTTAATCCGTTCCGTCAAGGAAATCGGGCCAAAAATATTTTTTTGGTGAGCTACTCGCCGAAAGTTGAAGAATTTGGAACATTTCGGTTTTGTGGAGAGTCGTTTGTTTTTAGAGTCTGATATGACAAGATGAATGCGCTTTTCTTGAAGAAGAAGTTCCTCCTCGGCTTTTTCTGTAAGTTCATGTACAAAAAACTTGATAAAGGCAGTGTACGATGGCGATACTCATGCATGCTTCCCCCAATTTTCGACGGAAAAATCTCGGTTGTTTTAGCGAAGCGCCTGCTAAGAATTTGGGACATGCCGTATAAGAAAAGTCTACAAACTAAATGAATGTTAGTTAAAGATTACATACTATTTATTTGCTAGGGTGTACGGGATTCCCAGCTAGCATTTTCCAGGGACTAACCAGCTTTTTTGATCGGAAGCTGTCAAAAAATTTTTACTTTTTTCTGATTTTTTTTTGAAAATTTCGAATTCAAAAACTTATGAACAAATCTCCTTTTCTGTCTGATTTTTTTACTTTAGTCATTGTCCTCCTCACCGTTCTCCTTCTCCACGACCATCTCAAGAACCACCGCACTCTCTACAACATCGATTATGTCCCTCAAAATCTTACCATCGGAGAATTCGAGAAATTGTTGGAAATGGAAAAAGTTAATCTCAAAATTGGCACAACCGAATTTAGCTATAATATGAGTGCACCACAGAATAGAAGCGAGTGTAATGGAGTGGAAATGGTCGTGTATACGATGACGATGACTGATCTTGGCTCGTTTCATCGGAGGAAGGCAATCAGGGAAGTTATCAGCACAACGGTACGCTTCAACGGCTTCATTATAAAACAAATTTTTTAGACGAATCGCTCCGTTCTTTTCCGTTTTTTCGTCGGCAAAACGGATGATCTGGATCTGAAACTCCTTGTCCCCGAGATGATGGCCTACGGTGACATCGTGTACTACGACCATGTTGACACATATCGCGAGAACTTTGTGAAATGGTACAGCATGCACGAATACCATCTGAGGAATTGTCCGAACGTCAAATATTTTGTGAAAATGGACGATGACGTCACTGCTGATTTTGGGCGACTTTTTGATTGGATTGATGCTGATTTTGATGGGCTGACCGCGAATCAAACCCAGTATTTTTTGTGTCATCGAATGCATGGGTTTTGGCCAATTCGGAATAAGAATAGTCGATGGTAAGTTCATTGTTCACGGGAGCGATTTTCGAATATTTTTATGGCAAAAAAAGCTAGGAATTTATTTCAAAAAAGCAAAAATTATATGGAGCGCGCTTTTGCGAAATTAAAAAAAAATCTCAAGCCTTAAGAAATGAGAAGATTTCTGCAAAGCGCGACTTAAAAAGAGTGTAATTTTCAATTTATTTAAAAAATTTTTCGTTTCCAGGTACATCGACCGCGCCGAGTTCTCTGAAAACCGTTGGCCCGACTACTGCTTCGGGTACTTTCTGCTGACCACCAACAACGCAATCAAAAGCATCACCGAGACCATGAAGAATGTGAATCTAGTCCACATGGACGACTGTTTTATCACCGGAATCGTTCGTCGAAACACGACCATCCCGTTGCATAATTGGAGTGGGATTTGTTCGAATCCCCGGGAAATAGACCATGCCAAATGCTCTAAAGACGATAGGATACCATGGCCAATTGCGTTGCATAATACGAAAAACAGGTCACAGGTGGAGCGATGGCTCAAGGAGATTCGGGAAATTAAATGCCCCAAATTGGATCCACCAGTGAAGAAAGTGTCGTAATATTTATTAAAAGTAATAGTTACAATAGCTGCCAGTAAAAACATTTTTTTTTGATTTTAAAAATAAATCGTTAAACAAGTGTCCATGCACTTTATGAAAACGCTAATGCAAAAAAAGCGCCAACATCTTTTGTTGCCGATGTAGAAAGGCCATGAAAAGTAAACATTAATATCGGGCGGCACACTTTGAATTTCAACGGTAAGACTTCAAAAAAAACCATGTAAATATCATATGTGATTAAACGCAAGGTTGACAAGGTTTAAAAGACAATATAATATAAATTACTAATGAAATGTCAAAGCAAACTAGATCGTGACCTATCGCCCCTTTGAACACATATTCCAAATCTAATTGACAACGTTAACGTTAGAGTTGTTATAAACTGCAGACTCCTCAAGTATTACCTTCAATACGTTTTGTTGTGTGAGCCATGCTGAGGTTTCTTCTGATCTTCCCGCTCCTGTGTCTGTGTGGAATAAGTATCCGACGTAAGCTTATATGCGTTCAGTTCATGTCATATTTGGAGAGATGGCAATAATTTTGATGAATTACAGCACCGCGAACTTCACGGACACACCAACTAGGTCCCGTCGAAACGAATGACTGTTTGCCTCATACTGTAGAAGTTCATCACTATAATCTCACACTTGACCCCACTTTCGCGTACTACGGTTATGAATTTCCTCCAGGTAAAAATGCACTGTTATAGACAGAACCTACAAGAGCTTCCAGATGCGACGCCCAGATTTTTCAAACGTTTTGCACATGCATGAGACATAGGCCATATAATATCAATTCCTGAAAGCTTTAGGTTGCGCTTTACAGTGACAGCCGAGAAATTGAACGATTTTTGCGGCCGAGAGAGCACGCAGAATGCGGAGGACGGTCACAGATAAAAACAACTTTTGGTCATACCTTCACTAATTTTGCGCGGAAAAAAATTATTTTTTGTGAAAACATTACCTTCTACAGTATAAATAGTGTTAGACTTTTCATGCCAAAATTCGCAAAAGAATGTCACAGTTTAGCCAACTTTCGATAAAAAATCATTTCTGCAAGCCAGGAGAGCAGCATATATCTTCTGAAAGAGAGATCTAAATTTGTGGCGAGTTTCATCAGAATCTGTGCGTTGCACTTGAAGTAAATACTTCCCCTGTACATGGGATCCAAAACCAATCGATTTAGAAAAGCTGAATACGTTTACTGGATCGGTGGATATCACATTCTCCGTGCTAAATGCAACCAATCAGATTGAACTGAACTCTGCTGTCAATATCTCGGCTACTCGTTTGTCTGACGACAGTGTCAGTTACACGATCACAAGCCAAGAAACAACTGCGGGTAACCATCTGAAGATAAATACAAAAGAAACTCTTCCGGTCTCAAAAAACTTTACATTGTCCTTTAAATTCAACGGACATTTGGACAATAGTTTTCACGCCTTTTATCATGTCGACTACGTTGAAAAAGACGGGAAGAAAACGTGAGACTTTTATCATCAAAACTTATGTTGAAACCGGTGAATTTTAGCGCGTTGGTTGCGACATTATTAGAGGAGATCGACGCTCGAAAAGTTTTCCCATGCTTTGACGATCCATTCTTCAAATCGACCTTCAAGTTTACGGTATACCATCCGAAGGGCTCACAGGCCCTGAGCAATGGGGAAATCGAGAGTCAAAGGGATTTTGGGTAAGAGTCAATATTTCATATAATGAAATTGTGCTGTTTTTATTTAGCAAACAAACAATCACAGAGTTCACGACGACGGTGAAGATGCCGGTGTATCTGTTTGCTGTTGGAGTGGGTGATTTTGTTGAGAGTTCGACGAAATCAAAACGGGGAGTTGTGGTAAGGATAGGTGACGTCAGAGATAGTCCTGAAGAGCTGGGTCGCCCTGAGATGTAGGCTCGTAAGATATTGGAAGAGATTTAGGGATTGACTTTCAAGACGTCAAACATGTCTGGCCTCAGTAATTGATCCTCACTTGGAAAAAATTCCCGTGTCTTTTTTTTATATTGCCTTTAGGCACATTTGGATGAGTGTCGGGTACCTTGCGACGAGACACTTCACTGGCGAAGGGTGTTGTAGCCAATGAAAAAATTGCAAGTAGTAATGTAACGGTAGCAATTTTTACAACTTCTCAAAGACAGCCCTTGTTTTATAGTCTAGGTTTTGCTAAGGGCTTATTTTGAACATTACGACTTATTTTCATGTAGTTCTAATTTTACGCTTAGGTGTAAAAATGTAACAATTATAATATGAAGTTTTTTCAATCAAATTTTAAAATAACTTCACGAAGAAAAAAATCCACACTTCATCAAGAAACGGCTTTGTGAGCTTATCCGCGAAGCGTCTGGCCGCAAGGTGCTCTTTCCCCGATCTGGATTACTTCCTTCTAGCAGGTCTTATCCTGATCCGGACACGGTAAAGTACATAGCTTTGAAAACCGTGTAAGCGCATTTGCAACGCTGGAAAACGCAAAACTTTTTCTTTTCCAGGTTAGAACTTACGCGAAAAAACAATCAGCTGGATTTATTCAAGAGACCGCGGAAGTTGCAGCCAACATTATTGACGTCATGGAAAACCTGACTGGGATTCCGTATCCATTGGAAAAATTAGGTAAAGTGAGAAATACACAAAACACAACTACGGTATAATAACATATATAATGATGGTATGATAACATATAGATCACTTGGATACGATCAGTATGGCGGAGGGTGGAGCTATGGAGAACTTTGGACTCATTATTTATGCCGGTTGCTTAACCGGATTGATTGATGAAGACGCATCTTCAAAATACGGGCGGTTGATACTTGTTGGACATGAAACTTCACATCAATGGCACGTCATTTCAAATGACACCAGTATGAAATCTTTTTAGGTTCGGAGATTTGGTCACTGCCAAGCGTTGGGGCCTTGAGTATCTTCATGAATCATTTGCGACGTTCTTCGAATCCGAAATATTCCGATTTATCCCGGAATTTAAATACCCTTCTGTAAGAAACAACGATTTATTTCGGACATATACATTCAGATAATCGGATTTCTCCAAAATTATCGCGAAGCCAAATCGGTAGCTGAGTATGAAAACCATCCCATTGAAGACAAAATTAGTCATTTTGACCGTCAGTTTAATATATACCTTTAAATATTACTCCTAAAGTTATAGCATTCCTAAATGCTTTTCAGATACGACCTATGACGTTGGAGGAGCCTTACTGGCTTCGGTAAAGCATTTGGTGTCCGAAGAAGTCTTTTACGACGCCTTGCACATCTATCTGAATGAGAATAGCTTTGGAAACGCGGACACTGAATTATTGGCGGCGGCGTTTGACGAGGTAATTTTGTGGACAGCGTGAAAGCACAACAAGACTTATTTCAGTCTTAACTCGCGTTCTGTTGAGATCACAAAGACTCTTAAGGGCTCTCGGAAAGTGTCAGGAATTTTAGACAGTACTGGGAAACCTTCAAAATTTTTGATTTAATTTCAGGCGCTCAAGAAGACTCAAGGCCTTGGTTTCAACTTCTCCGAAGAGTACTTGAAACCCTACTTGAGACAAATAGGAATTCCCACAGTAGAAATTAGCCTAAACGATCAAAATCAATACGTCATCAAGCAAATTCCATTCCAAGACCAAACCACTTGGCTTGTCCCATTATTCATCTACAACTTGGACAAGCTTGAAGAGAGCAGATTAGATGTCCGAAACGACCCGGTTATTATGAACTCAACTGACATCCTACTCTTCAACAGTAATTTTAAAACCTTTGCCAGCGTCAATTTGGACGACAAGGTCAAGCAAAGAGCCGCTGCGCATAAAAACGCGGCCAAACTTTTGCCCGAAAATCAACTTTTGTACCTTAAAGAATACGATGAGTCTGGCTTCGCAGGCATTGTAAAAGGAAATGACGGCAAAGTTGAGCCGCTACTCGTTGATTATCTGCTTAATCTGGTATGTCTTTTGCTTTCTAGACCGCAGGGACTCTGTTATTAATAAGGCCTTGACTTTTAGGGCGACAAAGAGTTGTTGGAATTGATCAGCAAAAAGTTTGATTTCAAACCAACGCCGGAGAACAGGTAACTTTTTTATCAGCAGAAAAAATGGCCAAGGTTTTTCAACGTAACATTCACAAGCCGTGAAAGTCGTTTGTTGGATGTAAATTGCCACAAATCGGACAAAAAAGTTTTTTTTATTATTCAAAATTTCTCAATTCTGATTCAGCCCCACCTTTGATTATCCGTTCTTCAGATTCATCGCTCCTTCTCTTCTACAACAGGCTGTACAAAACGGAGTCGAAAGTGTGGTCGATACAACTCAACACTTATTCGATCAATTCGTCAAAGACTGCGGACCCGAAAAAGACGTCGTGCACTGTACCAGTTTGCCTCCGGAGTTTCGTGTTGGCATCTATTCTCAAGGAATCAAAAAAGGAGACGGCAAGAAATTCTTGAGCGAATATCGGACAAGAGTTGAACAACATCCGCAGGGCGACTTCTTATCTCCCGAAATTGACCGGTTGAGACAAGTTTTGGGTGGCTAGAAAAGTAAAATGACTAGTTGTTTTGGTAGGAGTTGTAGCCTCGCAAATAAACAATCCAACCATGGGTTTTCGATTTGTTGAGCATCTACGACTAGCTCTGGACATAATACACACAGATTCTATGCAAATTTGTTTAAATAACCATTGTCATCATTTCGGACCAGCTTTCAAATTCTGTTTCTTATGCAACATTTCGAGAAAAAAAGAGGGAAAGAGGGATGAAATTGGCGAGGAATCCATCGATAGATTTAAGGACGATAATTACAATTGGTTCTTATTATAGCCCAGAAACAGCCTAATGTAAGGGTTCGCAGTGACCACAAACTTTTATCTTTTTACAGATTAATGCATATTATTTGCTCTATAAATTAAATACAGGATATTTTACAAAATTGTGTTGCAAATACATAGTGTAAATAACAAGAAAATTACATTTGCTTTCCAAATCATTCAACAATGGAGTTGTCATCGCTTAAAGAACTACTTTTTCCGCTACCTAAAGCCGACCTCAACGTCGTGTCTATCGATAACATTATCATAGATCACCATGTCTTTGTTGGAACATCTGTTTCCAAAAATTTTCCGTTTAGATTTGCGTTTTCTTCAGGTCCTCTAAATGATCCAGGCCGCGATAAACACATTTTTTATTTCTCATTGTTTCTGTGGCGTCAGTTTAGTCGGCCTGTGGTTTCGTCGCGGCCTTTGGAGCATCCGGCTCTCCGCGGGCCTTGGACATTTGAAAACGACAAAGGCGCAACTTTTCTGGATTGCTCCCGCCCTTTTCGTTTCCGCTTTTCCATCGCCACTTTTTGAGCGACGGACACCGGCCAGCTTGTGTCGGTATATAAAATTTATCATTAAATTAATCGCAACTTCCTCGCTAGAGGTATTCCTTAATTTTTTATGGCTCTGCGGGACCTTTATTTTCTTTTATAGTAACTTGTTTGCTTGCTTTAATGGTCAAATATTTCACCATGTATATATGTACATAAACTATAATATATAATACTTTTCTTATTTTACATTATATATTTAGCTAGGCCTTGCCGATACTCTCGATTAATTTTTTGATATAATACATATACATATATATCAATAATAATAATATATTTTTTTATAAACTCACATATACTACAATATAATAATTAAAATTGTATGATATGATAAAGAAATAACAAACATAAAGTAAAGCCAGCAAAAAGGTGCGATTACTATGTGTTACAATAGTGGTTTAAAATATAAAAAAAATATCTGGGACATGGGCAATTGTCTATTACATTTAATCTAGAATATGGAATAATAATCCTTTTTCGTCTGCCTCGTTTTTTGTGGTTACGCAGCACGGCAACCTAAATATTGTAGAAAAATGTCTCCCGCCCACCTTTTAGTTCCGTCGAAACGAAGTGTCGCAAATGACAAAAAATAAAATGATTCCAAAAAAATACTTTTCGGTTAAAAAACCCCAGAAGAAATCCGTTTTGACATTTTGTTTGAATTCAACCGATACTGGGTGGGCGAAGTGCCGAAAGGAGGCGGGAGAGGGTTGCCGTCCGCAGGAATGTCAACAAATTTGGGATTAAAACAGGCGTTTTTGGAAGTGAAAACAACTTTCACGCATGTTAATAACAGTTAGAATAGAATGCTTCCCGTCAATATGTCTCAAACACAACGAAACGACACAAACTTCAAAGAAAGTTTGGTTATCTGTTTCGTAGAATGTATGGATACTAGAGCAAGCATAATGCTCGTAATGTACATCGCTAGTGTTATTTCGGAAGTAGCATCCATAATGCTCACAATTGAAGAGTGCTTCAAATACAGACTATGCTGGCAAATCGGGCAGTAGTGAAGAGAGGGACGCGAGGTCCCTGTTTCAGGTCTTTTATCTTCTTTAGAATGAGATTGTACTCTCCATTTTTGGTCTCCCCATTAATTCTTATTATTGTAAGGTTACGTTTGAATAAATAAATATATCTATAAGAACACTAACTTAACTGGTAGCAGCGAGACCGCGGGTCAGGTAGAGGAGTATCCCTCACGGAATCAGGATTTCCGTGGCGCATGCGGTCAGTCAGAGTGGCGAATATCCTCGCTATCACCCCTTTTGACCACGAGCCCGTCTGACGGTACTCTGCTGACAAGGGAATGGACTTTATGTGTAAATCGATTTTGGCTTGGGACCTAGTCAGATCGAAAGGTGTGTGGTAGTCGATTATTCACTTGGGGGGAAATCTCTGCGCGGGGCTTCAAAGTCGAGAAAATCGGCTTCAAAGTTTGGACGAAAGTCAAAGGATAAGGATCCCGGAAAAGGAGCGATAAAAAGTGTGAAGCAGTCGCCGAGTGGTCAGTGCGCTCGCTTTTTGCGCAAAAGGTCGCAAGTTCGAATCTGCTTCCATTCTTAACTTTTTTAGACAAAAACTTCTATTAATTTTTTCCCCTGAACTCGATTATCGATGCAAGAAGTATATTTTAAACGGAACTTTTCCATTTTCAACAGCTTTGCACCTTCCCTTTACAGTTTTAGAGCGCAGGGCACACCATCAACCTGATGTATTCAAAAACAACTTTCCATTATGTTAACTTTTTTTTAAATGTACAGCCGGATTAGCACGAAGAAAGCAAAAGTAAAAACGATAAATGATTATTGAGCTTGGAAAGATTCGAACCTGCAACCTTTTGCGCAAAAAGCGAGCGCACTGACCACTCGGCCACTGCTTCACACTTTTTATCGCTCCTTTTCTGGGATCCCTATCCTTTGATTTTCGTCCAAACTTTGAAGCCGATTTTCTCGGCTTTGAAGCCCCGCGCAGAGATTCCCCCCCAAGTGAATAACCGACTACCACACACCTTTCGATCTGACTAGGTCCCAAGCCAAAATCGATTTACACATAAAGTCCATTCCCTTGTGAAGGGAATCTACCTGACCCGCGGTCTCGCTGCTACCACCACAACAAAAAATGTCTTGCGGTGATATCCCAAATCACCGACGAGACCTTTTCAGTTGAGACCCGCTACGGGAATTTCCCCGCGCATAAAAGCGCGATGACAACAAAGATGGAGCCGCGCGTCGGCCAGCCGCTAATCGCGCTTTTGGTGCAACTGACCGGGTTCGTCGGAGCCACATTGGCTCCCGGATCGCCCCGGGTGTTGCGCAAGCAGCCATTTTCAGCTGAAACCATATATGTTTCTACCTTATACCCTGAATTAGGGCCCGATGAGGAGTAAACCTCCCACACCCCCGCAGTGAACCGGGACGGTTCTTCCAAAAAAGGCCGGAGGTGTAAGATCCTCCCAGATCAGGCAAGGGAAGCGCGCCGTCCAAAAATTCAAAAGAGGGGTCCGAAAGGACCGATCGGGCAGTATTGAAGAGAGGGCCGCGAGGTCCCTGTTTCAGGTTTTTTATCTTCTTTAGAATGAGATTGTACTCTCCATTTTGGTCTCCTCATTAATTCTTATTATTGTAAGGTTACGTTTGAATAAATAAATATATCCATAAGAACACTAACTTAACTGTTGCCATGTGGCAATCGTTAACGAACAAGCCGCCACCTGGCGTAATGGAATCACCATTATATGCGCCAGGTATAACATAGCTGATGTATTACGTAACCGATTCGTCTTGATTTTTCACGGAAAATTGTACTAAAATGTTTGGTCATGCCGAACACGCCGACCTCATCCTTGTCTAGAAGGAGGTCATTATGGATGGAACTCCCTCCTCCGTGCCTTGCCGAAATTGGAACATTTCATCCAAGTTATCTGCAGTGAAGGGAAGGGTTGAATATAATCCAGATCCTCAGAATAGAGGAAATGCCTCTGCGAAGGAACGTCGACATCGCCAGAGACGAATGGCTCAATCGTGCGACCGTAGTGTCGCAATACCCAAATCGCAATGCTCCTCGAGGCAGAACCCCATTAAAACCACACGGATGATGTCGTTTTATTTTATCATCATGAAAAGATCTTCCCAACAAAAAAAGTTTATTCCACGTTCGGTCGTTTTGGGGTGACTGGAGGGCAGTCATCAAAAATTTGAAATCAGCACCACTAAAAACCCCCAAATCGAATACTTTTGGAAAAATTTCAAAAAATTACTTTTTAACACTACTACTTAAGGAAAAAAGGAATCAGAAAAAATGAACATGTTTTCAAAAAAACAACTTGTCTTGATCCCCTCTTGCCATATTTATATTTTCACAAACAAAAATTTTAATTCGTTTTTCCCTTGTCCGGAAGCGAAAACATTTTAAATTTTCCAAAAAAATCTTTTACAACTCCCGAAGCGAAAACATTTCAAATTTGGTCAATTCTAACAAAAAATCTTTTATCAACAACATCACACTCAAGCCAATATCCAAAAAAATAATTCTAAATATGTAGAAAGAAGATCGGACCGTCTTGGCTCTTCTGTATAAAAGACAGGAAGGACGCGCTTGTGTCAAAGGCTTCAACGTGTACACGCCCACTGGAAAAGATGAATGATCAAGAAGAGAATGGAAGTCAGATGGATTCTTTCTTAGTTTTAGATTGGGTGATCTATTCTACTAAATAAATTGTGTGTGTGTATAATAAACATGGTAGTGAATCCCATCGGATAATTTTGCTTTAAAACTTAAGGGATTGACCCTCATATATTGTATTCTCGCGTAATGTATCTGGCGACCGTTCACTTGAAAGTATCAGCCGTCGTCAAGCCAAGAAGCCGTTTATTTGCTCAAGGTTTGGGATTTTTGTGGGAAGTTTCGATAAAACGTCCGTAAAACATGCTCAACGAGAGCCAATCAGACCCCGACCTGAAATAAGGAACTGAATATGTCATCAACGACTTGCAAAAGACCAAATATCACCTGCAACCCTTCACTGATCGTTAAATCGCAACCAGCGTCAGAATCGTCGTGATATGACTCATAAATGACGTCAATCATATATTATATTGCGTAACTTATTCTTGGTTCAGAATAATCCAGATCCTCAGAAAAGAAGGCAAGATTGAAAATTTCTCGGCAAAATGCGACCTGGATTACGAGAAGTCGAAGAGTTCCACAAGTGGTATATGGGACTAATGGGCGTAATGGAGTCACCATTATATGCGCCAGGCATGGCAGCGCTGAAGTATTTCGTAACCGATTTTTGGTTCGTCACGGAAAATTATAAAATTTTTGGTTATGCCGAATACGCCGACCATATCCGTACAATAAATTGCGTAAAGGGAGTCCATAACGGATGGAACTCCCTCCACCGCGCCTCGCCCAAATTGGAACATTCCATAAAGATCACGTCGTAAATTAGAAACAGAGGGCTTGAATATCATCCGCATCCAAATAAGGAATTGAACGGAAAAGACCAGTCAACATCGCCAGAGATGAATGGTTAAACCGTGCCATGCTGAACGAATTGCAAGGATCACTTGTCAGGCCCATCGCAATGGTGAACAAGAAGGACGCTTGCTTTGTTAAAGCTTTTAATGCCCTAATTATTCTTCACAGGTCGTTTCTTCAAGATTTGCCAGATTCTGTGCATATCTCTGTGCCGCACCGAGAAAGAGGCGACAAACAAAAAAGAAACTACGTCGCCAACAAGCCGCATTAGATGAACAAGTCGAAAATTCAGATAAAATTGATGACGATGAAAACAGTATTTTCGCCGTATATGATGAAGTGAACGAGGTCATTTTCTCAACTTGTATCGTAAATCATGTAAAAGGAAGAAGAACAAATTGGGATTTTAAGATGACGTCCCCTGAGCATTTTCTTGGGACATTTCAGGAATTTTCAAGTGGGATCTTAACGGGATCTTTAAGAATAATATATTTTATTGGTAAACCAGTGAGAGCAGAAATCGAAGAGACAGATGACCTGAGGGAAGAAGTAGCTGCCAATGAAGCCGTCGATGAAGCCATCCATGAAGCAGGAAATGTGGAAATCGACCGAGATGTCGTAGACGGTTTGCAGGAGCGCATTGATGAACAAGGTGAAGAAGAAGAGGTTCCATTGGAACGCATGGATCACCAAGAATTTGGTGATGGACAAGCCAGAATGGCGCTGATAGAGATGATCGAAGAACAGCGGATGCGTATCGCAGACATGGAATTGCAGCTGGAGGAGCGGAAACGCGAGATCACTGAGTACTTGGAGGTGATCAGAAATTTGGAAGGTACAGTTGGTCCACTGTGCGCAACGATGGAGGGCTTGGAAGTGAGAATTCAAGTTCTTGTGAATGCGCCCATGCTGATGACGGGTCTGGCGGTATTTACCAAGACGACGATGGATGCGATGAGAGAGCCTCACGAGCGATATGGAACCAAACCCGAATTTATTCAATTCGTAACCAGGGAGTCTAATGGCCATGTATCGATGCCAGTGGGTACGATCATCGAAGTCGATGAGTATATTAATGTAATTAACTCTGATAGTAATGCGACGATCCTTCGCGGGATGACCGGTCGTCAAGTTCAGGGATGGCGCGAGTTCCCCATCCTAATGGTATCGCTACACACTTTCACGTAAGTCAGATGGATTATTCCTCTAGCTAGCTAGAGAATTGCTTCGACTTTATAGATACTGTGTGTGCCTATGTAATAAAAGTATGAGTAAATTACATCGGATATTTTACTTGACTACTTAAGGGATTGACCCTAAGATATATTTTATTAACCCGATGAAGCACGAGGCCCACTCAAAAGCAGCCGGAACAGCTTCAGGTAAGCCAAGATATGTCTGAAGCAGGCACATCAGGTTCAAAGGAGGTTGGCCGCCCTGGGTCGAATGTTGACCCGCAACAAACGTGTTAACTTCTACTAGCTCATCTCCCTTGGAATGGTGAGTACGTAAGGGGTGTTTATCTCCCATATTTCCGCAATGAAGTTCCGCCAGCGGCCTTACATTAGATGCACCGGCCGGTCGTGTTGGGACTTATGCAAGTTCCAAGATTTCCATCCATTCAGTTGGTCCCTGGTGGACCAGCGATTCTGAAAAAATGCCTTTCTTTATTATCGTCGCAGTTTCCAGGGGCCTGTTTCACGAACGCAAAAACTCATATTTCTAAAGAAAATAGAAATATGAGTGAGCGAGGGAACAAAGGAAATGCATGTGAAACGGGAGAGACGGCAGAAAAATGAGGATTTCGCCACTTCTCAATCGGAGTGACTTTTTACGTCCAAAATCAGGGTTGGCGGCAGTGTTTCGGCCATAACTTTTCCCTCCATGGGCGTAGAATCACCCTTCAAAATTTCGAATAATGCTAACTGTTTGGACTGTCATGTGTGCAAGTTTCGTTGCATTGTTGCAAAAACTCGCTCGAAAATAGCAGTAGTAATGCGCATATTTCTATTTTCTATAAAATTTTTGCAATTCTAGCTTAATTCCCTCATAACATCGCCCAAAATTGTCGGATCGACACCATTTAAAAAAATCATGTAGACCTGAGTCCGCGGTTTACAGTAATGCAATTTTTTAGGATGTTTGGCGATCTACGGCACGAACAAATTTATAGTAGTGCAGCAGTTTGCAACATTTTTCCATTTTTTCAGAATAAAAATAGGTTTTTGTTCCAAATAATAAAATATTAGTATAAAATTTTATATAATTGTAAAGAAAATTGTCTTGGCTACCTCATTTTTTTAGAGGGGCGTCTATATCTCACCAACTGATAAAGTTATGGGTGATTTAGTCCAGCCGCATCCCATTTTTTACCGTAAAACTTCTCTCTTGTTTTGATTTGAGGGCTCTTTCGAAAGATTTTTTGTGATGAAAATCGAGGGATTGTCAAAGTAAATCAGTTATTACTCAGCCAAAAAATTACTTACAGTTGGCCCTCTAAAAATATTTTGTAGAGAATTAAATTGTCTATCGACTGACATAAATTAGAATTTTTTACTGTTTCAATTAACGCGAAAAAAGGCCTTTTAGTTTTATAAAGTAGAAGAATTCAACACTACAACGCCTATGGTAACTTTGTCATTGGCGGTAGAGCAAAAATTTTTATAGATCTACATAGCCCGAAGTCTCAGCATTATTTGAATTTTTGGAGGGTGCTTGTAGGCCCAAGTAGAGGAAAGTTATGGCTCAAATACTACCGCCAACCCGTAATTTTGGACGTAAAAAGTCACTCCGATTGAGAATTGGCGCAATCCTCATTTTCCTGCCGTCTCTCCCGTTTCGCATGCATTTCCTCTGTTCCCTCGCTGACTCATATTTCTATTTTCTTTATTTTGCGTTCGTGAAACAGGCCCCAGAATATAGTATTGATATACGATGTATACATATACAGCATGCATACAGAACTTAAGAGTTCAAGATTTCAGAGTATAAAGAACTCAACAAAAGTTTCTTTCCCTTACAGGTGATAATGACAGAGTAGGCGAGAATCCAGCATTAATTAATAACCTTCTCATTCGTCTCTAGCGCTATTTCTTTTTTATAAAGTTGAGTAAAATGGATGTCTTAGTGACTGATTCTCTTTTCTACGAAGTCATTTTCCTTATTGCCGGATTTTTCGGAACTTTTCTGGGAATATCTGTAATTATCATTGTGATTACCCAATCGCCAGAAAGTATGAAGAGCTACAAACGATTCATCATCAATTTTACGGTGGGAATTTTGGAGAAAACATGATTTTTTTGAAATTTTATTCACGTACTATATTTAAATGGAACATTTATGTCATTTTTTAGTTGTTTGACATGCTTTTCGCATTCACAATGGGAGTCCTGGTGAAGCCGGATCCTTTGTTTCCGTTTACTGGAGCCGTGATTAACGGGCTTTTCAAGTATTTGGGAGAGCAAGGCGCTGTGATCTCGGTAGGTCATCAGAATTGTCAGCCAGGGTTAAAAAGAAATCAAAAAGTCATACTGAAGATTACAGTGCCGGACCTGATCCAAAGACAAAAAATTTTCTATTAGTTTTTTCAGTTGGAGAGGGAAGCATTTTGCCACATTTTTGATACTTCCCGGATGCAAAATTGTACGTTTTTTGCTACTGGGTCAGGTCCGTCAATGTGGATGGATATTTTTAGGACGTTGCAATAGTCAACACTGCCGGCTACGCAGTGTCCACTCAATGCGCCTGTATCATCTATCGCTTCGCTGTTCTCCAGCCCAACCCCAAATTCCTGGACTTCGTCTTGTCTTGGATAGAGGTGGCAATCGGGCCGGGCCGGGCCGAATTTTGCGGCCCGGCCCGCGGGCCGAAGTGACCAGGCCGGCCCTGGGCTTTTTCAAATTTGCTCAGGCCCGGCCCGGCCCGGTGAAAGCCCAGGCCGGCCCGGCCCGGCCCTGTTTGGCCCGATACTGCAAAAAGGTTGGATAAAACTTTATGCACTCTCTACTGGAACTTTTTATGCCTTCCAGCGGGGTTTTACGTCTATATGAGTGGAATTAAAACGTCTAGTCGGCTGACTGGAACAGCCGAATAGGTACCTAAAACCTAGCCAAAAAGTTGGATTGTGTCGATTTTTTTTATCCTATAGAAAGTTAGCTATGTAAAAATATGGACGTTATGAGGCTACATGTTTAATCAAAAACTGCGTAGATGCGGTCATTTACCTCAAGGAATCAAATTACAGCGAAATGTTTTTAACTTAAAAGTTTATCATCAAAAATTCGAAGATTTGCCCGATCCTTGCATATTTGGGTGGGATTTTACATATACATAATCAGTGATTTTAAAGAGTTTGAAAAGGTGGTAAAACAGTATATAAGTCAAAAAGGTTTGATTTAATATCCATCCAACAATTCTGCTAAGCATTTGTGCTTTATTTTGCTGGTTCAGTATTAATTTTTTTTCACTTATCCACCTTCCGGGCCGGGCCGGGCCGAGAGTCTCGGCCCGGCCGACGGGCCGAAGCGGTCAGGCCGGCCCTGGGCTTTTTCAAATCTGCTCAGGCCCGGCCCGGCCCGGCCCAATCACCGGGCCCGGCCGGGCCGGGCCGGGCCGGGCCGGCCCAGCCCGATTGCCACCTCTAGTCTTGGAATGTCTGGAGCTGCGCTTATCTAATCTCATTTGCTATAACTGGCGGAACCTACTATATTTTCAGTAGAGCGCAGGCTCAGCAAAAAGTAATATCATCATCTCCTACAGCTTTAACAAAAGTGTATTCTAGGACATTCCAGCTAAGATAATGGAAGATTCAGCCAACTTTCCGGGCGTTCCTCTGCCGCAATTCGAAGGCAGACTTTTTATTTACGTGGATTACACCTCTCAATACTCTAAATACGCCGGATTCGGTATATTCTTCGGCTTCTTTGCCGCAGAAATTATCTCAATTGGCTGTGTTTACCTTATTCTCCGACAACTTGAAGCCAAAAAAGCCAGTTTCTCCAAAGCAACGTACAAACTTCATCGACAACTGACGATTGCGTTGGGCGTTCAGGTAAAAGAAATTTACGCCATTGGAAGGTTGGAATCAAATTTTCTTTGGCATGAGAGCTGTTCGAAGTGGGACGCTTTGATTTTTTTTAATTGGACGCAAGTTGGGGTTTGGCCATGAGCTAATTTTTGAAAAGTTAACTTTACGCCTTACATGCACAGCCGAGATATTCAACTATGTTTTCCGACAAGAGAGTGTGCAAAATGCGGAGAGTCAGAAAGAAAAACTTTTCTTGGCCATCCTTCTGCCAGCTTTGCACAAAAAAATCGAGTTTTCGTACGGCAACGTTCTTAGAAAACAGGCTAAAAGTTTCCACATATAATCTCAAAAAAAATTGAATTTACACCATTAGAATCTCGGTTGTTTCTCCGAACTTTGAGCTGTTTCAGAAAAAAAATTTAATAACTTTTTTGCCAACTTTTATTGAACGCTCTTTCCTGCAAATTAACAGCTATTTTTCAGCTATCAACTCCATTTCTTTTTATCATCGCTCCGGTTACGTACGGAATAATCGCGACTTACATCAAACACGAAACTAACACCGTGGTTGGTCGACTTTTCATGGTCTACATTGATCTTTACGGGGCTTCCAATTCGATCATCACCCTCTACTTTGTCAAGCCATACCGATTGTTTATAATTTCGAAATTCAAAGAGGTTGTGAAATTAATTTCCTGCGGCAAATATGGCAATGTCCCCGAGACAATTGCTGTGCTGGCGCCGGAGAGCACAGTGATCTCATCGCTGGCGTAGAGGGGGCAATGAAAAGAAAGGTAAATGATAAAAATGATATGGTGAAATAACGCCAAAGTAAATTTTACAGTTTTCAATTTCATCCTTTATTCTAAATTAAATGATGACACGATTGTGAGTCGTCGTTCCTTCGTGGTATTCCCGTATTTTCCACAAGTCACAACCTTCACGAAGGCCTTAAATTTGGTCGCAACAAATGTCCGATATGGCTTCACGAAATAAAGAGTAACAACTGAATTGGAGACTCCGTAAAGATCAATAAACATGATGGAAAAACGCCCGGCCAATACGCTGGTAGGGCCATGATTATAAGTCGATACGAGGATGTAAGTAACAGGGGTGACGATGAAGAGAATTGGCATCAGCAGCTGAAAAGAGTGACTTGAAAAACTTGAAAATTTCTGATTAAACGCAAAAAATTTCAAATGTGTTTTCGAAAATTTTTCCGCCGCTAGAGATGTCGTTGAAATGGACGAACAAAGACGCTAGTTATAGAAGTATCACTTGGGCAGTATATTGATGTATTGCATATAATTTTACCTGAATTCCCAACGCTATCGTCAATTGTCGATGAAGTTTATAGGTATGTAGCTCTAGTAAAACTGGTTTTTTTGTCCTCAAGTCGTTGAAGAATAAAGAAAAGACAGCCAATTGAGATGGCCTCAGCGACCATAAACCCAATGAAAACAAAGGCCCCTGCGTATTTGGAATATTTTGAGGTGTAATCCAAGTAAATCAGTAGTTTTCCCTCAGTTTCCGGCAAAGGAATGCCCGGAAAACTGGCAGATTCTGCGATCAATTTGGCTGCAATGTCCTAAAATACAAAATTTACTGCATTAAAAACAGCTATAAAATACTTTTTGAGCAGGCTGAAAATTGTTGAAGACCACAACGGTCCCAGCAGACACAACAAATGAGATACCATAAGCGGTGATCCAGGCTTTCCATGAAGCGAAAAGGTCCATGCATTTGGGATTGGACTGGAGGATCACGAATCTGTGCATGATGCAGTAACATTGCGTGGACATGGCATAGGCGGCAGTGTTTACAATCGCAACGTCCTAAAAATGGTCTTGCTGCAATAGAATCAAGGCTGTTCTCTTTGGACGTCTAACTTGTCGTAGTGAGACGCCCACACTTTAATGAATAACAAAAGGTTTCACGTATTTATTAAAGTCTGCGGTAGATGATTAGCCTGCCATTTGCACAAGCACCCAGTTTTTAGTCAAAAAATTGGTGAAGATTTTGTAGACTTTTCCGCGCGAAGTCGGTAGAAACATGGCCATAAAGACACTAACCGCTCTCCGCATTTTATGAATCTTTAGCCAGAAAAGCTTGGTGAATACCTTTGCCGATCTACTGCCAAAGTTACACAGTGCAAAGTAAACTTTTGTTTTCATACAGTGCATGTCGAAAAAAATGATAATGTGAGCTTGTTGCAGCAAAATGTCTCTCGTCGCAGTCGCGCACCAAATCTCCAGCCGTGACTATCTATTGCGAAGTGATGATGCTCGATTAAAATCCTCATTATTTTCCCGACAAACTGATAGTAAACGCTCCATCCGGCCTTCAGTATGCTCAAAAAAAAAGAATTGGCATTCATTTAATGCTGTTTGCGCCATGTCATGGACTGTCGCTATCAGAGACTCTCCGGTATTGTAATTTTGGCTTGGCAGAGAGAGTTTATTTCAAATGCTGATAAAAATTCGACGTCAGCATGGGGAAGCAAATTTTTTAGAACATACTCGGCTCTATTTTTTGTCAATCGTTGATCTCCGAGGTCTAATATTAAGCATTTTTTTCTTTGGTCGACGTTTTTACAGGTGGAAATGGCAGTGGTTAAGTCACCAGAAAATCCATATTTTTACTTTTTCCTCCTTTTACTTTTCTTAAATGAGGCTAACATTGTTCTATGGCCGAGAGCTTGGTGTCAAATTCGAATATCTATGACGTCATCTTTTTCATCGTCGGTGCTTTTGGAACTTTTTTAGGGATCTCTGTGATTGTAATCGTTTTAACGCAATCTCCAGAAAGTATGAGGACTTACAAGCGGTTTATTATCAATTACACTGTAAGAATCTAATTTTTTCGGATGTTTATTGCTGCGTAACAGAGTTACATGGACTTTTTTCAGATTTTCGATATGCTTTTTGCATTCACCTTGGGAGTTTTGGTGAAGCCGGATCCCTTATTTCCGTTTAGTGGAGCCTATATTAACGGGTTCTTCAAGTATCTGGGCGAACCTGGTGCTGTGGTTTCTGTAGGTTGACAAGTTACAAAAGCCTTATAGACCTTGAATATGCATTAGAAAAACATAATTTAAATTCGTGTCAACTTTTATCCCTGTATGCATATTTGAGAAGCATAAAAGATCTTTTTGAAGTGAACATTCTTATTGTTAAATAAATATATATTTTTAGGACGTTGCAATTGTAAACAGTGCCGGTTATGCCATGTCCACACAATGTTACTGTATTATGTACAGATTTGCCGTTCTGCAAACCAACCCAAAGTACATGGATGCCCTGCTCTCCTGGACCACTTGGATCGTCGCATACCTAATTTCTTTTGCAGTCACAGGTGGAACTTATTTTATTTTTGATAAGGTGCAACCCCCTCAAAAGGTAACCAAAGAACACTATCTTCTTTTTTGATGGTCCTCTACCACTTCTTCAAGCCGTATTTTAGGATATTCCTGCTAAAATAATCCAAGCTTTGGCCAATTTCCCTGGCATTCCTCTGCCCGAATTTGAAGGCCAACTTCTACTTTATTTGGACTACAATTCTCAGTATTCAAAATACGCCGGGGCCTTTGTTTTTATCGGCTTTCTTGCCGCCGAAGCCATCTCAATTGGCTGCGTTTTCCTTATTCTTCGGCAGCTTGAAACCAAGAAGGCCAGCTTTTCCAAAGCGACGTACAAACTTCATCGACAGCTGACGGTTGCGCTGGGAATTCAGGTAAACTACAGTATGGAAAATAGAGGCCATAAACTTCAATCTCGTGGAAATTTTAGATCACCAACTCAAAGCGAAAGAGCGAGGGACAATTTTAGATTCAGTTTTTCAAAGACATACGCCAGATTTCAACCTTGCGGCTTGCAGAAACAATGAAGAATTTTTGAGCGAAAGTTGGCAAAAGCTTTTCGCTTTACCGCTCTTCGCATTTCGTATAATCTATTTCAAGTTCCTCAAAACCCAGGCTAACATGTTCAGGAATCAATATGCCTCTTTAGGGAAAATGCGTGCAGAATTTGATAGAAATTGTAGCGTCGCATTTGGAGAAATTCTCATTTCAGTGCAAATCTCTCTCAAAGTTTACTATTTTAAATCCTTACATTTTCAGTTATCAATGCCAATTCTCTTCATTATCACCCCAGTCACTTATGGCATTATAATGACTTATATCCAAGGCCCAACCAACACCCTGGCTGGGCGTCTAGCCATCATGTATATAGATCTTTACGGTGCTTCCAACTCAGTTGTAACTCTTTACTTTGTCAAGCCATATCGGATGTTTATCATTCAAAAAATCAAATCATTCGCCAGCTTTGTCACCTGTGGGAAGTATGGCAATTCCACTGAAGTCATATCAGTCATGGCGGCGGAGAGCACACTGGTCTCATATCAGTCATAAGCAATAAGGATATATAAAAGGAGCTAAATATTTATTTACCGTTCCAAAAGTGTGGTTATTCCGGAAAAATTATGTTGTTGATCAGGAGCAGCCTGGTCGTCTTATCGCTTGATCTTTCTATGCACTTATCCGTTCGCAAAGACGCTAGAGGTTTTTTTGGGTTTTGCACTGTGCATTTGGAAACGACTTTATTGCACTGTGCAAAAAGCCGAAAATTGCACAGTCCAAAGTGAACCTTTGTTTTTTCACTGTGCATGTCGCCGAAATGACTCCAGCGACTTTACGAAAAGACTCCCAGTCTGTCGGGAAAATAATGCGGATTTGTCGCAGCAAAATGTCTCGCCTTTTTTTAGAACATATTCTATTCTATTTTTTCTAGCAATCGTTGATCTTCGAGGTCTAATAATAAGCATTTTTTTCTTTGGTCGACGTTTTTACAGGTGAAAATCGCTGTCGTTAAGTTACCAGAAATTCCATATTTTTATTTTTTTCTTCTTTTTACTTTCCTAAATGAGGCTGACTTCGTTCTATGGCCGAGAGAATTGGAGAGAATTGACAAGACCTATACCATTCGAAAGGTAACCGAATGAGATTTTAGCACGCCAAGTTTCGCCTTTTTTGAAATCAAATTGCGCGCGCACCAGGCCAAACACTCTGATATTATACTAGGCACCAGTTTAGAAAAAAAGTGAATTAGTGATGTCGGAGTGAATTGACAAGACCTTCACCATTCGAAAGGTAACCGAGTGAGATTTTAGCACGGCAAGTTTCGCCTATTTTGGAATCAAATTACGCCCGCACCAGGCCAAACACTCTGATATTATACTAGGCACCAGTTTAGAAAAAAAGTGAATTAGTGATGTCGGAGTGAATTGACAAGACCTTCACCATTCGAAAGGTAACCGAGTGAGATTTTAGCACGGCAAGTTTCGCCTATTTTGGAATCAAATTACGCCCGCACCAGGCCAAACACTCTGATATTATACTAGGCACCAGTTTAGAAAAAAAGTGAATTAGTGATGTCGGAGTGAATTGACAAGACCTACACCGTTCGAAAGGTAACCGAGTGAGATTTTAGCACGGCAAGTTTCGCCTTTTTTGGAATCAAATTGCGCCCGCACCAGGCCAAACACTCTGATATTATACTAGGCACCAGTTTAGAAAAAAAGTGAATTAGTGATGTCGGAGTGAATTGACAAGACCTTCACCATTCGAAAGGTAACCGAGTGAGATTTTAGCGCGGCAAGTTTCGCCTTTTTTGGAATCAAATTGCGCCCGCACCAGGCCAAACACTCTGATATTATACTAGGCACCAGTTTAGAAAAAAAGTGAATTAGTGATGTCGGAGTGAATTGACAAGACCTTCACCATTCGAAAGGTAACCGAGTGAGATTTTAGCACGGCAAGTTTCGCCTTTTTTGGAATCAAATTGCGCCCGCACCAGGCCAAACACTCTGATATTATACTAGGCGCCAGTTTAGAAAAAAAGTGAATTAGTGACGTCGGAGTGAATTGACAAGACCTTCGCCATTCGAAAGGTAACCGAATGGGATTTTAGCACGGCAAGTTTCGCCTTTTTTGGAATCAAATTGCGCCCGCACCAGGCCAAACACTCTGATATTATACTAGGCACCAGTTTAGAAAAAAAGTGAATTAGTGATGTCGGAGTGAATTGACAAGACCTTCACCATTCGAAAGGTAACCGAATGAGATTTTAGCACGGCAAGTTTCGCCTTTTTTGGAATCAAATTGCGCCCGCACCAGGCCAAACACTCTGATATTATACTAGGCACCAGTTTAGAAAAAAAGTGAATTAGTGATGTCGGAATGAATTGACAAGACCTTCACCATTCGAAAAGTAACCGAGTGAGATTTTAGCACGGCAAGTTTCGCCTTTTATGGAATCAAATTGCGCCCGCACCAGGCCAAACACTCTGATATTATACTAGGCACCAGTTTAGAAAAAAGTGAATTAGTGATGTCGGAGTGAATTGACAAGACCTTCACCATTCGAAAGGTAACCGAATGAGATTTTAGCACGGCAAGTTTCGCCTTTTATGGAATCAAATTGCGCCCGCACCAGGCCAAACACTCTGATATTATACTAGGCACCAGTTTAGAAAAAAAGTGAATTAGTGATGTCGGAGTGAATTGACAAGACCTACAGCATTCGAAAGGTAACCGAACGAGATATTATCACTGCAAGTTTTGCTGTTTTAAGCCCTTAAATTTTCAGTTATCAATGCCAATTCTCGTCATCATCACCCCAGTCACTCATGGCATACAATCTGGCTGGGCGTCTAGCCATCATGTATATTGATCTTTATGGCGCTTCCAACCCAGTTGTTACTTTTTACTTTGTCAAGCCATATCGGATATTTATCATTCAAAAATTCAAATCATTTGCCAGCGTTGTCACCTGTGGGAAGTACGGCAATTCCACTGAAGTCATATCAGTCATGGCGGCGGAGAGCACACTGGTCTCATATCAGTCATAAGCAATAGGGATATAGAAGGAGATATTTACCGTTCCAATTAACCGCCGAAGTTATATACTCCACGACCTACCTAGGAACGGGCTAGAAGCTCCATTCGGAAGCTATAGTATTCTGAACTCCCCGGAGTTGTAATTTTGTCTTTATGGAGACTTTTTGTCAAATGTTGCGAAAAATTAAACGCCTGTCTGAAAATGGGGAACCAATTTTTTTGTAACATATTGGACTCTGTTTTTTTGTCAATCGTTGATCTCCAAGGTCTACATAATAATAGACATTTTTTCTTTGGTCGACGGTTTTACAGGTGGAAATGGCAGTCGTTAAGTTAAATACTTCTCCTAAATGAAGGCTGAGTTCGTCCTATGGCCGAGAATTTGGTATCGAATTCGAATATCTATGACGTCATCTTCTTCATCGTCGGAGCTTTTGGAACTTTTTTGGGAATCTCTGTGATTCTAATAGTTTTAACGCAATCTCCAGAAAGTATGAGGACTTACAAGCGATTCATCATTAATTATACTGTAATAATCTAATTTTTTCGGTCGTTGTTTGCAACATAACAGAGATAGATGGACTTGTTTCAGATTTTTGACATGCTTTTTGCATTTACTTTGGGGGTTTTGGTGAAGCCGGATCCCTTATTTCCGTTTACTGGAGCCTATATTAATGGGTTCTTCAAGTATCTGGGCGAACCTGGTGCCATCCTTTCGGTAGGTTAGAAAAAAAGAGTCATAGATCTTACAAGAAAATCACAATCTACTTTATCCAACCATGCATGTCCGAGGCACATCAAAAAAATTTTTTTGAAGTCAGCATTTTTACTGTAAAGAATATATTCTCAGGACATTGCAATTGCAAATACTGCCGCCTATGCCATGTCCACGCAATGCTACTGTATTATGTATAGGTTCGCCGTTTTGCAAGCCAACCCAAAGTACTTGCATGCCCTGCTTTCCTGGACCACTTGGATTGTCGCATACTTAATTTCTTTCGCTATCACAGGTGGAAGTTACTTCATTTTCAATAAAATGCAACCCCCTCAAAAGGTAATCAAACAACACTGTTTTCTTTTTTCCATATTTCAGCCACTTGTTCATGCCGTATTTTAGGATATTCCAGCTAAAATAGTCCAGGCTTCTGCCAATTTCCCTGGTATTCCTCTGCCCGAATTTGAAGGCCGACTTCTACTTTATTTGGACTATAATTCTCTGTATACGAAATACGCCATTGTCCTTGTTTTTATCGGCTTTCTAGCCGCCGAAGCCATCTCAATTGGCTGCGTTTTCCTTATTCTTCAGCAGCTTGAAGCCAAAAAAGCCAGCTTCTCCAAAGCAACGTACAAACTTCATCGGCAACTGACGGTTGCGCTGGGAATTCAGGTAAACTACAATTTGTTTAATAAAGACCACAAACCTCAAATCAAGAGACCCAGCTCGAGCTTTACAGAAACGACCGGGATTTTTGGTGTATATTTCTACCGTAGAGAAGGATGTTTTCATAAAAACTTATTTTTCTCGGATGAAGCTTGAAAGATATGGACAAAAAACTTTTTTCTCTGAACAGACTTTCTACCTTTTGCGTTCTCTCTCGGCCGCAAAGATATTTGAATATTTCGGCAGCGCTTGCAAAGCGCGAGCTAAAGCTTTCACGAATTCAAATATGGCCTATGCCTAACGCGTGTGCCAAATTTAAAGACGTTATGAGCGTCGCATTTGGGACAGCTCTCGTTTTTGTGCAAATCACTTTCAAAGTCGGTACTTTCAACCAGTTCCATTTTCAGTTATCAATGCCAATCCTCTTCATCATCACCCCTGTCACTTATGGAATTGTAATGACTTTTATCCAGGGTTATATCTATATCCCAACCAACGCTCTGGCTGGGCGTCTAGCCATTATGTATATTGATCTTTATGGTGCCTCCAATTCAGTTGTTACTCTTTACTTTGTCAAGCCATATCGCATGTTTATCATTCAAAAATTCAAATCGCTTACGAGCTTTGTCACCTGTCGGAGGTATGGTAATTCCACCGAAGTCAAATCAGTCATGGCGGCAGAGAACACACTGGTCTCGTCGTTCGCGTAAAACCCTCTTTGAAGTTGATTTTTCAGCTTTATTTTAATTTTAAGCATCAAGGAAAATTTCGAAAATTGCCTTGTAAATAATTAATTTGGGCTAATGAAGAATTTCAAATCAGCAATGAGAATATAAAAGGAGCTACGGGAGTGGTAAACTCAATATTGGATAATGAAATTTCCCATGTTATGCGTAGTTTTGCTATTACTTGTTGCGGCAGCCAAATCAGCACTGTTTATAAGAGGTAACCATGGCCAAGTTCATGTTCGCAAAGCATGATTCCACAACTTTAGACCGTCTCTGCGATCCCATCTCCTGTCACGACTACTGTTTAAAGAAGTGGCCTAGAAACCCGTGGATTCAAGGGTACTGTAGCTTCTCCATGTGTGTCTGCTTCTCCAAAGCACCCAAAAGGCCATCAGGGATTGAAGTGATTTCGGAATAATTTGAAAATTCAATTAATAAAAAAATCTGTCGAGCAGAGCGTTTCTTTAATGTTGGCAACAGAAAAAAACTAAAGATTTTGCAATCAAATGGTCCTATTGATATGACGCGCAACTTTTTTTCTGCTTATAACAAAGCCATGGCATCTGAAATAGCTTTATTTTAAAGGTGTTTCCGTTGATGTTTCCTTTCCGTGCCAAAATGTGCTTTGAATCCGAATACGAGCGCTTGCTTGTCATAGACGAAGATTCCGATGACTCTACGAGCAGAATGTAAGCTTTTTAGTTTTTTTACTTGGTTTTTGACCGGCAACCAACCGGATGTTGCCTCCAGTTTTTATAATTCCTTGAAAAAAAGGCATTATAATTAAAACTTTTTGATTTTTTCGCCACAGTTGAAGTCCTTATAATGTAAGCTAATTTTTTTATATAGTAGTTCAAAACCATTTTTAGACTTGCATTGCCAAGAAAGGTCAAATACACAACAGTCCAATGGAAAAAAGCTGGAAGAGCTTCCCGAAGATTGATCTCAAGATGTGGGCGATTCTTTGTCCGATCGCTTCTGCTTTTTTTCTGCATTAAGTTTGAAAAGAATGAGTAAAACCACATTTTTTTGTATTATTCTTGCTGCCAAATAAATGTATGACTCGAGTTCTGTCATGCTTTTGATGCACTAATGAAGTTAAATGTTAACCAGGTCAAAATGTCACATCCATTCCCCATGTATATGTATGTAAATTATTTAAATTAAAATTTCTTCATAAAACGTCATACAACCTAAATTAGAATAATTGATCTTTCATTCAGACAAATTAAATTCTTAACATCACTGTACAATTATTTATTCGAAATTTCCTCACTGTTTGTGGCCATGAAGCTCTTCGTCTTTTTATCTATTCTTATCTTGGTAAGTTTGGTCCAAGGGAATCAATTGGAATGGTGTCAAAATCTGATCGGAACTTGTATTCAAAGATTGGCCAAGGAGAAAAATGAAGCAGCAAGGGCCGAGATCTGGAATGACTGTGAGACGGAAGTGGTAAATCGACAGGCAAAGTACCCACCAGCCTCAGGAAAAGTAAGTGGAAAGGCTTTTGGTTAGAGTACTTCAAGGGCGTCCTCCACGTTTTCTCGTTTCTCCCAGTCTCCTCATTTTGCGCCATCTCTTTAGATGGGTTCAAGCCATAGATTCAAATCGCCTTTACTTTGAAACTTAACTGGTTTTCATTTGTTGTAAAATTATGTTTAAAGTTTTCATGAAAAATTGGCAAAATGTTTTGGTTCACCCTAATAATATCTCAGCGACCAATGCAAATTTCGAGCTAAAATTTTCAGCGTTGAATAAGCGACCTATAGAAAGTAAACTCACATAAAATAAAATAGAGGCCCCCAATTAGGGGATTCTTTAGTCTTTATTCAAATTGTAATCAAAAACATTTTTCAGGACAAGCCAGATCAATCACCTTGTTACGAAACAATGGGTGAATGCATTGGAATGAAGGCCTTGGAAATTCAAAGATGCTGTTATTTCTGTAGCGAGGACAAGCCATAAGATTGTATTTAAATGTCATCATTTTTTATGTTTCTCCAATTTTCTTAACACGTGCAATTTTTAATCCAAAAATTTTTTGTTGAAAAATAAATCATATGACAGCTGAATTGCGTTCCTCAAAACAATCAGACTTCGACAATATAAACAATCACACTCTAAAAAAGACCGAACAGTCTGATTATTCATTTGAATATTATTCTTCTTTCATTTGATCTACAATGAAGACCATCGTGTTGTTTCTTCTATTTTCTTCGGTAGTTTTACTATCTGCAAATCAAGTAAAATGGTGCCACGAATTTATGGACGATTGCGATAACAGGATGCATGAATATTCGGCCGATGAGAAGAAACAGGCCGCGGTGTTGGGCGAATGCAGAGATAAGTTTGCCGAGAGACAGGCAAAGTACTATCCGCCGGAAGCAACTGTAAGCTCGTTTGATCTTGATTCTTTTCTCTAAAGAAGTCTGTTTAGGGTGAAAAGGAGCTGAAGATTTTAGAGATTCATATGTGCGTACTAGAGAAGCCTAGTGGGTGGCTGCGGGATTCTTTAAATTTTTCAGTCACAACGAACCACGTATTATATATTATATAATTGCTATCAGTTTAGCTTTAGTTTTGCAAGGACTAGCGAGAAAATTCACCGAGTTTTGCTGCAGCGACAGTAAGCAAGACGCAGAGTGCGATCAGAGAGAGTGAAGTTTCTTTAGTCAAATCTCTGGCACGGGTGGAAAACAATATTTCTCATTGAATGTAAAAATTTTTTGCGAGTTTTGGAATAAAAAACTATGCCAGAAGTGTGGGAAAAATTTAAAGAAAATCGGAGCGTCGCGCGGGGAAATACCCTTCAATGCATTTGGACCAAGCGTTACTGAAACCTAAGAGTTGCTTTTTGCACCTCCCGCTCTAGTTGAAAACCTGAAAGAAAGCTCTCCATACATATATGTAATCTGATTTTGAGCGCCCTCCTTGAAAGATTTCTATGGCGAAAGTTCAAATAGAATTACATTCCGTTTTCTTTCAGAACCCTCCAGACCCATGTTACGAAGAGATGAACCGATGTCTCGTTTACGGAGAACCAGACTCCGCCAATTGTTGCCTTAGTCTGTGCGACCCCAACAAACCTTGAACTTGCAAGCCAAAAAAAAATTGTCGATGTTCGAGTTTCAATAAAGAACTTATCATGCCGTTTTTGGAGCTAGACTGTAAAAATCAGCAGAACTGTTAAAAAATCCACGTAACTTCAAACGTTGAAAACTTCGCCGTTAGTTAAATTTAAAAATAAATTCAGATTATTATAACAAGAATTATGCTAAAGAGAACAATTCATGACTTCGATCAGACACCATTTTCCTCAATTTGTTATTTTTTGTCGCATAATCTAATTAAATTACCAATTTGAAACATTCTTAAAATGCTCATGGTCTCCGCACGAAGCATTTTCCTGGAGCTGTTATGGTACTCCAAGTGTGACATTTTTTAAAATTTTTGCTGATTTTATTCTTTGCTGACTTTCCGCGGATTTTTCGTAGTCTCAAAAAAATCTTAATACGTCCGATCAAAAAAAATCTTAATACATTTAATTTTTAATTTAACTATGGAAAGCGCCTGCTAACATTCACAGCGATGCATACTACGAAGAGAAAACAGGCAATTTTTTAAAAATTTTAGGCGTCATACTTGGTTGCTCGTGCTGTAATTCACAATGAAATTTCTCCTCTTCTTTCTGTGCCTCTCTGCTGTTCTCACTGGTTCAGTATGGGGAGAGAGCAACTACGATTGGTGTTATAGCGTAATGTCAAACGCCGCAATTGCCATTAATCCTAACTGGCAATTCCCAAACATCGCCGAACAAAATGCAGCACGCCGCGACAAGATGGATCAATATTTCAATATTGTAAATGTTCGACAAACGCAAGTCCCGGACTACGTTAATTTCCAGGTAAACAAGAGCTTGTGTAGTATGGATATAAACATAACGGTCTTTAGGGGAGAGCCATAGACAGTTCCCGCTGCTATTCGCGGATGAAGACGTGCTTCCGTCTTCTGATCGGCAATCCTCGAGCAATGGGGCTACCGACCAGATGCTGCGTTGACTGTTCCAAGATATATCCATAAAAATTGTTTGATCTGGCCTTGTGACAAATAATGAATAAATATTGCTTGTTCAGTGTACGGTAAAATTACTTTTTCTACACTTGATTACTGAAATATGAGTCAATGCGTGACTAAGATTTCAGTAAAACTTGTAAAGCACTTCTTCCCTTGCTAAGCACCCAGCTTTATTGAACAGTTTGAAGCCAAAACAAAATTGCTTTCAATAATTCCGGTCAATTATACGTTTTGATTAAAAGTTCAAAGACTAACAGGTTTCCAGCAAATTTTAACGTCTCCAGTTAAAATAATTTTGGTCGATTTAAATCGCTTTGAATAAAAATGATTAGAATTTGGGACCATTCCGAGAAAAATGACTCTGTTCTTTGTCTTGTTGAGCTTTTCTCTTTTTCAAGCTGCTTTGGCGAATCCACGGGAAAACTGTCACAATGCTTTGGATGCGATCGAGGTGCAGGTGATCCAGGATCCGAAAGTGGATCAACAGATGCGAGAAACCATCCTCAACCAAGTTACAAAGGGATTTGTTGGAAACGTAGGGGCTTTTTTACAGATTCTCTCAGCAAAGGCTACCTACAGTGCTAGGCAGAGTATAGTGGGAGGCGCATACTGTCTCTTTGTTTTTCAGCAGCAGAACTATAATAATTTTGGGAGCCAAGAATGTTTGAAAGGAGTGCTATATTGTACGAATATCATCAGATACAACGTCAGAATGCTGAGTCCGAGAGAGAAGAGGAGTTGCTGCCGTAATTGTTTCGTACCACGACGTGCTCGTAGACGCGGTTTCAGCAATCCGTTTGGATAATTTATATAGTTTTGTTTTAGAATAAACCCTTGATTGTTCGCTATAGACAGGTTTTTTGTTGAGTTCGTGGCCTATTGTATAGAGACAACACTTGAAAAAGCCCGTGTCCTTGTAGGGCAAGCTTTATAAACATCAGATTTCAGCCAATGCTCGCTATGTTGTGCGAAGTTATACATACGTTGCGGCCAGAATAAGGGACTTTTACCATATGCGCTATTCCAGGAAGAATACCAATGTTTTTACGCTAACCTATCTGCAGTTTTCCTCCTCGACTTTTTTTGGCCCTGCCCGATTTAAATAGATTTAATGCCGGATCTTCCCGACTTTGGAGTGAACACTAAAAGCGCATAGGGTTTATTCCGGCAGACTTTCTGTCCTTTTCTTGCCTTAGGGCTGCAAAATCAAAAACAAAAATCGAGAGATGGGAACTCGTCTGCGCTCGGCATTCCGCTAAAAAATAAAAATTTGCAGATTTCAATTTTCATTTTAATTTTTGGTCCCGACACGAAATCTTTTTCTCACTTTATTTTTTGCCGTAAACAAGACTTCGGGTTGACGCGTGCCGTCCTTTTCAACACTTTTTAACTTATTTTTACCGGGTTGGTCTCCGTGGTTTACTCCTTCATCACGGTGCAGTGGATTCTCATTGTTTTTGTTGCTCATAAGACGGTGGTTTTTGGACTAATAGGACCGTATAACTTTCTTTGTTTTTTTTTTAAATATGACCACCCAAGAAAATGATTTTAAACGATCGTAAAAAATTCGAAATCTTTCGCGCAAGCAAAAATTTCGGAGGCTAAGATATGACCCCTGAAATATGGCCTAGGCAGATCAGACTCGAAAAATAAAAAAAATGTCGCTCTTGGGATGTTCCATTGTGAAGACCATTTTTCGCTGAATTCTCATCGTTTAGCACGCTCTCTGGACGTTAAAAGTCGTCGAATATCTTGGATGTCCCTATAAATTATAAGCTTAGATTTTAAAGAGCCGAGATGAAACCCGCGATACGCATTGTGAAAAAAGAAAAGCTTACATTTCAGTTGGTTTTTTTGGCTGTCGCTTGCATCCTGACTTTTTTCGCACAGTGAAAATTCTAAAAATCAACTCGACTTGCCATGGACTAGTAAGGACCAGACACAATGCGTATGCAAAATTTGAAGAGATTCTATCGCAATTCGAACACTGGCTTTATTAAATAAAGCGATTTATTGCCTTTTTCGAAACTGTTTTCATTGTAAAATACGAGCAGTTTTCTGTATTTTTCATATTTCCCCTCAAATTTTTACTTTTTGTTACAGTACCTCTCACCTCCGCATCACATTTGAGAGTTCATTTTTTGGCGAATCTCCTTTGTCTCACCCTCTAAACCTAATCGTTTTGTGCCTCGGGACATCCCCGAATTTGATGTAATTTCCGGTTTCGGGCCAACAACTTTTCCCTTGTCCGCATTGTCGCGCGAGAAAACACGCGTATTTCGAGACTATTTTTCTCGCCGAATTTCTTTACGTTGCATTATATGTTACATTACTAAAAAAATTGGTTTTTTACGTCTTAATTTTTGATGGGAAAAGGAGCTGATGTGTGTTATGATGCGGCTTTTACGTGCATTTACAGTAGAATAAGTTATAAAAAAATTTCAGAATTTGATCAAAATTTTGGCCATGCTTCTAATGGGGAGGGAAAAATGAAACGCCCTTTTATTTTACTGTTTGTCTGTTTTTCTGTCGCCATATCAAATGAATTTGAAGTAAGTTTTTTTTTTGATTTTCCTATTATTTTATTATTTTTTTTGTAAAAAAATTGTTTTCCTAATTAAAAATTTTTTTTGCTTTTTCAACAATTTTTTTTCTTTTTAATCCAACAATTTCAAAAAAAAACTTTCAAAATAAGTTTTTCAGTCCTCCAAAGTCCATCACATATCCGCCGAAGCCAAGCCCCCGCTCAACCGTCCCACTGAATATCAAACCGAAGAACAGCGCCTGCTCTACCACCTCATGAGAACCTACGAACGCTCGGTTCGACCGGTCCGGAATGCCTCGACCACCATTACGGTCAAACTGGGGATGACGCTCACCAACATTTTTGATATTGTAAATTTTTTTATTTCTTATTTATCTTTTTTTATTATTTTTTTATTTTCAAAATTTATTTTAGGATGAAAAAAGCCAAGTTCTGACGATAAACGTGTGGCTGGATCAAGAGTGGAAGGACGAGTTACTGGCTTGGGAGCCCAAACAGTTCAGTGGAATTACTTCGATCCGATTGCCTTGTGACACAATCTGGCTACCGGATATCTTGTTGTATAACAAGTGAGAGTTTACTTTTCATCACAGGAGAAGTCATTTTGCTAATGCAAAAAACCTCAAAATTTTAGCTCGCGCTTTATATACGCTCTCAAAATATCAGACTTTCGGGAAAATCGCAGTGTAATTGGACATCCCCTTTTTTCGATTAGGCAAACAATTTTTGAAAATCCTTTTCTGGCTAAATCTTAGCGAATTTTGGTCGGAAAGAATTTTTTTGAGCTCCACAAATCTTTCAAGTTCTTTTGCGGAAAAAATATAAAATTTTCGACATTTTTTCTGACAAGGAAAGTACTTCTATGGGGTGTGGAATTACCGGTCGAGATATATATCAAAAAATTCGCAAAAATTTTCTGATTCAGAATATATATAAATTAGCTGCCTAATTTTGGTCTGATGACATGTTTTTGTCCTCAGAAGTTTTCTCGCGACACCATGCAAGTGTCTTTTTGACCGTCTTTTTACCAATAAAAAAATTTTTATTTGTGCTAAAATAAATTTTGAGGCCTTGACATGCCTTAAAATATCAAATTGGATTACAACTACACCTTAAAAGTAGTTCCAATGTAGAAAATGGGTTCTAGTGTGGCAAAAAGAATCGAACCCGTCCCCTTCGGATTCCCAATCTAGCGCTCTAACCACTCGGCCACACCGCTCTCTTCCGAAGGAAGAGACCGAGCTCGCTTTTGTTGCCGCAGATTTTTTCCTCGAGAAATACATTTATCGATAAAACTCGTTAATAGACCAAAATTAGGCAGCTAATTTTTATATATTCTGAATCAGAAAATTTTTGCGAATTTTTTGATATATATCTTGACCGGTAATTCCACACCCCATAGAAGTACTTTCCTTGTGAGATATTGAAGGTCGAACAGCAAAATTTTAGCAAATTTTTTGACAGATCCGATTATCATTCTCTCCGAGACCCTCCATTTTAAAAAAATTTCCATATCCGTAAATTTCAATTTTTTTATTTTATTTCCTATACTAATCCTTCCATTTTCAGTGCCGACGACTTTACCAGTGGCTACATGCGTTCCCGAGCGATGGTTTTCTACGACGGCACGGTCTTCTGGCCCCCTCCAACCCGCCTCCGATCCCTCTGTAAAATCGACGTCACTTATTTCCCTTTCGATGACCAATTATGTATCCTCAAGTTCGGCTCCTGGTCCTATCATGGGTTCCAATTGGATCTAACGAATCGATCGACCAATATCGACCTCACAAATTACGTGGAATCGGGGGAATTCGAGCTGGTGAGAGTTCATCAAAAGCGGAGAGTGGTCAAATATTCTTGTTGTAAGTCAGGAAGCCAGCTGTACATGTGGTTTTTTTTGAATTTCGAACGTTTCCGGAGGAGCTTATTTTATTATTTTTTTTTTTGATTTGTATTTGCATTTTTGAGTGTTGGCTGGGAAAAGTTTACGTTAAAAAATTTTTGAAAAAATCACGGAACGTAGCCCAAATTTAGATTATAATATTTTTCGATGAAATTTGTACCTTGCGCTTGGCCGAAAACGCTGAGAATTTTTTTATGTCAAAGGTTGGCAAAAAATTACTGATGTATACTACATATTACAATATATACATTTTTTTTTCTTTTTGGGAATAAAAAAATCATAATCTGCTTCAAGTCAGAAGTCTAATATCAGTCTGTCGGAGAAATAATCAGCGCTCTGTCGCATCGAAAATCGCATCATAGCCGAGAAAATGAATTGTGTCGCGACAAAATTAAATTTTTTTTTAACTTCAGTGACTTGGTTGGCGCAGCGACTGAACGGTCACTATTTTCCCGACAGACTGATAACATTTTTATGAGAAATCATTTTTTTCCCGAGCAGAGCTTGCCAGGAAAGCGCCGAATTTTTTTGTCTGACCGTCTCTCCTCATTTTACGTACTCTCTTGTCTGCAAAGAACGTTGGATATCATTCCCTTCTAAGGCGCGAGCTAAAATTTTAAGGAATTGATATGTGGCTTTGGAGGATCATTCGTGCAAAATTGTAGGAAAATCCGAGAGTTGGAAGATCTCTTTTGGAGTTTTCGGTTCATGAATCAGTAAAAAATCACAAAATGCTCGCACTACTTTCAGTTCCACTAGATATGCAAAGACTGTTGAATATTTTGCCTACGGACTCTCGAAAAGAGCGCCATTCCTCAAAAAAATCAAAAAATTATACAATACACGGGATATTCTCCATGTACGACATACCTACAGTAACCAGTACAATATTTTGGCCTAAAAAACACAAATACGATTAAAAAAGTTTTCTTGTCATCAACATTATTTTGAAAAAGCAATGTTCTGTGGCGCGTATTTTACTCTGTTTTTTCTATTCTCTTCCAATTTCAGGTGACGAGCCCTATCCGGATATTACTTTTTACATTCACGTGAGACGGAAGGCAAGTTCCATTTTTTTTAAATTGAACAAAAAAATTTTTTAGACCCTATTCTACATTCACAACATTGTCTTTCCCTGTGTGATGATGTCTGTTCTCACATTATTAGTCTTCTACCTGCCTCCAGATTCTGGAGAAAAAGTTGGGCTCGGCATTACTGTATTACTGGCGTTCTCGGTAAGTGTGTAAACATTTTTGAGATTGCGAAAAAGTTTTATTTCATCTTTGACCTCCTGTCTTTGAAGTGTTAACTTTTGAACCTTGACTTCCAAACTTTTTATTTCTAAATCAATTTTTTGGAAAATTTTCGTCTACGGCCATGGCTCAACAATCACATTTTTTCCACGGTTTGCATAATCCGCCTTGCAAGGCCACTTATCAGATTTTCCAAATTTTAGCTCTCTGTTTACAGCAGTAGCCAAAATATACAGGTGATTTTTCGGAGCGAGATACTGTGAAAAAAGAAGAGAAGTGGCGAGAGAAAAAAATTTGTTGCCTTTGCTTTGCGAATTTCGTGTGGAAATTGCTTTTCCTTTCAAAAAAAATCATTCAAAAATATCGATTTTTCCGAGAATTTCGACTTAAAAATCACAATAATGATTTCTGTAAAACGCAAGATAAAAATGTTTAACAAGGAAAGTACTTCTATGGGGTATGGAGTTACAGGTCGAGTCATATATCAAAAAATTCGCAAAAATTTTCTGATTCAGAATATACAAAGATTAGCTGCCTAATTTTGGTCTATCAACGAGTTTTATCAATAAATGTATTTCTCGAGGAAAAAAATCTGCGGCAACAAAAGCGCGCTCGGTCTCTTCCTTCGAAAGAGAGAGGTGTGGCCGAGTGGTTAGAGCGATAGATTGGGAATCCGAGGGGAACGGGTTCGATTCCTTTTGCCACAGAACCCATTTTTTACATTGGAACTACTTTTTAAGGTGTAGTTGTAATCCAATTTGATATTTTAAGGCTTGTCAAGGCCTCAGAATTTATTTTAGCACAACACAAAATTTTTTTATTGGTGAAAACACGGTCAAAAAGACACTTGCATAGTATCACGAGAAAACTTCTGAGGACAAAAACATGTCATCAGACCAAAATTAGGCAGCTAATTTTTATATATTCTGAATCAGAAAATTTTTGCGAATTTTTTGATATATATCTCGACCGGTAATTCCACACCCCATAGAAGTACTTTCCTTGTAAAAAAATCTTTCTTATCCCGAAAATCTCAATTCTTTCAGGTCTTTGTTCTCGCCGTAGCCGAGAAGATGCCCGAGACCTCGGAGTCCTTACCTCTAATCGGCATTTACCTCACCACCATCATGTTTCTTACCTCAATTTCGGTCGTAATGACCGTATTGGTCCTCAATTTCCATCATCGCGGCTTCATGAATGAAGAGGTTCCGGAATGGATCGACGAACTTTTTCTGAACAAACTCCGGCGATTCGTTCGAATGAAGAAACGAAGATCCAGTATTCTGACGAAAGCTGCTGCACCGTGCAATAATAAAACGAGCCGCCGCCGTCCAACCATCATCAGTATGAATGGGGTGAATAAAATGGATTATGAGCTGGTCCCGAATGGCGTGGACAAGGAGGAAGAGCACGAGAATAACAATCATAACATGGCGTTGAGCCATCGAATGCCCGATAAGCTGAATGTGGTGGAACAGACGATTCTAACGTCACTGCAGGTGGGTCGGCAAGGTGTTTACTGTAGGCTAAAATTTAGTTTTGCAATTATTAGATTTTTTTCGGATTTTTTGGTAGGGACACCTGAAGTGCGACTTCAGAGTAAAAATTTGACGTTTTACTCCGAGTCCGAGGCATTGCATTTTTACGAAAAAAAATAAATTTTTTTCGTGAGAAGAGGTATAGGAAAAAAAAGATTTTTTTTGTCTAGCCGACTCTCTTCATTTTGCATACTCTCTCGCAAAAATATAGCGGATTATCTTCGCCGCCCATGCAAAGCTCAAGCTGAAATTTTCTATGATTGATATATGAAGCACACAGAGTTTGGATGTAATGCAAATTTGGGGGTTCGTTTGTGAGGACTATGTACATATATTTCCTGTAGGGGTTTTCGGTACAAATGTCGGGCGATTGGCGGGAAAAAATCGAAGAAAAACAGTCATTGATTACAAGATGGACGACAAATTTTTTTGAGATGTCTGGAATGAGAATTTATGCCATTTTGAACACTCAACATACCATGGGCTCCTTTACAAGCTAGCAAGACAGAAGGCCAAAAATTGGCGGAAATTGCCATTTTTTGAATTTCGATTCTACTTTTATCTGTCTCATAGGCAAAAATGGAGTATTTATGACCTGGAAAAACTAACTTAAACTTGTCGGAGTTCAATATCCACCTCTAGCCACTATTTTTTATATTACTTTAGCCTTCAATTACCAAAAAATGTTTCAGGAGCTCCTCCAACAACAGCGTTATCAATTCCAACAAGAGACTCGAGCGGAGAAATGGCGGATGGTTGCGGAAGTCATCGATCGTCTGCTTTTTCACATTTTCCTCGTCTCGACCCTACTAATTACAGTGATTATGTTGCTCATGATACCCTTATACAGACGTCTGTTCTATGACGACCAATTCGATGAGAAGTTGTTTGGTCGGATGTAAATTATGTAGAATGTGTTATAAATGTATTTAAAACATAAAGTTCTACGATTTATTCAGTATTTTCATGTATTTGACATTAATTTAGACCGCAGATGAGTAACGTTCCAGATCAAAAATCTGAAGCTTCTCTGAATTGGATGGCTGTCTCTTGCGAGGAGCAGAGATACCACTGGTACACTGAAATAAATTTTTTGAAGTTTTAAATGTGTAAACAGTAATCTTACCATCTCGTAAACGATTTGACAAACAAGGAAAATCATCAAAGCTGTGGCAATAAAGAGGACAAGGTAAAGAAACAAAGCCACATAAGGCAAGGTAGACGTCGTGAACTCTTCCAATTGATCGGAAACTGAAAAAAAAAACCCATTTTTTTGACATTAAATTATCAATAATGGCTAGTATAATATAAAATGCAGTTAGAAACTGACTGTTTTTATTGGATCTGGCCTGACCCAACGGCATCAAGATATTGTACATTTTGCTGCAACCACCGATCACCGTGTTTTCTCATCCAAAATGACGGTATTTCAACAACCAATAATTTTGTGACATTTCGCAACATTTGTGAAATTTCGTCTAAAATAAATTTCTTTTGCCAAAATTTTATTTTTTGATGGGCAAAATCAGGAGGACGGACAAGAGTCGATGCTATAATGTTGAGGATTCCTCGAATAGCAGCAGTTTATCGAATAATCCCTCGAAATCACTCGAAGGTCTTGGTTTCGGTTCGATGCATCTCGGTCGGAGACGTCTTCGGCAAGGTTGATGTCTCGGTAAGTCTTCGAATTTGTGTTTTCGCCTTTTTAGATTCATGATGCTTGGCCGCTTTTTTCTAGGCCTTGAATTTTTGTCAGTTATACGATATCTGCGCCATGTGTAATATAATTGTTTGCAGAAAATCGCAGATCTCCCACCGATCCCAACTCCACCTCCTCCAAGGCCCTCGCTGACGGAGCTTCTTGAGGCCAAACAGAGTATTCTCAACGAATTAGGGTTGTTTACATGGTATACACCTTCAAGTTACTTCCGATATGCTCTTGAGTTTATGCACAATAATCTGGAGATTCCATGGTGGGCAACGTTGATGCTGAGTGAGTAAACAGCGTGTTATCTCTTTTTGTTCAAGTTTTTAGGTTTTAAATCAGCTAATTTTTACTTTTCTAGCAACGCTGGCCTTGAGGTTGATCTTGGTGAAGGTAGTGGTGTTATCGCAGAAAAATGTTGCCATTCAAAGTCATTATCGCAAGGAGATGGGAGAATTCCAAGAAAGGCTACAGCAAGCAAAGGCCGAAGCCAACAATTTGCTTAGTAAGTGTTTTACAAGTATTTCTTTGGAATTTTAGGCATTATCATGAACAATATCGATTGAATCGCAATTCTTACTGCTTTGATTTCAATCAGAAAAATTTGAATAACAAGTATATGTTCCAGTGCAACAAGTAATGGTTGAGCAGCGCGATTTCCTTCGCTCGAAAGACATCAAAATCGGTCGGCAAATGATGATCCTTTTGGCCAATGGAGCTGTTTTCATGACCCAATTCTTTGCTGTCCGAAAGATGGCCAATACTCCATATCCCGGATTCAATACTGGTGGGACTCTTTGGTTCCCAGATTTGACCATCCCTGACCCATATTACGCTCTCCCCATCATCTCGGCTCTTTCGATGGCCGCCGTCCTCAAAGTCGGTATTGAATCTGGTCAAACCTCGGATCAAATGGGCCCAGCAATGAAGTATGGAATGCAATATGGTCTCCCATTAGTAGTACTTGTATCCAGCTCTCAATTCCCGGCTGCTTTGTGTGTTTATTGGTGCACCTCCAACGTGATTTCGTTGGCCTACGCGGGATTGTTCAGATTACAGCCCGTCCGGAATTTCTTTAACATCCCAAAGTTCATTCCCGTCCCGAAAAACAGTCAGAAAGGGATCAAGAACGTCTGGAAGGACTATCGATGTAAGGATTTTGGTTTTTTTGGAAGCTTCCTATCATGTGTAATATAAAAACTATTACATATTTCATCTATTAGCATTCCTATGCAAGATTTGTTACTTTCTGACGAGTTAAGCTCTATTCACTTCATTTCAGCGGCGAAAGCAGCACCGCCAAGCCTGGAAGACCTCCGAAAGAAGGACCAACTCCAATTCAAACGTGCCGGACGTGCTCAACCTGTCGAAAAGGTGGAAAATCAGTAGTGTTTTATTGTTTTTATTTGTTGTTAGGAATCCATTTATAAAGTTTGTTGTTTTTGTGACGATTTTTTGCAGTTTTTTACTTAAAATTTTATCTACTACAATATCGAATGAGAAATTATATTTAAAAATATTTTAGGTAGGAATTAGATAAGATGCACTGAGTTTTAGTCAGGAAGCAGGTCGTCGGCTCCGAACTCGCTCATATCAAAGGGATCCGCGTTTTTCGAATTGAATCCAGTCCTCGGCCTCTCCGTTTGCGGAGCTACTGGGTCATCGTAGGCCAAGTCAGCATCAGTTATATCGCGTTTTTGCGGTCGATAGGGCCCATCGACCTCTAGTAAGGCCTTGGCGCTGTGTTGGCGGGAAGGCGCGGACATTACACTTGAATTTCCTAAAATATTTGGGTGTAATGACCTAAAATAAGGTTGAAATTGGATTTTTAGACTAGAAAACGTCGAATAAGGATTTAATTTGTTCTTGAAAGGGGTTTTATGCGGTATTCTATAAAAATTTTTGGTGCTTTTGAGATATAGTAATTTTCATATTTTTGCTTACTGCTTGGTGGTGGCAAAGTATTCGGTGATGCCACAGCCAATCTGCGGCTTTGACTGGAGTCAGTTTCGCGCTGAGATCGCCGTTGTAGCCCCTGATCGAGACGGCGTAACTTCTTTTCGTACTCGGCTTGCTCTTCGAGCATCCTCAAGTCTCGACTCAATTGGACCAAAAACTTGAGACATTCCACATTCTGAGGGAACTGTAGATGGGTTTGTTTGTACACTTCTAACGACTTTTGGAGTTGGCCGGCTCTGCGTTGACACCCGGCCATGAGGAGGTACCATTCAACGTTGTGGGGTCTGGAAAAATGATGTTATAGGTGGTTTAGGGTAAGATATTATCGAAAAAGTTTCAAAGATAGAGCCATTTTGTATTAAAAAGACCACAAAATAATAAGAGAGCTATTGACGACAAGCCTGAGGAAATTTAGCGTTTTACTATCAATAACAAACCACAGTCAACTTACTCCATAATAGCCGCTTTTTCGAAAAACCGAATAGCACTTTCGGGTATTTGACTGTCAATGTAATAGTTGCCAAGCCATTTAATGACCTCTATGTTGGCCGGAAATAGCCTATAGCTGTCGTTCATATAGTTGAAGGCCGCTGATTTATCGCCCATACTGTCGTAAAGCTGCCCCAACTTGTACAAGATGGCTGGATCATTGGGAGCCAGGCTGGAGGCGTCCGAGTAGAAGTCAATGGCTTGCTGCTTGTCCGAACCTTCGTATCTGGAGAGAAAATCTACACTGTGCAAAGAAGATTTGCTTTGTGTTTTGGCCGCATTTTGCGAAAAAAGAAAATTTTGATTTTTTGCATAGGCAGCAGGAAACTTTGAATTTTTTTAATAACTTACAGCGAGGCGAGTTGAATAAGCACTTGAACATTATTCGGTAGGATACTCCGGAGCTTGTAGTAGCTGTTAATTGCAGTTTCCAAGTCATTTGTCTCCTTGCTGAGCAATCCCAAATTAAATAAGGCTTGAATGCAAGCTGGCTCGATTTGAAGGGCTTCACTGAAAAATTTATAGTTGTTTTCTAGGTCAACCGGTAAAATACAAAGTAAAAGACACTGATTTCAACTAATTCCTACCGATAGCACTGAATAGCCGATTTGTGGTTGCCTTGGAGGTGATAAACGTTCCCTCTGTTGACCAAAGCATTCGAATTATAGCGGTCTAGACTTAGCGATTGTTCGGCAAATTGCGCTGCATCATTGAGATGGTCTTTTCCTTGCTGAAACACAAAAAAATATTTTTTTAATTTTTTGGCGGTAAGGTAAAAAATTTGGCTGTATCTCTGACCAATTTGATGGAAAAAATTTTTGTAACCCTATTGGACTCCTCACTTCAAAGAGGTACTGAAACTTTGAAGCTGAAAATCGCGAAAAAATCGGAATTCTTGCCAACTTTCCGTCTAAAAATATCGGTCATCTTTGCAAAGCACGTGCTAAAAATTTAAGTTGTGACTTATAAAATATTAGTCTCAAATTGTGCAAAGTTTTATCGAACTCTATGCATCGCAGCCTCAGCAATGACCCGCGGAGAAATTATCATCATTTTCCGTTTAGCGAAAGAAGTATCGTTGAACATTTCGACTGACTTTAAAAAATATGAGCTAAAATTCTCAACGATTGATAGCCATTCTATATGAAGTCTGTGTTCCAAATTTGAACGAAATCGAAGGGCTACATTTCGAGAAATTCGCTGTTCAAGTCAACTCACCATCATGGTCAACATGGCCAAATTGTTGGCCGAAGCGCTGGCCACTTTGTTCTCCTTGTTGTTAAATGCCAACAATGCTTCCGTCGCGGTCTCCAAGTCGCCCCGCTTCAGCATTTCCACGGCTTTGTTCATCTCCAATTCGGTCGCCAAACCCGCATAAATCGATTGTTTTATGACCCCCAGGCACCATTCGTATCCCTCATGAAAATCCTTGGCAATTCGGGGCGAAATAACTTTTGCAGCGGTCATAATCGTATTCTCAGCTAGCTGTTTGCGTTGACGTTCCCATCTAAAAACGATTTTTTTATTTTTGTTAGTAGAGTCCACGTAAAATAAGGAGAGTCGGGCATGCGAAAAATTTTTCCATAACTTACAGGGGAAGTACCCCAAGTGCGACGCTCAGATTTTGATGAAACTTGGCACAAATTAAGAATAATTTTTCTAAGATATATGCGAGAATCCTAGCTCGCGCTTTGCAGAAACAACAGAGATATTTAGATCGAAAGTCGGCCAAAATTTCGGACTTTTTGCCGAATTTCGGCACGAAAAGTTTCATGCCTATTTCTACCGTAAAGGGTAATGTTTCTACAAAAAATCAAAATTTTTCGCATGAAACTGCCAAAGTTATGGCCAAAAAGCGTTTTTCTCTCTGACCGCTCTCCACGTTTAGCGCGCCCTCTCGGCGGCATAAATCGTCCGATATCTCGGCGGCTCCTGCAAAGCGCGAGCTAAAACTTCAGGAATTGATATTTAGTCTATTCCCGACGTGTGTGCAAAATTTAAAGAAAATCTAAGCGTCGCACTTGGGGGATAGGAAATTTTTTTTTATTTATGTCAATTTTGAGTAAAAAAAAGTCAAATTTGAAGTATATTCCGCCATTCTATGGTAAGTTTTAATATACCAACTTTTGTAAAAAAATTAAATTTCTACAAAAACACTGCCTACTTTTTCAACATGTCGTTATTCATTGCCTCCTGAGCCAGAATATCGATGTCCTGTGGCTTCGTGGAATCATCAACCATTGTTGGAATGTCCACAAGTCTCTGGAAAGCGTCTTTCATACTTTCAGCATCGTCCAAACAATAACAAGCCAGCACAAGATTCAGAGCAGCATGGTAATCGGCTTCGGTCTGAAAAAAAATATTTTTCATTTTTAAATTACCAACTATTTATAGTATTTTTTACTCAATTTCTTGCTTATTGCACAGTGCGATCAATTGAAAAATGATTTCTAATTGCACTATGCGACTAGAGACGACTTATTTTTGCACAGTGCACAAATTTTTCAATTTTTTTGACTGCACAGTGCGGTCTGGAAAAATGATTTTTGCACAGTGCAATTTACAAAAATGCACGGTGCACTGAATTAAAACAATTTTTTCAAAAACTCCTCACAGTAACTCACCTTGAGGCACTCGCTAAAATTGTCCCTTCCACTTTCATATTTGCCTCTTTTGATCTGAGCCACGCCAATATTATTCAAGATCTTGCTCTGCATTCTCCTTTGGGTTTGAGGGACTCGATCCAACGCTTTTTGATAATATTTCAGAGCCGTTGGATAATCTCGCCGTCGGAAATACAAATTTCCAAGATTCACATTGAGTCTTTTCACATTTGCAAAGCTTTCGTCCGATAAAATCACCTGAAATTTTGTTACAGTAACCCAAATGAGGTTTTCAGATTTTTTTCAAATTTTATGTAAACACTCTATGCATGACGTAAATCAGCTCACAAAAATTTTTGATTTGCAACGAGAACTGAGATTTTGCGCAATCTTTTTTCTCCGAAAGAGCATGCAAAATGAGGAGACACAGTCAGACAAAATCACCTTTCCGCCTATTTCTCAGCCAATTACGTTCAGAAAAACTTGAACTTCATAAAAGCTTTCGTATTTTACCTCATAAGTGTTGATCGCCTCACTGATCATGTTGTTGTTGACATGCTGACAGGCCAGCGTGAGTTGTGCTGATAAAGCGAGGTCGATGTTTTCGGGCTCTCTGGCGTCTCTCTTCATTTTCTTTATGTTTTGCTCCACCCGATTCGCCTCTTTGGCCTTGTCCAACGCCAATTTCATCTCATTCCGGTCGCTCGCCATGACACTCTCGACCAGGAGGTCTTTGCATTTGTTTTCCAGCTCCTTGATCTTCTTGACGACACTGAAAAAATCGAATTTTTTTAAAACAGCTGAAACCGACCTGTCTTCATGGCTTTCCAATCCATTCTGAGGAGCCTTGACCCCTTCGAATGTTGATTCTGAAATTTGTTTAGTCTCGGCATGGACTCATTTACTCACTGCGTCCAGCTGAAGTGAATCCGGCGCCTCGGACGGCCGTCATTGGCCGTGAAACCTCATTTCCGATCCTCCTGGATGCCAATGAACTCCGTAACGCCGAAGCTGTTGGAAGACGAGCTGCATTCAGTTGATTGGACCCTGTTCCGAGACGACTTCCAATGGCTTGGCGAGCTCCGGTCGGCTGAAATTTTGAAGGAAAAAATAAAATATTCTTTGAAAAGGTCTTATAAAAAGTGCTCCGGCTTCCACAAAAAATTTGATTGAAGATGAAATCATCTAAAATTATGTTACAGTATCTCAAGTGTAACATAATTTTACTCTCCAATTTTCTTCAAATTTTGCACAGATTCTCTACAAGGATCATGTATAAATTCTTGAAAATTTCAGTTCATGTTTTCCACCGACAGCTCAGATTTTGCGCAATTTTTTTCCAAACTCACCAATCTTCTGGAATGACTTGACCTTGCTGCTGCCCGGACAAATTCTTTGTCCGCAAACAGTGCCTGAAAACTAAGTGTTTATTATTTAAGATGGATTTTTTTTTAAGACTTCGTATTTTACTTACATCCGTGTCGTAAGCATGGTCGTAATCGTTGAACCCGCTGTAAGGATCTTCTGTCGACGTTGTCATGGCTGTCTACCACTGAAAATTGTCAAATACACGGTTTTTATTCAAGTAGCAACTCAATTTTATGCCAAAACTTACGATTTCCTTAGCTTTTCCTGCGAATTTTATCCGTTTTGAGTTTCCATAGCTACAAAACTGTTGTTATGACAATAAATTTTACTGCAAAATTAATATCCTTTTGTTTTTTTACCTAAATAATTTGAATTCCCGTATATTCCAATATAAAAACTGTTATTTTTATTCATAATTATCAATTCAGCACATTTCTTTCAGTACTCTTCGACTTGAAACTTACGGTTAGACGTGGCTCAGTGGTCTAGTGGTATGATTCTCGCTTTGGGTGCGAGAGGTCCCGGTTTCGATCACCGGCTGAGCCCAAGCTTTTCTTTTTGCGAAGTTTGCTCAAATTACACTGCAAATAAATAGCAAATGTAAGTTTTCACTTTTCTCACTATTTTACTCCCTTCGTAACTTCATTTTGTGTCTATTTTATGAACTTCTGCGTGAGCTTCACCACGAAAACAATCAAATTTGAAGCGGAATGCCAATAATAAATGAAAAAAATCTTCCAACAGTGCAAAATTTAGCAAATTCCAAAGAAATTCATCCGATAATTTTACGTGTGCTTGAAGAGAGATTCCAACTTGTAATTTCAGGGCCAGTCTTTCTAGCGAACCGGATATGCCAGGCGACGATGTTATCAAGAAGGCGCAGGAGGTCCATGATTCTTTGAAGGCCTTGATCAGCAAAGTAAGGGAGCAAAATGACCAGCTGGATAAGGTGAGTGGCTTGGATTTGATGTGTTTTGACTTTTAGAAGCTTTAATAACGGGAGTCAAGCGGTTTGGAAGCGGCGAAAATTAATTTTTAGAGTAATATCGGATGTCTTTGGATTTTTTATGTTTTGTTTTACTTTTCCTGCCTATCCACACCATTTTCAGCGACAACCTCTTCCCGATTTCTCAGCCCAGTCATCAAGCAAATCGCAGCCTGTTGTTCGGCAAAAAATCGCTGAAATGTCTGATGAAGTCGTCGACTCGAATCCCTACTCTCGACTGATGGCCCTCAAACGAATGGGTGTAGTGAAAAACTACGAAAACATTCGAAAGAAATCGTTGGCAGTTGTTGGAGTGGGTGGGGTTGGCTCTGTGGTCGCCGAAATGTTGACTAGATGTGGAGTTGGGAAGCTCATTTTGTTCGATTACGACACCGTGGAGCTGGCGAACATGAATCGCCTCTTTTATAAACCGGATCAGAGCGGATTGAGCAAGGTTGAGGCGGCCAAAGAGACCTTGGTGTAAGTATTTTAATTGTTTTTTTTCTGTGTTTAGATATTTTTTGCAAAAAATGAGGTCTCTTATTTCTGTATCTTTACAGAAAGATCAATCCAGATGTTGAGTTTGAGACCCACAATATGAATATTACCACCATGACCAACTTCAATATTTTTATGGAGAGAATTCAACATGGCTCTTTGACCGGTGGTGCCGTTGACCTGGTTCTTAGTTGTGTCGACAACTTTGAAGCCAGAATGACCATCAACACCGCTTGTAATGAACTTGGACAGACTTGGATTGAATCTGGAGTTAGTGAAAATGCTGTTAGTGGTCATATCCAATTTATTGAGCCAGGAAGAACACCTTGCTTTGCGGTAAGTTTTTGGTTTTGTTTAGGTAATCGAATCAGAAATCTAAATTAGAACACAAGGCTCGAAGACGTTTTATACGATGAAACATGTTTTATCGTATAAGATGTCTCCGAAGGATCGTACAGTTACAGCTTTTCTGTAATTTAATAATTGCACTTTCAGTGTTCTCCACCATTAATTGTGGCTACAGGAATCGATGAGAAGACCTTGAAAAAAGATGGAGTTTGTGCCGCTTCCCTTCCCACAACAATGGCGATTGTTGCCGGTCTACTCGTCCAAAATGCCCTCAAATTTCTCCTAGAATTTGGTGAAGTCTCCGTGTTCCTCTGCTACTCCGCCATGGAGGATTATTTCCCACGAGCCGACCTCAAACCGAACCCTTATTGCTCAGAAAATCACTGTAAACAAAGACAGAAAGAATACCAAGAGAAATTGGCTCGAGAAGGCCCAAAAGTGGAGGAAAAACAACAAGTCGAGGTTGTCCATGAAGAAGAATGGGGAATAGAAGTGGTAGATGAGTTTGTACCAGAGGAAAAGGCCACGGAAGTCGCGCAAGGAATCAAGTTGCAATATGAAGCAGCTGATGTGGAAGAACAACAAGAAGAAGTGCCAGAAGAGGCCGAAGATCCAGAAGAAGCCAAGAGAAAGTTGGCTGACATGATGGCACAACTAAAGGCGATGAAAAAGGAGTAGTTTTGTAACTTATTTATTACTTTTTATATTGGACGAACTGCGCCCTGGATAACATTCAAATTTTTAATTTTTTTGTAAGATTGAAAGAGATTGTTGAATGGAGCATGTCAAATTAGTCATTCATTGTGGTCTTATCATCTGCCTGTCTTTTATATCGAATTTTAATTATTTTTTATATTATTCATGGTACTATATTTTTATCGGATTTCTGCGTATCTTTTTAGCTTATTCATGTCGAATAAATCACTTATTCATGGTTTAATTGAATTTTTGGACTGGAATCGTTGTAATTTATAGTAACTTATATCCTAAAATTAGTCAGCAAAGACAAATTTTAAAAATTTTTTTGATAATTTATCGTTTTTCATATTACTTTCGAGAATATTTGGCGTATTTCGTGGAGTGTGCTGGAGAAGACAATAAGCACCGGTTCAGGAAATAGTAAAACCAGACAAAAATTATATTACACTAGACAAGAAAGTGGGAAATCGCCGAAATAAATATGGCCGATTAATCACAGACAGATCGTATATACAAACAGTGACATTATGGCTTAGCTGGAACTACTTTGAGCTCCACTTGTCGTCAATGGGATCTCCATCTGTTCGTTTCGGAAACAGAAATACTCTCCCACCACGGTGCATATCGTCACACTGACCAGCTGCAGAAGCCACCACATGAGTTGAGTTGGTATTGTCGCATTGTAGAGAATTACGAGGACGAAATGCCAAAAGTGAGCCGTGCAGGCAAAGTCAAGGCAATTTTTGGCTCGTTGAACTGTCCGGGAAAAGGCGTATCCAAGGATTGCAGCGGAAATTATTTGAATGATACTGACCGGCCGGGCTGTCTGAAAACGGCAGCAATACATGTTATAATCAAATAACTGTATGAAATATTAAAATTTTATATTCAACATGGCTCAAGCACAGAAGTCATTAAAAAAGATATACAAAAATAGCCCAGGATTCTTCATCAACAACATCAAGGGCACTTTAACTTTAATCTAACCAATTATATCCAAATTGGCTTTATAAATTAACCAAACTGCAAGCTCAACCGCTTCAGGCAGGCAGTGCAATATCAATTTTCCTAAAAACCAATCAAGAACAACAAAAACTCACAATTGGTGTGAAGATATGGTCAACTGTAGGTTTGTATGGCGTAAATACTGACCAGATGTACATGGACAAGCACTGCGACGCATAAAACAAGGACTGGTTGCACCCAATTTGGCCAATAATTAAAAGAGGATCCCAAACCGCTGGCCGAAAGCCGTTCATCTTAACCTGAAAGGCTGAAATTATAATTTAACACATGGCTAACATGTAAGACAAGCACGAAGTCGTATACGAAAGATGTAAACTCGAGATCTCGAGAAAAATTGTGGAAAAATACGTTGGCGAAAGACTTGACCTGATTTGGAAATGAGTCAACTTTCGCTCTATTGAAGAAAACATGACACATTCGTATGTGTCACGTTTTTCTCTGAAAAATAAATTTTGTAAATTCGACGAATATTCGCCAAAATTTGTCACACCCACGTAAGAACAGTCATAGATGGGCTTTTTCATTGACTCCATATCAGAAGCCAAGGAGGACAACGTCAGAAAATGGATAAACAGACGGTTTATATTAACCTTGTTGATGTTGGTCGTTCCAATCGGGTATTTGGCGTTTATTTCAAGCCCAGAATATGCAGTTCCGATGAGGATGAGTGAATCAGCAACGTTAGTAGCTATTGCAAATGATGAATTTAATCAGCAACGAAAGATGGATGAATTTGCAAAGGAAATCCAGGGCTTTCATGGCTCCAGGTGAGAGTTTTTTGTTTGGTGCTTTTTGTTTTAGGTATGAAAACGAGATTTTCTACTTAGAAGGTGCTATTAGGTGTGGTTTAGCTGATGGAATGTATTTTTCTTTCTTTTAGTTTCTTTTTATACCTAAAATTGACATATTATATTATTTGTTACCTATTAAAATCAAAAATTACTTTAAAATATTTTTTGCGATTTCATACGTTCCAAACTTACTTTTTTAGAAACCTGACTAGTAAATTCATCCAACGAATATTCCGTGAGCAGCAGATTGAAGTATACGAACAGAAGTTTGTCAATAAAGTATCAGTAAGTCATGTTCAATATAATTTGATTGGTTTTTAGAAGCGAACTGGTATCAACACCTTTGCTGTGCTTAGAGCCTATCGTAGCGTCCCCGAAGAAGCGATTTTAGTGGTTGTCCAGAATTCCAAGAAGCAGACACATGCTGTAACGACGGCCTTGGCCTTGGCACTCTACGCCAAAAGTGAGATTTTGACATTTTCTCACCGAAAAGCTCTTAATGTGTAGTGAAAACGGCTTTTCAATTGTCTGAATGACTTTTCAGCCAAGCACTACTGGGCTAGAGACCTGATCTTCCTCTTCGTTGATGGCCGCGAACCTTTTGTTGGGACTCAAGCTTTTCTCGCCGCCTACAATGGAGAATCCCTTCCATTGGTCGAATTCGACCCTCTGGAGACAAATTCCGGCTTCATCATTGGTGGGGTGTGTTTGGACATCGATACAACGCACTTTACCCACATGCTTGTCCAATATGTCTCTTTGAATGGGATTTTGCCAAATTTGGACACAATCAATTCGATTAATCGAATGAGCCGAAAATATGGTATCCCAACAATAATGAGGACCCAAGAGATCGGCGAGAAAGATATTATCAAGAGACATGTTGAGACGTTGTTCAGAGGAGTCATTTCTCAGGTAAGTGTCTAGTGCAATATATTTTTTTTGAAGTTTAGATATAAGAATGGAATTAAACGACTTGTTTATGTCATTATAATTATCGTTAGCTAATGATGCGTTCAATTTCAGGCTTTTAACGAGCTGGAAGGTCTCCATTCTATCCTAAATCAATATGGAATCCACTCGTTAACTCTGAAGCCGTACAACGCCGGAAATCGTTTTCATAGATTTGAGGTCAAAAATGCCATGCCAAGAATCACTGAGGGCATTGTGAGAAGTTTGAACAATATTTTGGAACGATTCCATCAGAGTTATTTCTTCTATCTGATGTTATCCAAGGATTATTTCTTGTCCATCGCCTTCTTCTCACCGGCCATTGGAATGTTCTTGGTGGTTTTTGTTCTCCATCAATTTAGTGGGTGGTAAGCGGTTTAATTTTTGTATCAGAAAATATCGAGAGCGTATTTTACATTGTTTTAGGGGGAAAAAAATATTTTTTGCGTTTTTTGTGGTCAAATCTGCGGATTTTATCTATTTCTCCTTTAAAAAATACAGTAATATTTTAAGGTTGGACGCGAAAAAGTTTGTCCTCCCCACAGAATGGATCTGCATTTATGTTTTCTCCGGCTTATCCTACTTTCTTCATTGCCTCCTAATGACTGACAACGTTGTAGTGGAAGAGCTCGCAAAGTTTTGTCATGACGTTGGAATCGATGAGGAATTCCATTTTGCGACAATTTTCCTCGCAACAAACCTGCTTTTACCGGTCATTGTTAGCCGAAAAATGTGAGTGTTTACTTGATTTTTTTCTTTTTTTTGGGTTCGTAAAAGAGTAAGGAGGGAAATTTTAAATTTTATCCTTTTTTTATAAAAATTTGATGATGAAAACTATTGTTTTGATAAAGAAAAATGTCTTCCGCACAGTGCGGATGGTTTCAAATGCCTTTTCCCCATCTAATTTTGTTGAAAACAAACGAATTCCGCAGTGTGCCCGGTTAGCTCAGTCGGTAGAGCACCAGACTCTTAATCTGGCTGTCGCGGGTTCGAGCCCCGCATCGGGCTAAGGCTATTTTTGATTTTTTTGCTTGGAAATTATTATTTTTTTGTTCGAAAATTATTTGATTAATTTTTTCTGAAGATTTTCTAAACCATTTTTCTCATTTTTCAAATTTTTTGTAGATTTTTCTCACGTAATTTATCCATATTTTTTTAGATCATCTCATGATGAGCACGCCACGACCCGATTCCTCCATCTTACCCTCGTTTTGAACGTTGTGTTGTGCATTGGACTTCTCCATTTCTCCCTGACTTTCTACTGGTGCATTTATATTTGCCTGGCCCTGCTTGGAAGCAAGATACTGTAAGTTTTCTTCTATTTTCGCGGAAATATTATATTTTTTTAGAAGACGAAATAATGTGATAACCAGAACGATTTTTTCCCTTCTCTTATCACCAATTGTGTTTTATGCGGCAACGATTTGGGTGGCCAAAGAATATGATTTCTGGCCGAATGGCTTGGCCATAAAACAGTTGGATAAAGGTGGGCGCTATTTTTGAAGCTTTTCTGAAAGCATTTGTATTTGGCATTTAAAAACTTCTAAATGCCAAATTACCCCTTTTCAGGGCGTTTTTGGAATTGAAACACTTCAATTTGCATCAAATTAATGGCCTTATCTTTTAGGGTTGGACCTCAAGAACGTGCTGATTACATTATACAAGGAGGGACAACGCCACGTCCTCGCACATGTCCAGTTTAACTCGATGAACTTTCTGGTGTTCGCATTGTTCATCCAGCCCACTCATCTCGTTCTAACTGCCTTATTAGGCGATGAATTTGAGGTCAAGCCGATTACAGTCGATGAGAAATCGCATGAGAAGGAGGAGTAGTTACTTTGAGAATATTGTGGCAAAAAATTTGAGGATTAAGCTTGAAATGACCTTGTTTTAGACGTTAATTTTGATCCAAATTAATATTTTTTGAAGATGTTTTTGATTGTGCTTTTTGGGTCTTGGGTTACTGTAACATAATTTGTTTCACTTATTTTTGAAGCAAGTCGTTTTTTTGTTCAACTTTGTTGTTTCTAAAGACAGTATTTATTGCATTTACGAGGTTGTGATATCAATTTTCGGTCTAATTTATTTTTTCTATACGTTTTACATATAAATTTGGGTATAAACATATTGTACTTGAGAAAATGGCGGGTTTTGGATTTTTTGTGGAAATTGTTGATTATCAACAAGGATGTACCTGATATTTGGACTTTTTTGGATTTATTATTCAGTGTTGATGTTTTTACTGTAATTTAAAACACGATTTCTGATTCGGTGAATTAGCCGTGGACATAGGAAATTTTCGATTTTGAGATTTATAGCTAGATATGACCGCACCCATCATATAAGTGTGTTCCTGAAGCCTTTTGCCCTAATTCTCACGTTAACCTAGTTTTATTTACAATTTAAGAAATTTACAGTAACGTAAAATAGCTCAAAACTGAGAACACGTAGAGCCGCAAAACTGTGGCCATGTATGTTTTTGGGCACTGGGAATCCAATGGAGGTGATTTCGGATCGAAAGGATTACTGTAACATAGCAAACTTACGCTTCGGCCGCACAAAATCGGCCGTAAAAAAATTGTTTCTAAAAACCCACAGCTGAATTTTTGATATGTTAATCAGCATAAAATTCTGCCCTAGAAACATTCAAAAAAAGTCTAAAAATCCGTGTTGCTATTTTCGTGGTATAGTGGATTTTGACAAAATCTACCAATCTGACGTCCCGGGTTCGAGTCCGGGTGGGCGCAAATCACTGAGAATTGGTCGGGAATCACTTTAATGGAGGGAATATATAAGCCTCAGTTTATTTTAGGTGATTTTGATAAGATTCAGACAGTTTTCAGATTTTTTGCGGAAAAAAAGCCGAAAATACAACTTTTTGACAAATCGTATTTTACACTGCTTTTTTGTGTTCATGACACAATAAGAACTTATATGTAGTGTTTATAAGGGGTCTCCAACAATGTCCCGGCCTTGCACACGGCTGATTCAGTGAGTCAGAAATCGTGTTTTAAGTCTTTTTGGCTCTTTTTTGGGATTGAATATTTTTTTATTTTTAGAGTTTTTTCCAATTTGATGCGTTTTTGAATTTGAGAAGATGGATATTTGTACCTTTGACAATGTGCTTATACTTTTTCGAAAGAAAATTTATGATAATTATTAATATTTTTCTTTGGTCAGTTTCTACTCCTAAAGCAATATAAAATAGTCCAATATAAGGTGCAGTTCATTCTGTTCAACCCTTTTTCCTGTTTTTATGACCGTACCAAACCCTCCGGAAAGCTCTTTGAGATTTTTTTTGTTTTCGAGGAGTGTCTCAGTGTTTTCCCCTTGATTAGTCGAGTATTATGCGGAAAAATAATCAAAATGGACGGGGAATTTGAAAGGGACTTCTGGGGCTTCGGAGAATCTAGTGTTCTTTGTGAATGTGGATTATGAGTATGTTTGGGATATCCGGGAATTCAATAGGTTTCTTTTTTTTGAGTAGAAAGTATAAAGCTCGGGTATGAAGAGAATGTTTTTGCGTTGTTGATGATGTATCGGATTTTAGTTCCTGTTGTTGTTGTGGGCCATAAAAAAGTTAATGGAAGCAGAACGTAAAGGTAGCTTGAAGGTGAATGGAATGGAAATGCGGATTAGAAGTTGGTCTAGACTACTTGTTTTGTGTTTAAATTTGAATAAAATTATGAGAAAAGTATGTAAGTGGCGGTCTTTTGGATTGGTGGTGACGTTTCAGGGTAAGGGCAGAGGTTATATTGGAAAGATCGGGGGGTTTTAAGGAATAATTATAGTCATAGTTTGAACCAAGCACCATCAATCAATGAACTGCAATTCTGACCGTGTGTAAATTGACTTTTTCATTAACAATTGGGCTTCATGGAAACTCGACACATGGAAATTGGACAGAGTATCGAACGGAGGAACTGGACACATTTTTTTCACTGCAATCGTACGAAATGTCACTGCTGATTTTTTTCTTTCAAATAACAATTTTTTGCAGTGAAAAAAATCTGTCGAGTTTCCCTACGTCCAATTTCCTTATGTCAAGTTTCCATGAAGCCCAATTGTTAATGCAAAATTCAACTTGCAGACGGTCAGAATTGCCGTTCATTGATTGATGGTGATTGGTTCAAGCTATGTCTACATTTATTCCTTAAAACCCTCCGATCTCTCCAATAAAATATCTGCCCTTCTCTGAAACGTCATCACCAATCCAAAGGACCGCCACTTACATACTTTTCTCCCGATTTTATTCAAATTTAAACACAAAACGGGTAGTCTAAGCCAACTTCTAATCCGCATTTCCCTTTCATTCACCTTCAAGCTACCGAATGATCTCTGCCCTTGCTCTATGTGTACCTTAACTTAATTGTTAACGCTCAACATTTTTTAATTCACATTTATTTTCAATTTGAGGCATGAAACTGATAGACCACCTTTCCGCGTTTTTTAATCTGCATTCCCTTCGCCCGGTTGCTCTCAAATTATGTTTACGTCCAGTTCTAATTTTACTTAATACTCAGTTTTCCATCTAATTTGGTCCGGTCAAAGGACCGGCCCATCCGAAAATCCCCTTCTTTCCTGATTCTTGGCCGCCGGGAGTGCAAGTTTTGAGAGAGATTTTATGGCCATGCAAAAGTTGTTTTGTAAAATTTGGAGAGAATTTTCCGTATGATTAATTAGTACTTTTAGAAACAGTGACGAAATTTTTATTAATAAATGAGTTCTTTTGGTACTCTTCTCAAATTTGTTTGTTTTCCCCGCAATTTGTTTTTTTTAAATCTCGCAATTTTTAATTAGTCTCTCCTTGTTTGTAACATATGGCAGTATCTTTGATGTGGGACCCACTCAAAGAAAATTGCTTTGGGATTTAGTTTTTTGGTGGCTTTGCGTGTAAGCACATCGTTGGCGATGTCATATGATCATGTCGTCTTTTTCTTGTTCTACAGTATTTCCATTTACTTTGCGCTCAATAGTTTTCAAAAGAAGCGTCATACAAATCCGTTCGGTTTGTTGTAGTGTAGGTTGCCTAGCACTTCAGCTATAGTACTTTCCGTAATGTGACTCAACATGGCACTTGAAATGAATATAAAATGTGTTTGTTACATGAGAGGCTCCACTCGGTGGGAGATCCAATTTATCTTGAGCCATATTCACTAACGAGTTAAGATTTAGCCTATAAAACTTTGACCACTATCCTCCCTCACCATAACATCTCCGAAAATAGGTTGCTTGTTATCGCGTATCAACTTCCGAAATGTGGGGTTATAAATCTTTGTGTGTCCAGGAAATGTGCCACGATGACACCGTTTTAAAATGTTGCTGTGGTATACGGCTCTATACGGCTAAAAGTACTACCCAGAATTTTTGATGCGTACTCCAGGGTGTACTCCTAGCCATGCACAACCGTTGCTTATACCACAGAATGTTTTAAAACGGTGTCAACGTGACACATTTTCTGGACACACAAAGATCAAGATCTAATATGACCCCACATTTCAGAAGTTGATACGCGATAACACGAAAGCTATTTTCGGAGATGTTATGGGGAGGGAGAATAGTGGTCAAGGTTTTATAGGCTAAATCTTAACTCGTTAGTGAATATGGCTCAAGATAGATTGGATCTCCCATCGAGTGGAGCCTCTCATGTAGCAAATGCATTTTTAGAATCATTTCAAGTCGTCATGCAAAAAAGTTGAGTCACATTAAGTAAAGTGCTATAGCTGAAGTACTAGGCAATGTGTTTTAAAAGTTGGTATGTGGGGTATTAAGGGTATGCTTGCAAATTATGAAGAACATATCAGCATTGCGTAGTTCCTTTTTAAAACTCAAAATTTTGTTAAAAAACAACGTTTTGTTGGGCTCTTTCGTTTGATCTATAATCTAATTTGGGTTTTAAAAGGTCTTGCAAAACCAACTCATGATTTTTGAGAAACTTCCCCTCTTCATAAACAAATTGGTTTCTCCAACCACGTGCTCCTCAATTTACGCAACAGTATTTTTTACGGGTTTGGTCATATTTACCGTACTCTCTGAGATGTGACACTAATGATTTTTTGCATTGACTAGAAAGATACTTGTAATGTTTGGTTGAAAATCTAATTTATTCCGAGGAATGGTGTCTGATGCTCTGATGGCATTGTTTTTTCAGGCGTAAACTGGACATGGGAGAGGGGAAAACTTGGGAATATAGCATAGAACAATTGGAAGGGTCAGAAATTGTATGAAAACGCTTTCGTGCCAGGACCAAAAAAAACTTTTTTTGATTTTTGGTCTTGGCACGAAATTAGAAAAATTGTAAAAGGTAGCAAAGATGAAAAATTAGTTTTTCAGACAGCTGAGAACGCCAAAAAATTTTTGAGATATTATATTATACTGCCTCACACCACCCTTGGGAACGTTTTCCTTTTACTTTATGTTCACATTTATTATGACTTTCTATTACTAATGAGGGTATTTGTTTGAGGTATCAATGGAGTTAATTTCTTTGGTTTATTTCAAGGAAGAAGTTTTTATTTTGCCGTTTTTAAAGTAAAAAAATGTTGGGAGTGATGCAAATAAATAATTATTCTGGGTACAGGTGAACTGTTGGGCTTAGAGCAAAATTTGTAGGGACTAAAAAGGGGTTGGGAATGTAAACTTTTCATCAATAAGGCTTGTTTGTTTCAGCTCACAAACAAATGTAGATTTTCCAACTTCAAGGCACGTTCCATAAACAATCTCCCACTCTGATTGGGCCCTCATTTTTGGGTTTTTAAAAATTATTTTTCGAAAAAACTTAGCGGTGCCATCCATGGCCATATTTCGAACTTTTGGAAGGAATTGTCATCATGGATCGCGAGGATCAGACTTTACTGATAAAAAGACAATGTTTTTAAAGATCCCCGGCACTTATTATTGTCAAGAAAGGCACAAGAATGACATCAAACATAATTTTACTTTCGGGAGACAAGTATTTGCTATTATATAAAGGTTTCACCGTATACTTTAAAAGAAATGCAAAAAGTTTCGGTCGGAAGTAATGTTGTTTTTGATGTCATTCTCGTGCCGTTCCTGACACTAATGAGTGCCGGGGTTCTTTAAAAACATTGCCCATTCATCTGCAAAATCCGATCCCCGCGACCATGATGACAATTCCTTCCGAAACGTCGAAATCTGGCCATGGATGGCACCGCCAAGTTTTTTCGAAAAATAATTTTTAATAACCCGGAAATGTAGGCCGAATTAGAGTGGGAGATTGTTTATGGGACATGTCTTGAAGCTGGAAAAGCTATATTTATTTGTGAGCTGGAACAAGGAAGCCCCATTGATCAAAAGTTTATATTCCCATCCTCTTTTTAATCCCTACACTTCGTCTCTAAACCCAACAGTTCACCTGTACCTATTAAAATAAGTGTTTATTGGCTTCGCTCACAACAGGAAACTGTTTATGGGACGTGTCTGGAAGTAATCTTCTTCCTGGTAAATGGCATGTAAATAAGGGCAGATAAGATTCTGCTCAAAGGTCGTGGGAGTGGTCATGTCTACGGGAAATAAAAATTTTTAGAAACAAAAAGTGGAAATTGATGTATGCAAAGAGCATTGCTCCTTGAGCACTGAGTAATTTTAAAATTTACTTCTAAAATTTTTTTAATTCCCAAAATTTGGCTTATTTTTTCCGCGGAGTGTCGTAAAAAAGTCGACCTGTTTTTGCCCTTTCCATGCTGCTTGCAATCTCGCACGTTCTAACTTTTGGTTTGAACTAAAACTTTGTCGGTTTTCCCATAGTTTTCTCAACAGTATCGTCAAAGGACACGATTTACTCTGAACAAATTGGACTTTAGAGTTTGGCATTATTATTAGGGATGCTGGTATGTTTCTAGAGTAATTAATTTATCATTACTTCTTTTTTCTCACGTCCCGGGTTCAGTTTATACGAAAAATTCCTTCAAAAAATTCCGATCCTCCGAATTTTTCGCCAAAAAATCGATGAATTTTTCTGAATTGAGATATCTCAATTTGGAGTGGGAGGTTGGGCTTTAACGAGAAGTAAACAAATTTATGTACATTCGTATAACGACCCCTTTTCTAGTTGTTTTTACCAATTGCACTGTGCAAAATGCCCTAAAGTTGGGGGAAATTGGATAAAAGTTCAGAGTTTTGTCAATTGGAAAGTTCAAAAAGGGTAGAATTTTTGACCCAAGGGCTTTCTATGAATTATTTAGATACCGAAAAGTGTGGTTACAGGTCATTTTTTATTCAAAAAAAGTTTTTTAATCGTATATTTGATTAGGGGATTGGTCACAGTGTAAGGTTCAGATTATCTTCAAATTTGGCACGCATTCTCTGCCAAGCTTATATTTTAATTTCTGAGAATTTTGGCTTTCGCTTTGCAAGCTCAGCCGAGATATTCGGCGGATTTGCAGGCGAGAAACTATGGAAAATGAAGAGGGAAGGCCCGAGAAAAAACGTCTTTAAAAATTTTTCTCTGCCCGTTTCTCCCCAATTTTCATTTTACTACATTTTTTATTCTAAGAATTTTTGCCCTTTTTATTTTAAAAAATGCTCTTTCTCCAAAGTGATGGCTAACATACGATGCTTTTTACATAATTAAAATCTCATCTCTTTTGGTTCAAGAGATTAGACCAACCCCTTTGCATTAACCCTGCCTTCTTTCGAGGTGAAGTTTTGTTGTCAGTCATTTTGCCATCAAAGTTCGTACTTGGCCTTCGCCTTTTGTGTTTACCTAATACTATTGTGCGAATTTTGTCCTCAGAAATGACGGATATGACCTACAGTGGCAGACCCGATCCAGTGGCAAGAAACGTACCATTTTGCATCCGGGAAGTATCAAAAAATGTAGCAAAATACCTCCCTCTCCAACTAAAAAACGGCGCGCTTTTGAAATCGGAGTTTTTTCCGCTTGGAGACGGAGGTATTTTGCTACATTTTTTGGTACTTCCCGGATACAAAATGGTACGTTTTTTGTCACTGGATCAGGTCCGCCGCTGTAGGATTTTTTATGAGTAAATAATCACCAATTTTTGCGGATTTTTAATACATTTTTGCGCTTTCCCCCAATATGATATAAAATATTTTTTTTTTTTTCTAGGCCTAAGCCACTGACCGGCCACAAAAATGACGACGATGACTTCGTCGATCATTTCCGGCGATTCATTAGACGAAAAACAAGACGAAGCCTTGGTGATCGCCGGCCCAAAGTACCGAAATGTCAGAAATCCCACGGGATGTGTGATTTCTTTTGTGTATTCGAAGGCGTCGTTGGTTTACTTATGCCTGATTGGGATTATCACAACACTCAGCACTTACTTCTTCACAATTCAGGTGAGTTTTGACAGAAATTTTATATTGTAGTAGGAAGAATATGTTTTGGTCGATTTTTTGTCATAAACACTAAATAAAAGATGTCTAATGGGCTTCTTGAGGCTTCAAGGAGTTTATAACAGCGTCTACTGCATTTTCCTGATGTATGAAGTCCTTGAAACATAATGCCAAGGGTTCAAGATTTCGCTTTGGGACCCATTTTTTTAGTGAAATATGCATTTGTTGATGCCGAAATAGGACCGGATTTGTAAAATAAGGCATAAAGGAGATTATTAAAGCAATTTTTAGATCAACGACTCTCACGTTCTCTGCATGTTCAACGATTACCTCCCAGTAGATGATGAACTTCGACAACTCTCCCGACCAGTCGGATATGTACGTAATATTTTTTTAGTATAATAAACAACCTTCTCGTAGTCCAAAAAAACCATTTTACTTTTAGTACTGCCGATTCCTCGAATTCAGCGTCCCAACGAACGTGATCCAACTGGTCTTCTGTATGAGTGCCCTGTTTTTCGCCCTAAATCGACGGAGCCGATTGTTTGTAGCGGTGAGTGATCCCCCAAACTATTCCCTTTTTAATTTGCTAAAAAATCTGACACTTCTAAGTTGCCGTATTTTAGTGTTACATTGTATTATTCATATCACTACTTGTTGGCTGCGCCTTGATGGTTACTTTATACGCCATGGACCTGGAAAATTACCTCCGACCGGCAGTTTCAAGTGTTCTTGGAAGGGTGGTCGAGAAGGATGAGAAGTTTTGTCAAGTGTTGGAGCCAATGCTCGAATGCCGATATAACAGCCCGAACACAACGGATGTTATAGAAAGGTTATGCGAGAAACCGAGACGACAGGTACGTTAAGAAACAGCTTTTGTTGAATTGGATAAATTATGATATCTAAACGTAACTTGAAGGGACATTTTATACGATGAAAATATTCAAAAACCTTTTGGACATTTCTCATCGTATAAAGTGTCATCGCCGAAAATTTTAAATTTGCCTAATGAAACAAGGTATCATAAGCCTCCTTACCGTTTTACTTTGAATTTTTATAAGTTAGTTGACATTTTATACGATGAAAATACTCAAAAACATTCAGGACATTTTTCATCGTATAAAATGTCATTACCGTAAATTATAAATTTACATGCTGAACCAAGGTATCATAAGCCAGCCTTCTTATCGTTTTGCTTCGAATTTTTATGGTGTTAGGTGACATTTTATACAACGAAAACTTTCTCGAAACCTTTTGTATAAAATGTCACCTGCGAGCAACCACCCCCTAAAACTGACTTAGAACGCCTCTCATTTCAGTTTCTCCACAAACCCGACTGTGTGTACCATCTAACCAGTTTCCTAGACCAAAAATATTGGCTAATAGCAGTGATCATTCAGTATGGATTTCTAATCCTAATTGGTGTTGGAATTTTGATCCGCTCGTCCATTCTCCAATGCAGACGAGAACGCCGAAGAGTTTCCAAACTCTCCACAGCTCATTATGTTCACGTGAACGGGTTCCGGTCGCCGGAATAGGCGAGGGTCTTTGAATACTGATCGTTTTTATATTATACTAGACAGTGGATGGGTGGGAATGGAAAAAAGGTGGATAATTCGGAAATTTTATCTGAAAATTATTGACTTAGCTTAGAGAACGCAGATTTTTGGGTGAAAATTTATTATATTGTACTAGGAAAAATTTTGGAAATTTTTTGTAACAATTTTTCATTCAAAAAGTAGAGATACTCTAGTGTAAAATACGACAATCCAAACTTCCAACGCATTCACTGTCTTCTTTTATTATACTAGCTTTTAAAATACAAAAATTCACTAATTTTTCGTCAAATTACGCATTTTTCGGACTTTTCAACTCGACGTGTAGCGAAATGCCAAAACATATACTTCTCGTCTCTCACCCTCTTTTATAGCCTTACAGTATTTAATTTTACTACTTATTAACGTTATTTTTTTATTATTTTTTTAGCCATAGTTTAGCAATTATTTGAATACATTTAATATGAAATAGATGTAACTCTAGTCGAACACTTACGGTCTTGTGATTTCTAATTTTAACGTTGCCTCTGTAAATTGAAGTTTAACTACATTTTGTAATGTGAAGTACAATAAATTGAGAAAACATTCGATTTCGTACTTTTACTTTTCACAGATTTAAAAATGAAAAAATGTTGCTGTGAAAGATGGGAAAAGCCAAAAAATTTTTTTTTTTAAATCTTCGACAACAAGTCTATCAGTATTTGCAAAAATTCCCAAAAATATTTTTTCTGCGTCTGACGGGAATCGAACCCGTGTCGATTGCTTGGAAGGCAACCATGCTGACCATTACACCACAGACGCACACGTTCCAAGCGCTCTCTTTTCATAAGAAGAGAAAAAGAGAAATAAAAAAAGCTCCTCTCCAGGGCTTTTTACTTGAAAAAAATGTTAAAGAAGTGCAAATTTCGACGAAAAAAATAAAGAAAGTAAAATACGACAATCCCAGTTGACATCAAAAAATATTTTCTCGAACATTTTAGTCCAAAAAATTCACAAAATAAAAGTTTATTTCAAAAAATAAATTCAAAAATACGATAATTTTTACATACTCGTTATAAAAACCCAGGTGGATTCGCTAAAACAAACAAATACCTATCAATTATGACCGTTTGATTGTTGCCTCATACTGTCGAATTGCTCTTTCCGTTGATTTACATCTCTCAGAAACTGGGAATACTGGGTGGGAGGGAGGACGGGCTGTTGGGTCATCTCTAGGTTCGGGTTGAACATTCTGAAAGGAATAAAAACTTGTTTTATACTGCTTTCAACATCAAAAATCGACTAAATTCTCCTTACTTGTCCTGCCAAACAATATTATGGCCAAATCGTCGCGTGATCGGTGGCCCCAAAGCAGTTGCCAATCTGGTGGATGGTTCGGCCTTCAATTTGGACCTCGAGAAATTGTCATTTTCATTGTTAAAGTCGGGGGACATTATACTATCATTAGGTGATGGAATTCGAACCCGTTTTCGCTTCTTGTCTGTATATACAAAGTGTCGCTTTTCATATGGAACCTTCTCTATCTGAAATTGGGATCATTAATTTCTACAATTAAATTTACAAAAGTTATTCGGAGACATTTTATACGATGAAAAATGTTATTCAATTAGGAAGCATATTTCGTCGTATAAAATGTCACAACCCGAACCAAAGAGCAAAAATGTATTTTGAGTGTCTATCTAGAGTCCAACGGAACCATTTTGATAAGCAACATTGCATACGATGAAAAATTTTCATCTTAATTTTTTTTCATCGTATAAAATGTCACCACTCTCAAAAACAACTCCAAATATAAATAAAAAATTTCTTACCGGACTAGCCAACGGTGAGAACTCCGCTCCTCTCTCTAGGTACCTCTGATAATCACTGCCGATACTTTCAACCTCCGATAATTCGTCATCTTCTTCGTTGTGTTGCGCCATTCCCACTTCACTAATCTCCTCTGCTTCCATATCGCCAACATGGTCCGTTCTCTCATCTTGATGGACGATGATGGCTTGAGTCGCGGTCTCGGCCAGCAACTTGTTCAATCTTCTTTGAGTTGGCGAGGAGATGAAATCTTCGAGCCGTTTACTGGTCGATTTCAGAGTGTCGCTAATAATTTCACGCTCAGTTGGTTCGGGAAGAGGCGCTGAAAATCACAATCTATCAGTTTCATTACAAATTACAGGTGTTTCATCGAGTTTTAGGCCAAAAAAGAGCACACTAACCCGATTTTTACATTATTATTAATCATATAAAATGCCGCTAAAATGTTCGAAATCATTAAAATAAGTATTAAAAAAATAAAGTTCAACTAAAAATTTTTTCCAAGACATGTGGGACACTTTATACAATAAAACGTGTCCCAACAAAAAAGCATATTTCATCGTATAAAATGTCTCCGCTGGCTCCACTCTATCACAACTAATAACAGACGTAATAAAATCCCTACCGTCCGACTCGAATGAAATATTTACAGCGCTGATGTCAATTTTCGGACGTTCCGCTTCATCATCATAAACTTCATTTCCACTGTTATCCAAGACGACTTCTTCCTGGACGTCAGTCAAATCAGGAGTGCATCTGATTACAGTAACCGCACTTGGCGCTCCACCACTCAAATCTTGAGTCATAACAACATCATCTATGATGAGCTCTTCATCCAGAGAGTCAACGGTTCTGTTCAGATCTTGAGGAGCTATTTTAGAGGTCTGTGGGGTCTTCGTTGGTACCGTAACATCACGATTCGTCGTCGAATTTCGATGGTTTTCACTGTTTTGTGGTGTCGTATTCTCTTTATTATTATTGGAATGACTCTGAAAACAAAGTTTATTAAGTTTAAGACATGTTTCTCCATTCTCCTGCTAAGGTGACATTTTATACGATGAAATATGTATGATAACCAAAGACACGTTTCATCGTATAAAATGTCACCAGCAAACAATCCAACACCCCAAACTGATATCTGAGTACTTACACTCTGATTTGCAGTCGTATCACTGTCTCTAACCGTCGATATTGACACTTGACTTGTGATATTATTCACCCATTTGTTGACTTTCGCATCTTCGACCGGAATTCCCGGCAAGACATTGATTTCCTCGGGCGGTGGAAATGCGGAGAACAATTCTTCGCAGAGGAAATCATTTTCCCCGTTCTCGATTGTGTGTGCGCGGTCCCAAATCTCGTCTAGCCATCCGACCCCAACTACATTTACATTTTCGGCCAGAGCATCCTGAAAAGGCAGATTTGGTTGTAAAATACGTCATTAAAAAAAGTTTATTTTTGGTTTGCATTTTTTCAGTCTTAATTTTTAACTTTGGCATAAAATTTATTAGCATTATAGGTAAATTTAGGAAAAGTTTTAACCCTCAAGACGTTTTTTCTTGCAGTAAATGACATTTCAACCACTATTTGACACAACCCCCTAAAGTTAAAAATAGAAAAAAATAAATTTCATTACCTGAACCATGGCATCATTTTGATCAAATTCTTTCACCAGCAAAATTGACGTTTTCTCATTCAAAACCCGTCGAACACACCCTCCTAACCTTAGTATTCTAGCTCGAACTTCATCCTGAAAATATTTCACCCATCAAATTACTTAAAACGCGTTTTGCCACACTTTGGAGTTTAGCCTAACAGAGGGCGGACATTGTTAAAATCGGTATCTCAGAATTTAACCAAAATCGGTCAACTTGATCATCATGGCAGGTAAAACATTCGCTTTCTTTCTTTTTGCCCAAAATTACCGTATGACGGCATACTGTAACATTTTTTTTAAAAAAAGATATGGCCTAATCAAGAAAACGAAGCTCTATTTTAGCACAAATCGAGTTCTGGTGTATGTTTTCGACCACGCAGAATATTTTTGTAATTATGGCCAAAAGCTCAAAATTACATCTAACAAGGAAAGTACTTTTATGGGGGCTCCTACTTTTTGACGGGACATATCTCAAAAAATCAGAAAAAATATGCTGATCAAGGATATAGAAATCTTAGCTGCCCATTTTAGGTTTTTAGGGGTGAAAAATCCATCGCAAGTTGATTTAAAGTCCTATATAAACCCCTTTTCGCTTAATTTTTCAAAGGTTTACAATTTTTATTTTGGCTTAAAATAATGTTTATTTTGTTTCTAAGACGGAATAAATCTGTCTTGGCCAAAAAATTTATTTTTCCGACCATCAACTTCAAAAAAAGTTGATTCAGCCCAAAAGGGAAATCGAACCCGTGCGGCGTTCCCCCTCTTGATTTCCAGACTACGGCCCTAGCCACTCGGCCACACCGCTCTCTTCCGAAGGAAGAGACCGACTGCGCTTTTTATCGTTTCGAATGCCTGTACCTTTTGTAGGGAAAATAAGCCAGTTTTTGGGCATTTTCACCTATAAAAACCTAAAATGGGCAGCTAAGATTTATATATCCTTGATCAGCACATTTTTTCTGATTTTTTGAGATATGTCCCGTCAAAAAGTAGGAGCCCCCATAAAAGTACTTTCCTTGTAAGCAATGTTTCGCCTGCGGTAACATACCATTTCGGGCATAAAATTGGCTACTGTAACCAGATGCACTTTTAAATACGGCAAAAAGAAACTTCAACCTTCATCCAATAACCCATAAAAATTTCAAAAAAATCAAATATACAACTTTTGAGAAAATGGGCATTCAATATCTCATGTACAAGGTCATCTGGGCCCGAAAAAATCTGGCATTCTTGGGATTCCAACGGGATGCACTTTTTCAAAGTTTCTAATACATTCTGAGGCTGATTAAAGATGATATGGCAAGTTTCAGGAGAAAAAAATATACAACTTTCGAGAAATTGACCAAAATACCTTATTTTAGGTCATCAGAACGCCGAAAAAGTCTGGCATTCTTGGGATTCCAACGGGATGCACTTTTTCAGAGTTTCTAATACATTCTGAGGCTGAATAAAGATGATATGGCAAGTTTCAGGAGAAAAAAATATACAACTTTCGAGAAATTGACCAAAATACCTTATTTTAGGTCATCAGAACGCCGAAAAAGTCTGGCATTCTTGGGATTCCAACGGGATGCACTTTTTCAAAGTTTCTAATACATTCTGAGGCTGATTAAAGATGATATGGCAAGTTTCAGGAGAAAAAAATATACAACTTTCGAGAAATTGACCAAAATACCTTATTTTAGGTCATCAGAACGCCGAAAAAGTCTGGCATTCTTGGGATTCCAACGGGATGCACTTTTTCAGAGTTTCTAATACATTCTGAGGCTGAATAAAGATGATATGGCAAGTTTCAGGAGAAAAAATATACAACTTTCGAGAAATTGACCAAAATACCTTACTTTAGGTCATCAGAACGCCGAAAAAGTCTGGCATTCTTAGGTTTCCAACGGGATGCACTTTTTCAGAGTTTCTAATACATTCTGAGGCTGAATAAAGATGATATGGCAATTTTCAGGAGAAAAAAATATACAACTTTCGAGAAATTGACCAAAATACCTTATTTTAGGTCATCAGAACGCCGAAAAAGTCTGGCATTCTTGGGATTCCCACGGGATGCACTTTTTCAGAGTTTCTAATACATTCTGAGGCTGAATAAAGATGATATGGCAAGTTTCAGGAGAAAAAAATATACAACTTTCGAGAAATTGACCAAAATACCTTATTTTAGGTCATCAGAACGCCGAAAAAGTCTGGCATTCTTGGGATTCCAACGGGATGCACTTTTTCAAAGTTTCTAATACATTCTGAGGCTGATTAAAGATTAGAGGCTATCAAAAAGTGCTACAACCTCAAATCCCAAGAATGCCAGTTTTTTCGGGGTTCTGATGACCTAAAATAAGGTCTTTTGGTCATTTTCTCGAAAGTTGTGCATTTTTTTCGCCTGAAATTTTCATTATCATCGTTTGCAAGGCTAATAATGTATTAGAGGCTATCAAAAAGTGCTACAACCTGTAATCCCAAGAATGCCAGACTTTTTCGGCGTTCTGATGACCTAAAATAAGGTATTTTGGTCAATTTCTCGAAAGTTGTATATTTTTTCTCCTGAAACTTGCCATATCATCTTTAATCAGCCTCAGAATGTATTAGAAACTCTGAAAAAGTGCATCCCGTTGGAATCCCAAGAATGCCAGACTTTTTCGGCGTTCTGATGACCTAAAATAAGGTATTTTGGTCAATTTCTCGAAAGTTGTATATTTTTTTCTCCTGAAACTTGCCATATCATCTTTAATCAGCCTCAGAATGTATTAGAAACTTTGAAAAAGTGCATCCCGTTGGAATCCCAAGAATGCCAGATTTTTTCGGGCCCAGATGACCTTGTACATGAGATATTGAATGCCCATTTTCTCAAAAGTTGTATATTTGATTTTTTTGAAATTTTTATGGGTTATTGGATGAAGGTTGAAGTTTCTTTTTACCGTATTTAAAAATGCATCTGGCTACAGTAGCCGATTTTATGCCCGAAATGGTACGTTACCGCCGGCGAAACATTGCTTAGATGTAATTCTGATCTTTTGGTCATAATTACAAAAATGTTCTACATGGTCGAAAACATAAAGTGGTGGTTCGGTCTCACTAAAATACCGCACCATATCTGCAGAAAAGGCAACTCTTTTCTCAGAAAGAAAGTTACAGTAATCCACCATATAACGACTATGGGCAAAAAAAAATCAAGCGATTGCTCCATACCGATTGGTGATTCGGTAAACCAATTTTGGTTGAGTTCTGAGACATCGACTCAACAATGTCCGGGCCAATCTACGGTTTGTAGTAAAACGCGTTTTAAAATTCAAAATTCAAAGATAATTTTGTAAAAACTTATCTCTTCATGTAATCTAAACCCGTAAACAGTGATATAATGACCGGAAAGAATTGTAGACCAGGTAGGGTTCATTCTCATGGGCAATTGCCGCTCCCAAAAATAGCACTGAAGGATCACCAGAGGGGAAACTATCCTAAAATAATTTAAATTTCAGGTAAATCGTCCTAAACGTAAAGAAAATGAAAAGAAAAAGAGCTCACTTTACTTCAATGGTCTTCAGATATTCGTAACATTGACCATAAAATTCAGGGAGCACAAAGACCCGATCGTCGAGATTCGGATCCTCCGCCTCACGGATAACTTCAAATTCGGCCAAATTCTCGTGATCAAACCAAAAAACAGGGAGTCCGGCAGTCTTGGTTAGCTGTAATATAAAGGTTAGAAGTTCATTAAGCAGCTCATACTGATTGTTTAAACTTTTAAAATCAGTACTTTAAGATAACCTTATTTTATGCAGCAGCTGACGAATAGGTAGCTGAACTAGGCAGGTAACGCTACCAAACCGGTAAATGATTTAACACCGATTAACAAACTCTGTTCCAGCTATACCATCCGTCTCCACAAAGAAAAATTGACCTTCAAAAGAATTTTTACCTTCACCATGTCCAAAATATCAAATTCCCCAAAAAAATTAAAAAATCGAACCAAACTTCTCACAAAAAGAACCCAAAACTCTTTCCAGAACTATAAAACACATTTCTAATCCATTTCCTCACAATAACTTCTTTTCCCCATCGAGATTCATCCATTCAAACCTAAAACCAGACAAAAAACTGTGAAGAACTTACCAAAAAAGCCCGAAATTGAAGAAAACAGATGGAGACACCCCAATTGTTCTGGCAACTATTCTCTGGCAATCCGAAATACAGCTTCACCAGGCCGGAAGCCATCAGAGTTCCATGTTTTGAAGGGTTTTTTGGAGAAAATCCAATTTTCCGAGGGGAAAAAAATTTTGGAAAATTATTTTTTTGAATCGAAATTTTCGCGCCAAAAAATTATGTTTGTGATTATTGGGGAATTGCGTTTCTGGAAAAGGATGTCTGTATAGTTGGAAAACATTTTTTAGAGTTGTAAATTCACGATTTTATTAAAAAACTTGATTTTTTTCGAAGATTCAAAAAAATTGTCCTTTAAAAAATCCAATAAATTACATTTTATTTAATTTTAGCTAACAGAATCAATAAATTATTATAAAATCTACATCAAATTCTATTTACACAATCTTCCGCCTGTCAAACGGCTTTATTATAAATTTCTTTGACGGCCGCTGGTTCTAGCAGTTTCGGATCTTCGCATAAATTCACTGCTGCTGTTAGGGCTTCATCAATAAGTACATTCATCGCCATTTCGTCTGAGACAAACCGCCAGAGGGTCTGTTTTAGATAGAAACTGTCGACCTGAACTTGTTGAACTCCGGCTCTCGAGAAATTCGTTTTGCGGACCCATTCCAGGTACAGCCGGAGGCATTTGTCGAGGACGCATCCGATTATCGAATATCGTTTGAATTCGAGTTTTGGGGCCGCGAATTCCTCCACCGCATCGGCCCACATTCTCTCCAGGGCTCCGCTCAAGGCGTCTTGGTTGTTCATCGAGTGGACACGTCGCTGACTGAGGCTTCGGATCGAGTCGGGAGTGCGTTCTTTCTTCGTGCTGTCGTCCATCTAAAAGCGGGAGGCATTTTTTACGTATTTTTAAAATTTTTTTTGCGAAAATCGCAGAAATTTCATCCATACTATAAAAATGAGAAAATATCCCTACAAACTGAATATGGAGTGTCCTTTATAGTGACGTCATTCAACTAAAAATGCTGACATTTTATACCAAAAACTTCAGAATTTAAATTTTTTTACAAAAAGTCCCAATACTCTCATGTATAATATAAAACTGAGAAGAAATTCTTCACAAAAACCACTAATACATCAGTATGTGCCCATAAAAAGAAATTTGAAAAGTCCCAGAGGCAACCTTAAAACAAAACAAACATAAAAAAATATAAATCTTCTACAAAAAACTACTTCTTATCATTTTTTCGGGATTTTTATTAAAAATTCTGACTAAACATATTTTAAAAACCTACCAGAACTTGTAAATTCTCGTCCAACGCCTGGACTTCTCTCACCAAGCCTTTGGTTTCTTCTCGGACTTGATTTGGGCTTCCCTTTGCCGTGGGCCAGCTGGCGGAATTCGAGTGGAACGACTGAAAAAAGCGACTATCAACAACAAAATTTTGATTTTTATGTCAAATAGGTAATCTTCTTTCATTTTGAACTGCTCTTGACAATATACTCGAGACTGGCGACATTTTATACGAAAAATAAATTTTGGATTCTTCAAGTCCTTTTTTGGCGAATATCCAAAAAAATCGGTTCTCTATTCGGTTGTAAATCTATCATGCTTATTCTATCAGCCCCAAAAATCAATTAATTCCATCCAAAGTCCACATTTCTGGCCGTTAAATCTCCATAAATCCCCTCAAATCCCAAATTCTCACCTCAAAAAATCCTTCTCCCGTTTGTTCGGCGAATCTGGCCAACACTTTGAGCGCCGCCTCTTCAATCAGCTCGATAATTGCCGGAGGTCTCGTCAACAAAGCGTCAGCCACTTCTTCCGTGATTTTGTATTGTTCCTGGCACAGATCCATCAGATATTTGAGATTCTTTTTGGTGATTCCGTGGAGGAAAATGCCGAGGATGAGATTGGCGTCCGTTATGAGAGAGGGTGTCACATTGGTCGAGTATTCGGCGAGGTCTTTCAGGGAGGCGACCACAACACTTTCATGGACATCCACTCCAAATGACGAGAAGGAATGGGCTACAACAAAGTAGATTGATAGTAAAATACGTTGTATATACCATGTATCATGTCTTATCAAAAAATAAAAAAATTTTTTTTTACCTGAATCCGCACTAATCAAAAAAGTGATATCGCTGGCCGTGAAGAGCAATAAATTGGCCAGGGAAGTCTTGACTGACACTAAAAATGTCTGATCCAATTTTCCCAGCAATGGCTGCAGGAAATCGTTGCCAAATCTGCTTGAAGACGAGGAATTTGAGGGGGATTTGGTTTTGAGCTCCGTTATCACCTAAAATAAGGTCAATGAATGGCAAAAGCAAAAATTCTACAGGTCTAAAAATCCTTCTAAAAGACTAATTAAACCTTACTTTAGCAAAGACAACACAAAAATTTTAAAAATTGCTATTTTTCCAAATTTTTTGACTAAATTATGACATTTTCTTCAACTTTAATCCTCGAAATGCCCTTCAAGTCGTTCTGAATCCCAATTCACATCCTAAATTCCCCAACTCACCTCTTCCAAAGCAGTTTGGACTGCTTGAAGAACTCCCTTTCGGCAAATTTTGATCTGATGATGTGCTGCATCAACTACAATTGCTGTATTTTCGACCGAAAAATCAAGATGCGGGAGTAATTTGCAGCATGCACTAATCTTTCGGTACGTCCTATCCAAAGCCCGAACATACAACGCGCATTCCCGAGGGTTGGATTCCAATTCGAACCTGGCGATCAGGAGATTCTTGAGGATTTGCATTTTTTCCTTCAGCATGGTGACGAATTCGGAGTCGGGGGACTGAAAATATGACAATGAAAAGGTTAGGCAACATCCACAGAAAATATTCAAATTAAATTTTTTTGATTGTCACTTTTTGCACGGTGCAGAAATTCCGAATTTTCCCACTGCACAGTGCAGTTGATAAGCAAATGTTTTTTGCAGCACTGCTGAGCCAAAAAATAACAGTTGAATGGAATGCGCAGTGCAAAATCGCATATTTCACCGCACAGTGCGGCACAAAATATTATTCCGAACGTTTACAAAGAACAAAAAATGTTCCTTTTTCCATTGCACGGTGCAGTCAAGAACTCGTTTTCCAAATGTCGCACAGTGCAAAAACCAAAAGTCTTTTGTCGCACTGTACATTTAAAAAAATTTTTTTTTGCACAGTGCAAAAATTCCGAATTGTCCTACTGCACAGTGCAGTTGAAAAGAAAATGTTTTTTGCAGCATGCTGAGCCAAAGAATAACAGTTGAATGGAATGCACAGTGCAAAATCCCATGCCCCATCTCACCATTGCACGGTGCAGTCAAAAACTCGTTTTGCAAATGTCGCACAGTGCAAAAACCAAATGTCTTTTATCGCACTGTGCATTTGAAAAAATATTTTCAATTCAGCATCGCACTGTGCAAAAAATTTTTTTGCACGGTGCAGAATTTTTTTCTGCACAGTGCAAAAATCCAAAACCATCCAAAATCAAGACTTAACCAATTCAAACCCCCAGATCTTACAGTATGGAACAGTTCCGAGTGCAGTGAAGCCATCAACGAGAGATCGGCCAAGAACGGGCAGATTCCATTCTCCACAAAGTCGAGAACATCGTTAAAGTTCTTCGTTTTCTCCCCTTCAACCAATTTCGCTTCCAATTCCAGCGGTTTCAATTGACTTTCCAGTTGATCCGCCCATTGTTTTGAGAGCTCCTTCTCCAAGTTTTCCATGGGAATCCCCAAATCATTCAAAAGTCGGACCGTTTCCACAAAATCTTCGGACGAAAGAACGGGCGCTTTGAAGTTCTGGCGGAGTTTATTTTCGATTCTGTTGATGACATCAATGCATTCTCGGTAGATCCCCTTCATTGACTCGTAATCCTTCACTTTTTCTAGCTGATTTTTGACGGAATTGAAGGATTTAATCGCTTTTTTGAATTCATTCCTCTCGTAATGGGTCTAAATTTGAGAAATAGATAGAGAAGAATGTAAAATACGAATGGTTAGACCTTCGGGAACTAAAAAAATCATATTACAAACATCTAAATACCAAAGAAAGCCGTATTTTACCTCAAAAATGAATCCAGTCGCCAGTTCCCCATCAAAAATGTTGACACTTTTGCAAATTTTTGCCTACTACAATATAAAAAAAATAGAACAAACAACTCAAAAACAAAAAAAAAAACTAAAGAAAAAATCCAACTTTCACCAACACCGAGTTAGACAACATAAAAAATATTTATTCCTGACCCACCTGCAATTTCTTAGGAAGATTGACAACAAAATTTAGCGATTTTACTGTTTTAGAGGCGTCCGTTAGCTTCCGGACGTTCTCCCGCTTCTCTCTGAAGATCACTGAGAGCTCGGCAGACAATGCGGATATTCTTGCCATCTTATCCGAGACATTATGCATCTCCTGGAAGAAATTAGGTATAAAACGGCGAATTTTTAAGGAAAAATTGTTTTAAAAGATGAACGTTGGCAAATATTAGACATTTTTTTACAATAAGCCAGTCTTCTCCGACTTTTTGGGTCAGTTTGTAACCGGCCAGACTGCCAAAAATTCATCTGATTTCTAATTTTCGATGTTGCACTGCCTAAAAGTCAAAAGAAAACAAAAAATATTACCTCATCCATTTTGCCAAACTCTGTTTGCATTTTCCTCACTGTACTTGTCGCTGTCAAAAATTTATTGTAGTTCTCATACACCAAATGTTGCATTTCATTGTCCAACCGACGAACATTTTGGACCATGTTTTCTTCAACGGCAACCAGCTCATCTAGCCCTTTATTTCGGATCAAATTACTCACAAAGGCTTCAGAATCAAACTGCGGAGAGTTTAGATTCATAGGATCATTATCGGCCAAGTCGTTCTCCATTTTTTCTTGAGCTGAAAGTGAAGGTAGATAGGCTGTAAAATCACGTAAAAGAATAAAATACACACAAAATTAAAAGCCCGAAGCTGTAATAAAAGATGTCTTCCACATTTAGATAACTTTTCAAGCAAAAATTGAATGAAAAAAGTAAACATTTATATCAAAAATAGATTTTTTAGTTACTTTAGCTACCTAAAACAAGGTGAACCCAAAATGCCTTGTCAAAAACCTCAAGTTCTTCTCGATATACTTCCGAACAACCCGTAGGAGGCCTTCAGAATCCCACCTGACGTCAATTTTGTTGGCAGGAAAAAAGAATAAATCGAATTTCATTGCCACAAAAAATATCGGAAAGTTGCGAAGTGTCAAAAAACAAGGAAACCATTTTTTGGGCGAGAAATTCTTCGGTTTTGCATAAATTTCTCTCAAAATTCTTCAGACATTAGCTCGCCGTTGGTGCTGTTAGCAAGATCATGACTTTCTTCCACTTTGCCAACTGCTGTGTCCTCGCTTTTTCTCCGTATTTTATGGTCTACAAGTACTCTGCCCTTTCTGAGTACAGCTCGTTGTTCCAATTCCTTCAAGCCGGTGGAATCTACTTTGTCACTCAGTTCTGCAAACTCTTGACCTATGCAACATTCTTCCCGTCACCGGACAATTATACGATTTCTGGAGTAAGTTGTTTTAGAAATTTTGTTGTACTTGATGTTTAGGAGAAAAATTGGATGTTATTGCTGGGAATACTTTCTTAAAAAGCCCGAAAGCTGTGTCAGGCCGTGTGAGATAGGGTTTTATTATTTTTTTTTATCTTGAAAATGTGGATTTCTTTCTTGCAGTTATTTGTTTTGACATGGATAATTTAAGTTTTTTCGAGGATGCAAAGATAAATGAATTGTGTTGTGAGTGTTTCCATGGTCTAATGGAGATGTTACAATGCTTTTTTGAACGTTCTCGGCAACTCCGTGACTCTTAATAACCCAATCCACATAAGCTCTCATGGATAATATACTTTTACGTTTTTTTACTCTATTCATTTCAGTACCAACACTTTGTCATGAACTCGGGTGATCTCTTCGACGTTGTGGGTCTGTGGCTAGCCATTAATATTGTCAGTGGCCGCGGAGAAGTGCGTTTCCTTGTCTCCGGATTCAGCTGGGCTTTCGCTCATTCCATCGCTTCCCACCTTCTGCCATTGTTCATTGGTGCTCGAAAAATGGCATTTTCTTGGGCCTATGTTCAAAGGGGAATTGAGGCAAATGCCGATATGGTGTTCTTCATTGGACTGGCGACATTTGTTTGGCTCAGCAAAAGAAATGACAAGAACAATATTTATCGAGTGGCTATGGGATTTGTGTTGGTTGGATGGGCTCGTACCGCTATTCTGGCGTGAGTTTATGATTGATGGAAGATTTTAGCGTAGATTTTGTTTAGATAACGAAAAGTTTTTGCAATTTTTTTGGCTTATATTATACTAGCCTAAAAATGTTGTATGATATATCCTTCTAATCGTTTTTTAGAGATAGAATCAATATGGACGTATTTTACCCCAAAATAAAGAATTGCTTTAATTCCGATCAATTTCATCCATAAAATTCGACCTTATTTTAGCTACCTCCAGACCCAGTACAATGTCGTTTCATGGTCTCTGGTCGCCGCCAAGGTGATCTACGCTTCTGCCTATGGTCTCGCAGCTTTGGTCACTTACTCAAATCTCGGGTACAGCACTGCGAAGTCTCTCTAAGTCGGTAAAATTAATGGTAATAACGTGTTATCTTAAGTAGTCGATTTTTTCTTGTTGAAGCGGTTGTTATCCTTAGGAAGGAAGGTTCCAGTTTCCAGTTTTAATATTATTTTGTCGATAAAATTTGAAGTTTTTTATTTTTGAAAAACAAAATTTGATTGCACTGTTCGGCAAAAAATGTATGAGATCTTCACGGAAGATCAAGTGTTATTGTGATTCGAATTGCCAGTATCATTGATAGACATCGTTGAGACATTCTTTTTGGTCATTTCGCCCATCAATTTTTTGAATTCGTTCCTCAGAGATCTGTTGAATATCAAGTAGATGATCACTGGTCCTCCTGAGATCAATTTCGATTAGTTTCGCTCTAAAATTGTATCACCTACCATGACAGCTTTGCCATATTATTTGGGTCAGCGTCATTAGGCCGGCGGTTCCACCAAAAATGTTGATGTAGTTATAGAAAGCGCCGCAAAGGACGAATAAACAGCAGATCAAACAGGACTGTATTACTGTCTAAAATTTGCAAAATTATGAAAAAAAGTTATGGATATAGGAATAGATGTAAATTAGGTGTAATTTGGTCCGAAATTTGACCTGTATCGAATCCGATCGATCGTATTACAAGTTGACCGCCGATATACCCAATTTGACCGGTCAGACTGGGCATACTACCTGTCAACTTGGTAATAGGAGCGGTTAGATTGGTCGCATGGTCGGTCAGGTTGGTCAAGAAATGATTGACCGGTCAATTTCCAGCCGGAAGTATGACCAACCTGCCTGGTCACATGCTTACTTTGACCGGTCAATAAACTTTGAAAAGAAATGATTTCGGTTCGTATACTGGTCGGCAAAATTTTCTTTCCATCACGTATCATGGGAACCGCTGGGCCTAGACCCTCCGAATTCGGCATAGAAACATTCTGGGCCAATCTAATACCATACCCAAAAAAATCCGGTTTTTTGTCTTTGGCAAAAAAAGTGCATCAAATGAAATGATTTTTTGGATATGGTGTTAGATTGGCCCAGAATGTTTCTATGCTGAATTTGGAGGTTCTAGGCCCAGCGGTTCCCGAGGTACGAGGTGGAAAGAAAATTTTTTCGACCAGTATACTTGCCCGATCAGGCTGACCAAGAAAAATTTTACGGGTCTGATGTTGATTGTGATACTGCCAACCCCTACAATAATTGAAGGGAACTTACGGTCTTTTGGAAATTGGTTAGTCTCGTGGCGGTCGAGGTTGCCCTATCAAACTTGATTTTATAAGTCCGAATCAGGAGAAGGACGCAGATTACGCTGTATAAAAGGACCATGATGATCGGCGACACGATATCATTGATAGTGGTGGCATAACTAAGGTACTGAAAAGAGATGTTTTTGGAAATTATTGTACAGGGTGTTTCAAGAAATTCCCCGGAAAGCAATCGTCGATTTCTCGGCGCTCAGCCACGATATCCAAAAAATTTTTTTTGCAGTAGAAAGAAGGTTATGGGCGGTTTTTTGCCTAAAAAGATTTTTTTCTTCGCCGACGAGGAATGCAGTGTATTCGGCGAAGACTTTTGACCGCTTTTATGACCATCACACTTATCTAAAACGCTTTACTGTGACACTGCAGCATCCGGAAAGTCTTCAGATTTTTTGCACAATGGATCAGGAGGCAGGATATAACGCTATGCGATCCCATTTAGCGACTGCACAGTGCAATGCAGTCGCTGCAATATCGATAAAGTCGAGCCCACCGCGCGAATGTTTGAAACAGCAGGGCAAAGAGAAATTTAAACAATTTTTTTTTTGTTGTTTTCTGGTGCACCAATTTTTGGATATCGTGGCTGAGCGCCGAGAAATCGACGATTGCTTTCCGGGGAATTTCTTGAAACACCCTGTAGTGCAAAACCCACTTTAGTATCATCCAAGTTTTCGAAAATCGTCCCCACATACGGATCGTTAAATTCGGCGTAATAAACGGATGTGAATAGGAAGACGCGGCTGTACCACATCACCAGGACAAAGTCGATGATCGGTATTAGTAGCCAATATTTTGTCCGTCCTTTCGAGAACAACGCGTGCAACCAGCCGGTGTTCAGCAAATCACACAATCGATTTATTGCCAGGACAATCACTGTCAGGCACGTGCAATTCCATAGGGCTGAAGGGAATAGGTTTTCTGGGAAGGAATTTTTGGAAAAATTTCAACAAATTTGGACGTAATTTAGAGAAACAGTTTTTGAGAATTTGCCAACGTGCTAGTTTCTTACAGTAGGTTGGTCTATTGCCTGCCGAGATTTGTAGAAAAACTTGGCATTTTCGTAAATTGTGACAACATTTTTTCGGAAGTAAAATGTAGGCTAGACACAACTTTTACATCACGTATTGAAGTTCATTTCAGCAAGCGACCATTCTATTGGAAATCGACCAGAATTCCGGTATGAATTTGAAATGATTTGCAATTTTTTTTCCATCTTGTTAGGCGAAGCAGAGATTCAAAATTGACTTTACAACCTTACCCGTTCCAATGCATCCACTAACATAAAACAACATTGGGGAGTCGCAGAAAACCATGCCTTTGTAGGCAAAGACGCCATACAAAACACATACCATAGTGAGGCATATCGAATCGATTACCGCTGAAATGGAATTTCATTTTTTGTGGTTTTTAGTCACCACTTTCACTATCAAAATTGGTTTCGAAATTTCTCAAAAGTATGACTTTTATTTCAAAAATTACAATATAAATATGTCAAGGCATTGTAAAAGATTTCAAATTCCAAAAGCTAAGTTGTAAATTGCACTCACCCAAAAATAGCATGATTTTGTAGCAAGAAAATTTTCGATATTTGGGTAGCGCCATAACATAGATGGTGGGAATGTAAAGACTAATGTAAGTAAGTCCACTCAAAATATAGAAAAGGCCAATCACTCGATTGGGAACTTTCATATGATCAAAATAACCTTGCTCGTATAACGAGCAGTTGTAAAGACGGTCGTATTCCTGGCGATCGAAGAGGACTTCCATAGCGTCCTAGAAGCAAACTAGATTTTTAATTGGATTAAGCTGATGAACGTGTAATTATCGTAAACGGTAACTGAAAGTGAGATTAACGAATTGTAAATTCCTGTTACAAATACTGGGCGGGCCAAAAAGTCTTGGCATGTTTTCGCAGAGTGAGAACGGGGTTGCGAAGCGACTTGCGTGACATACAATCAGCACATTGTGAATGAAAAACGCACTGTGCTTTGATTGCCTTGTCAAAATCACAAACGATGGAAAAGCTTTCAGCAATTTGCTCAAGCTAAGAGTCTTGTACAGGGTGTTTCAAGAAATTCCGCGGAAACTCAATTTTGGAGATAAAATGATGTAGGATGGGGTTAATCAGAGCACATGAATCATTTCAAGCCATCTCCCAGCTCTGTGTCTTAATCCGAAGACGAGTTATGGCCTCCGCCGATATGGAAAGCGTCCGCCATACCTTCGCCGAATGCGTGATAAACAAAGAAATATGCAAATCCTCTCTCAACTATCAAGATTCATCCTCTTTTGAACCGTCAAAATTCGTAATAAAGCGTTTGAGATGAGTGTGATTGTCAAAAAAGCGATCAAATGTCTCCGCCGAATACACTGCATTCGGGGTAGAAAAAAATCTTTTTAGGCAAAAAACCGCCCACAGCCTTCTGTCTAATGCAAAAAAAATTTTTTGGATATCGTGGCTGAGCGCCGAGAAATCGACGACGACTTTCCGCGGAATTTCTTGAAACACTCTGTACAGTAGCTGACCTGTTCCAGTGACAAAAAACGTACCGTCTTGCATCTAGGGAGGAACAAAAATTCCGCAAAACATCTCCTATCTCTGGGTAAGAAATCACTGCTTTGAAAAGCGCCCTTTCCTTTAGAAAGAGAGCGTCCGCGAATCAGGCAAGACGGTACGTTTTGTGCCACTGGAATAGGTATCCTCACCTTCCATGTATCGAAGAAAATTCTAATTTTGAGTTGAACAAAACCTCAAAATATTTGAGACGAACGTATAAACTTCACGTTTTTTGATTTGTGAAACCCAAAAATCTATCTTGACTTATGCAGTTGTTCTTACAACATATTAGCCATGGCTGCTTGTTCGAGCCAAAGCAAATAAATTATAGGCCCGGACGAGCGCCTTTGGCATAAGAACTTATCTTCTACCGATTATTGTTAGACTGGAACACAGTAGAGGCCCGTACCGGGTGACCCGGGCCCTATTTCCATCTGACAATGCCGTCAATAACAGGTCGGACCAAAAGTCATGTCTTGTTATTCTATGCCACTAACTAACACAATTACACGAATGCGCAGATTACTGAAACATCATAGGCGAAAACTGCCACTTATAAACATATTTCTGTACGGTTTTCGGTAGACGTGATAAACTTGCCTACATTAAATTGGCATTTAACTAACGATTACAATTAAAAATGACATTTCGAAAATCAAATTCTGCGTATGACATTGTTTAACACGCAAATGTCCGTTGTTGTTACTCAGACATCACACGGGAAACATTGTTTCTTATGTTCGACACAAAACTACCGTCTTTGTACTGTCGAAGAGAAGGAGATATACGGTGTTACACAATAAAAGTTGAGTTCTTTAGAGATGTGTTGACAGTTATATATATACGTTCGTACAGTTCATCGCAAAGATTATACTCTTTCGTAGAGTATATGTTTTGGTACTAGGCGGGCCAAAAAGTCTTGACATGTTTTCGCACCGTGCGGACGCATGAATTCGGCGTTGCGACGAGGTGTCGCGCGATAAAAAGTTTGGCGGGGTGCGAATGAAGAGCGCACTGTGCGTTGTTTACCCTTTTTCAAAACAATCTTTTTGCACTGTGCGGTGTCGCATTGCACCGTAAATTTTTCTCGTCGCCGCGCGACAAATTTCATGCACGACGGCGCACTGTGCAGACATGTCAAGACTTTTTGGCCCGCCTAGTAAGCACTATGGATTATCGTAGTACTTTGAAAAGGTTGACAGTGATGAAGTTGTTATCGCCTACTCGTTTCAAGACAACGAGCAGTCTATTCGTTTAGCTGACTTGTGAGGCAGCTATGTGGCAAAAAACGTATCATTTTGCATCCGGGAAATATAAAAAATGTGGCAAAATGCTTCCTTCACCAAGTGAAAAAAACTTCGATTTCAAAAGCGCGCCCGTTCTTTTTGTGAGGGAAAGGACGCGCCCTTCAAAACGAAGCTTATTCACCTGGAGAATGAAGCATTTTCCCACATTTTCGATGCTTCCCGGATGCAAAATGGTACGTTTTTTGCCAATAGACCGGGTCATTCACTGTAACAGAAAACAAAAAAAAAAAATTATAACACCAAACAGTTATAGAGGTGAAAGTGTCTTGTACTTGTCGTCGGACTGATTGTTGGCGTTTGCACTGTACGAAAAAAGTCGGGGTGCGAGCGACAGCCCAAAAAAGCATATTGCACGCTGATAACTTTTAACAATTATTGTATAGCCTGAAATTTTGCCTGAGGTGACTTCTTGGTAGGCTGGAATTTCACGGGAATTGTGTTGTACAAAGACAATGACAAAAATCCGTTTGTAGTCAATTTACACTTCAAATTTTAAGGTCAACTACAAACAAGGAAACAACTTTCCCAGCCGGTTATGTCACGGAACAGAGGACACAACTGTTGTAAAGTACGACGGCATTCGACTTGGATGTTGAGAGCTTGCAAAACATGCAAAAAGTTTCTTTTTTTAATTGAATTGCATGTCGTTTGAGTCGTGATAAGTAATACTTTTTTTACTGTTAACATAAGAAGAAACGTTCAACTAATTGAAATCTTAAATATGAAGGTATCCACGGAACATTAGGCAGAGAACTTTTTGTTGTGCTGTGGTCATACTTTCTGCATCGTCAGAGATCTTTTTCAATATAAAGCAACTATTCTTTTTTTAATTCATGAAAAATAAAAGTACTAACCGTTCAATAAAGTGACATCAGAAGTGAAAGACGTTTATTATTTGACGGACTTGACGCGGGCCCGTTTCAAGTTACATTTCTATGAATATGGAGTTTTCTTATAAATACATACGAGTTCAAGAGACTCCAAAAAACACTATTTCAAGTTTGGTGTGCAGAGTTTTTCAAAATTTTGGATATGTGTTATAAACCAGCCGCAATTTGCTGAAAGTTTTAGCTCGAAGCCAATGATTTCGGGGATATGCATTGTGAGAGAACAAACGTTCATTCTGCACTACAATTTCTTGCTTTTTGCACCGTGCCATATGCTTTCTTTGGCCCTCGCTTACACTATGACTTTTTTGCGTAGGGCTCGTCGCCGAAACCGCTCATGCGGCGTCATGAACGGTCTAGTACGCAACGACATCTTTTTCGAAAGGCCACAAGAAACGACAGACTTGGCCAGACTGAAAACGGGGCTCGTCAATAACTTAGATGCTTTTGAAAAAGTTTATGAACTTAATGCTTTGAAGGGCATAGCTACCTATGAATCGCTTGGGAGTCAAAAATAAATATTTTTTATGCCCTGCCGCAAAAACAAAGTCTGCGAAATTTCGAGCAGTAAAATAATTATTAGTAAGCACGTGGATGTAATTTTCCTTTCATGCCATTGATACAGTAGTCGAAGAATTTTTTAAAATTTTTGCGTGATTTAAAACTAACCGTACTTATATAAAATTATCACGTTTATTTACACCAAGTCTTTCTTTACGTCATCAGCTCAATAAACTTCCTGTAATCGATCACATGTCTCAATTTTCACAATAAACACTCTGCTTTGCAAAGTCTTTTCTTGATGAAACTTGAATCTTTGAATGGCTCTTAATCAATCAAGTTTTTTTAGAAAGGAAACGTGAAAAGTTCCCGAACTCTTAACAGTTTAACGTGACAGTAACAAACAATCAGTGATTGTAATGTGAGGGAGGAGAATTAAGAAAGAGGCTTTCATGACATACATACATAGCTAATGTAGCCTACTTTTTTTACAGAACGCTTATTATTCTCAATTCCTCCTTGAATCAAAGGGAAGTTCCGGTGAACGAAACGGCTGAATCTTTCCGGCTGTTTCATGCCTTATAGGTATTGCAAGGAGTAGATTTTATTGTCGATAAATACAGTCTTACAATTAGGTCGCTTTACAAGATGGCGTCCTCGTTTTTTGGCAGTTTACTATCAATAAAAAAGTTTCGCATGTAAAGGAAGTATGGCCTTCTTTTGATCGGAATATTGCCAAAAGTTGGACCTGTCCTTGCCAAAAACATTTTTTTAAACTCGTTTTTATCGTGCAGATTTTCGACCATGTCTGCAAAATGTACTTTATATACGCGCTTCTAGTTCCAGGGTTAAAATGAGATCAAATATCGTCAATATTCTTCTTCTTCTACTACTCAGTATGTTGCCCATAACAGAAGCGCGCGGCTGGAGTGGTGGTTTGGGCCGAGCCGGCGGCTGGGGCCGCCGAGGAATGGGAATGGGCCGTGGATGGGGCCGAAGGGGATTCAACTTTCCTGGACGTGGAATGGTCTTCGGAAGAGGCTTCTGGGGATAGACCATACACATAAATGGGGATAGGTAAGTCCGCTTTTTGAAACAACTTTTTGATGACATGTTATGCATAATTTTTTAACAATAATTATTATTTTCAGGCCAGCCATGGAAAAGTTGGGAAGTTCGAAAGCAGACATTATAATAATGCATTAACCTGTAATTATTCATGTTTGAAATTTATGGTCTCATGTAGTAAAAACAAATATTGCATATTTGGAAAACACCGTTCTATTGGCTCACAGTGATGAAATAAAGGCCAAAGCACAGCATAAATGAAATTGATAAAGGAATTTTGTCATATCTGGCTCGAAACTTACAAATCGTCCAAAAAATATGTTATAAAGACACCCGTTGGTAAGGGTATAAACAATGGTTGTGTATGGCTAGGAGTACTCCCTAAAGCAAGACCAAAAATTCCAGGCTTTGCAAAGGTGTTCGTTGCAGAAAAGATCCAGAAATTCGGTCATCCAAAACATTTTTCTCACATATTTTGCAGAACAATAATAGTAAATATTGACCTGCTTCATCGATAATTTCATGATGAAAAATGATCTGCTGACGTTCCTTTACTCATCTCAAAAACATGAAAAGTCTCCGAAACCTCATCAAAGAAGGTTGATTTTCTTCGCTGAACCCTGATGTGTAATGATATGCATTGCTATAAAAAGCCCATTGTTTTCCACCCTCACTTCACGTTGTTCTGCCAAAGAAACTCGCTCAAGAATTGTCGTGGCTTTCAGTTTTTAATTTGACGAATTCCAGCTGATCTGTTGACTAATTCGCTGCTCTTTTCGACGATAAAAAGTAATTCCGCGGTTCCCGAGGGAGTCGTTTTTCGTATGTGGAGCAAGCGGCGGCTATATAAGTCGACGCACAATAGGAAACTGTCGGTTTATCCGGCTTTACGGTTTGTCTTTTGTGGATTTGTTTTTGGGAAGCGGAACGGGTTCAGAAACCGGTTTGGGTTCAAATGGAGAATGATTATTGTTGTCGTTATCTTTGGCAGATAACGACTGTTATCGTTATGTGATCGTACAGATATCGGGGGATGGTTTGAAAGAGGATATGTAAGATTTAACACCGGGAGGCTTTCAAGGGCGGCGCTCAGATTTGCTTTAAATATGGCGTACAACACTGGCATATAGATCACATATCAGTTAATCAAAGTTTTAGGTTGCTCCATAACGTATTGACTTTTAATTGACTTTTTTTGAGACATTTACGGTAAGATAGGCATGCAACTTTTACGCCAAAATTGTCAAAAAAAGTCTCGCTTTTTTCCAGCCTTTGACCAAAATATTGTATGACTTGCTTTCAATTTCACACACCGAGGATACACTTTTTACATACCCAACATTTTTACAATGAAATCTAAAACTGTCGCGTTTCCAGATCAATCATGAAGCTGAGCATTTTCTCTCTTTGTTTCCTCCTCGTTCTTCTTGCCTGTACCTTCGTCTCCACCGAGGCCTTGCGTGGAGGCTTTGGCCGACGTGGATATGGCCGGCCAGGCTTCGCCTACCGAGGCTGGAGGGGAGGACGCTGGGGATATGGCCGGGGATTCGGCTATGGAAGAGGATTTAGATATCCATTCTACGGATGATACGGCACCAGTAAGATTTTGTAAAATACGTTCTATTTCGGGATGCCAACTTTTAATTCAATCTTATTGTATTTCCAGGCTACAATGGATAAATTGTCGATCAAATGACGAGACAAAAACCTTCGCAATATAACATAAATATAGTATTGAGATATTTGTAAAATACGGCGCGTAGAATCGTATTTGGTATTTTGAATGCAATAAACTTTATTTATTGGATGCCTACAGTCCTTCCTCAAACAAAAAAAAATCAAAATCCATCTTTTTTCATATCTTTGGCTGATTTAGTGACTCAGATGTTGTGTTCTAACTTCGCTGTAGAGATATGCAAATTTTATTTACTACACTCCGTTACGAAAGCATACCCTGGAAAATTACAGGGCATAGCTAAGGTTTGCCGTTCGAAAGAGCATGTCAAAGAAAGTATTACTGTATGGAATCAGCCGATTAAAGAAATTCGGTCGGTTTGGCAACCGTTTTAGCATTTATGACCGTTTCAAAAGTATACCTACCCTTACGATTATTGGCCAGTCTGGCCCGGATTTTGAACCGACCAACTCCCATTTCATTACATCGTGTTCTCTATAGTACTGGAAAGCGTTTTACATTCATTTATAGTGCACATTATCCACGTAGTGGTTTTGCGAGTCATCTTTGTCACTGTACATGAGGTTAGTGTTTTCTTCAAAAAGAAATCTTGACTAGGCTGCTTTCTTAATGGCGAAACATTATACGACATCATACATACATAGCTAACTATAAGTAGATCAAGGGGACAAAGTATCAAAACCAGGAGTTTAGAAACCGTGTGTCACAAGCTCCGTGGCAAAGGCTCAGATTTTGGAAAAGTGTCTTTTTAAAAAATAAATGTTCCCATAAAAGGCAACGCTATCCTTCTTGTAGCATGTGTCCACACAGAGTTTTCAATTATATGTAGTACAAAATCCACAACCATCTTCTTCGACCACAATCCATACATAGACAGATGGCGGTCAGAAACCCCAATTTTTCGGTGTCCACGATAACAACGGAATCACATTGTAACATTTGACGTCAAAACGCTTCGTCAAACCCAGAAATGTTTCACAAGCGTACCCCTTGGGTTCCATGGAACCGAGGAATCAGCAACCGATCAGGTGTAACATTTTCTACGCATACTTAAACCGCCATTTGTAACCGCCCGCGCCTCTCCCAGCAATTTAAAACAGAGTTTTTTACAAACTGAAGCTTCCCTCCAAGGGGCCCGGACATTGTTGCAACGACCATCACCAAATTTCTTGAAACTTGGCCAGCAGAATGGCCTGAGCATGTTGATGAAAAGCGAAGAAGGGTTTCGCGAAATTTCAACCAATCCGGGATTACTGTAACAATTTGGGTTTTGTAAAGCAGCCGTTGTCGTGGACCGGGCAACAGCCCTACGGGGCTGAAACTTCTTGTATGTATGTTTTCGAGCATGGCCAACATTTTTCTAATTGAAACTTTTTTTGTATCTTTTCGTCTTTCGGTAGTACCGTAATCGTCATGATACCATATCGATTACTGTAAAAAATTGGAGCGAGTGTAACAAATTTTTAAACTTGATTATAAAAGTTGGACACCCTTCCCGTAAAATAAGACAAAAAAATCAAAAATAAAAATATAAGTTTTTGTGATATACGCGTTCAAAATTGCTATGTTCGGTTACTGTAGGACCAAAATAGAGACGATCAATTTTTAAACTTTCCATTAATCGCTACGGTTCACATATTAATAGCATGACATAAGAGGAATGTTTTCAGGTTGAAAAATTAATAATAGAGCTTTTATTTTAGGGTTTATACGAAGGTTACTGTAATTTCCAACTTTTATTAAGTTCGCTAACAATTTTATTGGAATGACGAATTTAGACAAGCTATCCGGGTCAGAAACGCGCATACATCATGGAAGACAGAAATCAGAATCGTAATACTACCTATTCCTGAAATAGTGGGAGATTACGGTAGCCGTACCCACTTTTTTCGCTGTTTGGCCGCGGCATTCTTTGGGACAGGTAGTGTAACAACTTTTGAGTCCTGAAGTTCATTCAGCATCACCAGGGGAGTATTTCAGCAAAAAATCGCGAAAATAAAAATATAAGTTTTTGAGAAAATCCTGGATTACGGTCATTTTAGGGGGTTTTTGGGCCGTCTGGCCGCGGCATTCTTTGGAGCTGCGAGTGTAACAACTTTTGAGTCTTCAAATTTACTCAGCATGACCAGGGAAGTATTTCAGCAAAAAATCGAGAAAATAAAAGCATAAGTTTTTGAGAAAATCCCGGATTACGGTAGTTCCGGACAGAAAATCCCCTATAATGACCGTAATTTCGGATTTTCTCAAAAACTTATACTTTTATTTTCCCTATTTTTTTCTTAAAGACTCTCCTATATATTCTGAACAAATTTCCAGTCTCAGATCTGGTTACACTAGCAGCTCCAAAGAATGCCGCGGCCAGACGGCCCAAAAATCCCCTAAAATGACCGGAATCCGGGATTTTCTCAAAAACTTATATTTTTATTTTCGCGATTTTTTGGTGAAATATTCTTCTATCCATCCTGAATGAATTTCAGGCTTCAAAAGTTGTTACACTCGCAGCTCCAAAGAATGCCGCGGCCAGACGGCCCAAAAACCCCTAAAATGACCGTAATCCAGGATTTTCTCAAAAACTTATATTTTTATTTTCGCGATTTTTTGCTGAAATACTCCCCTGGTGATGCTGAATGAACTTCAGGACTCAAAAGTTGTTACACTACCTGTCCCAAAGAATGCCGCGGCCAAACAGCGAAAAAAGTGGGTACGGCTACCGTAATCTCCCACTATTTCAGGAATAGGTAGTATTACGATTCTGATTTCTGTCTTCCATGATGTATGCGCGTTTCTGACCCGGATAGCTTGTCTAAATTCGTCATTCCAATAAAATTGTTAGCGAACTTAATAAAAGTTGGAAATTACAGTAACCTTCGTATAAACCCTAAAATAAAAGCTCTATTATTAATTTTTCAACCTGAAAACATTCCTCTTATGTCATGCTATTAATATGTGAACCGTAGCGATTAATGGAAAGTTTAAAAATTGATCGTCTCTATTTTGGTCCTACAGTAACCGAACATAGCAATTTTGAACGCGTATATCACAAAAACTTATATTTTTATTTTTGATTTTTTTGTCTTATTTTACGGGAAGGGTGTCCAACTTTTATAATCAAGTTTAAAAATTTGTTACACTCGCTCCAATTTTTTACAGTAATCGATATGGTATCATGACGATTACGGTACTACCGAAAGACGAAAAGATGCAAAAAAAGTTTCAATTAGAAAAATGTTGGCCATGTTCGAAAACATACAGATAAGAAGTTTCAGACCCGTAGGGCGATCACCTGGTCCACGACAACGGCCGCTTTATAAAACACAAAATGTTACAGTAATCCCGAAATAATGCAAATTTTGGGAAAACGTTTGACGCTTTTGATATATGCCCTGTGGGTGTTCTATGAGCCAAATTTGAAGAAATTCGGTGATGGTCACCGCAACAATGTCCGGGCCATGCTTCACTTTGTAAAAAAGTCCGTTTTAAAGTAAGTCTGAGGTTTGTGGGAAAGTGTGGAGAGCCGGCGGATGGACGGAAGTTGCTTTTGTAGCAAATTGTGGACAGATTATTTTAAATACCGTAGGGATACAGTGAGGGACCTGATCCAATGGCAAAAAACGTCTCCTTTTGCATCCCGGAAGGGGCCAAAATGACTCCAAACCCTTCCCGTCTCTAAGCTAAAAAACTCCGCTTTGAAAAGCGCGCCCTTTCCTTCAAGGCGGGCTCTTCAAATCGGGGTTTTTTAGTTTAGAGAAGGGAAGGGTTTGGAGACATTTTGGTCCCTTCCGGGATGCAAAAAAAGTCGTTTTTTGCCATTGGATCCCGTCCCTCACTGTACTTGAATTATTCAAAACTTGGAAAATGGGTTATGAAATAAATTCCGAGAAATTCGGCCAAGTCCTTTATGTTTTTTGCTGCGAAAAGTATGTCAATTTTTAAACGGCACCATTGCTTCAGTATGATTTGGCAGGGTTTTGGCGAAGCATGGTTGACCTTCAAATCTGGCGGACTTTGCCAAGTCGTATTGAAGAAAGAGAGGGCAGGAAGACTAATTCCTTTTCTACTAGGCCTAGTAGAATTGCCAGAGGCAAAAACGTCTTGTATACGATAAATTTTCCTTTTTCCCTTGGCAATTTTCGAAGTAAAAATTAAGTTAATTAGTATTTATAATCTCTGACGTACAGTCAGCTTATTCGGACGCGCCTCCTTTATTTTTCCTATTCCGTTTCAGCAATGAAATCAGCAACCTTCCTACTACTACTACTATTCCTTGCCACTCTCCCAGCGATCCACGCTATTCACGGCTTGGGCGCGCTTGGTTGGATCGCCCGTGGGATTCGAATGGGGGTTGGCTACGGTGCCAGAGCAGGAATGTTGGGCTCCCAAGGCTATGGCAACAATTACGGTGGAAATAGTTATGGTAACGGATGGGGTAATAGTGGCTGGGGAAATAATGGCTGGGGCAATAGCGGCTGGGGTAACAGCGGATATGGAAGCAGCAATTATGGGAGCTATTATTCAAGTGGAAGTTATCCAGGTGAGTTTACAGAGAGACTGTTTTTTTTTTGACATTGGTCTCTTTTAGGTTACTACGGCTCAAACTATTACTATGGCAAATAGCAGAGTTCAAAATTCTGATAAATAGAGACCTTGTATATATTATAAAGCCTGTATTATATTGTATTTGTAAACCGTCCTGCAATAATAAAATAACCTCATCTTTGTTTGTCACAGTTCAGCGAAGAGAATCGAACCTGGCTTAATTTCCAACTGGTACAAAATAAAATGAAGGAGTGCCTTGATAGGGTGGAGTGATTTGAGAAACGTCCAGCTAGAATCGAAATTTACGCAGTTTTCCTATGTAAGTAATATCATCGTTTTTTTACTTGTAGGTTACTAGTCCTTAACTTGCAATTGGTTACCCCTAGCATATTTTTAAAAATTTTGAATTTCGGGCCTTTCCTTTTCACGTTTTCGTCATTGGTTTTGATCTTCACACGACTGTTTTTTCACGCAAAGTATACTGTACAATATCTTTGATTCAGGCCTCGTATTCGCCTCCCCTAGATACAACGTGGTCTGACCTTGCCTTCGCAGGGATTTAATCTTCAATTCCGAACGGAAGATGTAAAAATCCACGTTCTTGCGAATTATTTATCTCATAATGCAAACACGAATCAGCTCAGTTCTTGTTACAGTACCCAAAACAGCAAAAAAACGCTGAAACACGTATAAGATTTTATGATAGCTCTAACAAAAGATGTAAAATTTTACCCCAGATTTAATCACCCCAAGCCGAAGTTAATTTAACTTCTCTTCAACGCCGGCCCAATGCAAGACAAGTAGCTGTCGTTGACGGCACCAGTGTTATAGATCTCAAAAGTCGATTTGTCAACTCGAACTAGATCCCCTCCACTTGTTGGGTAGCCATTCATCCAATTGAGCTCACTGGATGGGACGGTTGAGTTGTCCCAGTAAGTGAACGTCTTCCCATTCCGGACAACTCCCGGTACGGCCTTTCCGAATGTGTACACTGAAAAGAGCAGGTAAAATACCTTGATTATATAATAGATAAAAACGAAATTTAGAAAATGAATGTGTACAGACAACCCAGAAAAAAAAAACAGATTGTGTATTTTTGTGTACATAAAAGCGAAGGAATAAGAATTTTTTTCGAGCTCGAGAATGTTTCATGACAATAGACAGAGATCTTTTTTTTGATTTTTCGTTTTCCAGCCAGAAAAACCATGCAAAAGTAGCAGCTATACGGCCTTTAGGTAAATAATGTACGGCGTCCTAGCCAATTTTTTCCGCTTCTTTTAAAGGAGTAATACATACAACTGCATTTGAATACCGCTTTTACCGCCTAGAAGACGAAATTTCGCAGAATTTTTGTTATCCCTCTTTCTAAGAAAGGAGTTTTTCAAAACAGTTCAAAATAATCAAGCAGATTGTAAAGTTGATTTTCAGCAGTTTTAAAATCATTTCTATTTTATTTTAAGGGCGTGGGAGAACACAAAATTCTGTGACATTTCGTCTTTCAAGTCGTAAAAGCGAGATTCAAAGTACTTGTTTTGATTTTTTTAAAAAGCTATAATTTAAAAAAACAGCTGTTTTTCTGTGCATGTTACCCCAGATTACCATGGTTTCGTTTGCAAAACTGTTGAATGTCTTGTGTTTGCAAAACACCGTTTTTTGCTAGCAAATGATTTGTTGGCGGAGTTTCCAAAAAAGGTTCCCTTTCGATAAAAACCATTGAAAGGAAATGAGCAGAAATACTATAATATATATAATAGTTTGAAATTCCATAGACCATCTTTTACATCGCGAACTTACTGACTAACAGCCCCCTCACCAGCGGATGAAAGAATGTGACCGGCGTTGAGTTTGTCATCCTACTGGCACACCCATTTTGGATTAAAATACTTGACGAGGTCAAGTTCATCGACTCTTTCATGTAGCAATACGCAGCTCCGTCAAATAAAGTGACAAAGCCTACATCGTAGTCGCAGTAGTAATCCGTGATCTTTGTGGCTTCTAAAAAATTGGTTGAATTTGTAAAATACGGTGATGACATTGATGAGATTATGTAAAAAAAACTTACGGCTTCGATTCAAAACTCGTTGCAGCAGGTTGGCTTGAATGCTGTTTCGGAAGTTGTAATATTTTTGGTTGAAAATTGAGGAGGACTAAAGGAAATGAATATCAGCTAAGAGTGACAATATCGCTTACATTTCGGAGACACAACGAAGTATTCGTCTCAAAGCCCATTTCTTCCCCTGCTGGGCATATATTGTCACCGTAGGCTGAAATAACGATTGTGGTTCGATTTAGCCTCTCATTTGAAGAATGAAAAAAAATAAAAAATCAAAAGAAAATTGCAAAACGGGATGATGAAATTTTGTCGTATCTTTACAGAAGCCTACAAATAGCGGAAGCACACCACTTGCGACGCTTAGATTTTGAAGAGACTTGGCATAAATCTAGAATAATTTTTTAAGACACGCCAGACTCCTGACTCGGGTTTTGCAGACACAACCAAGATTTTTAGTCGAAAGATCAGAAATAGCCAAGATTTTTAGTTCGAAGAAAAGTTAACATTAATTATATCTTTTCATAAATTTTCTACTGCAAAGAGTAATCTTTCCGCAAAAAATCAATCTCTTCTTTACATAGCTGGCAAAAATATGGACAAAAATGTAAACATTGCGCTGCCCTTCATCCTCACTTTTTGCCTAGCCTTTCCGCGTTTTTGGAAAGCCATTTAAAAAATTTGGCTGTCATTTCTGCTCTCTGACACTTCCAACCATTTTAGCATCCTTTTTTTGAGACCTCAAAGCCTGTCTGGTACAATAGCTTGCCAATCCATGTTCCCCAAATCCTCAAAGGAGAGCCCCCAAATGAAATCCGCCCCAAATGAAGTGTAGCCGAATTTTTGTAAAACTTGCAACGTTTTTGCCATCTCCTTCTTTGTTCTCATCATCAACCTTATCGAAAACTCCGAAAAAATCCGACATTTATCGGTGATTTTCAACCGAAAAGCACTGGTTTCCGGGGTAGTAATACCCCTACTTCAGAAGGTCGTAGCGACCTCAGTTTGCATTTTAAAACCTTGCTATTTTGTAGACAAAAACTAATGTCGCTAAAAATACGTATTCCAAAAACGAAGTCTCTGCGCCGCCTCCGCCGGAAATTGTAGCCTCCGACTTTCCTTCACGTTTTATGTAAGACCCTTACACTTCTTCAATTTTTAATATCGCTTACTCAAGTCCGCAATCTTCAGCTCGGTTTCCTTTCCGGTCATACAATTGCAATTCCTCCTGGTCGATCGCATAAAGGTCGTCGCATTCACAAAATCTTGCGCTATTAAAATCATGATTAACTATTTCTCCGCTCGCTTACAGCTAGTGGTCATTCCATAATTCGTTGAGCCAATCAACACATCCCCCGCATTGCAGGTCATACTGTCCAGGAAGTAGACAAACACTCGCAACGAGAGCTCATCCGCAGCATCTGCGCACTCTTCTAGCGTCACATTGGTCATGTTCAAAGTGGTTGTTTCGAAGCCAACCCCATATTTTGATGGAACTTGATAGTAATAAGCGCAATTGGCTAGTCCAATGAAAAGTAAAATCTTAAAATTCTGCACCATCGCGGGCGAATGCCTCGAGGAAAACATTGGCCGCATTAAAGTTTGTCGTGAGGTATAATTTATTTGCAAGAATTGATGACTCTTGTCGCTTGGAGACAACGATTTTTTAAAGAAAGCGAGAGTGGAAACGTGGGAAATGGAAGAATTCGCTCGGAAATACGGTAATGGTCAAATGTGTAACAGAATGAAGAGGGGATCAGTCTAGTTGTCATGGCTCTGGGATATAATTTTTGGGAGATAAAAGTATAAAAATTGAGCTGCTCTTTTTTAAAAGGTCAACAGCTTGTCAACTTTTGGACTTTTTAGTATGAACACAAAAACAATTATTTGTGCAATCGTATAAGAAGAATCTAAAAAATGATTTTCATACTGTAAATTACAGTTGCATCCTAGAAGAAATGAGCACTTCTAAACGGGCAATGTTCATTTTCTGAAAAAATTGACACATGTTTAAATTTTGATTGCGTGATTTCAGCATTGAAAAGTAAATTTTTTATGCAGTAAAAAATGAATATCATTTTTTGACATCGATTTTACGTTTATGATCATGGAGTGCAATGATTTAATAAATATATTCTTTTAATTTTTTTATATTCTGCATCACACACACATCAAGGATCACAGAATATAAAGAGAACCAGAGAGGCCCATTTCCAAAATTTTTTTAAGATGCGGTCTCCGAAACCGTCAACTTCACTGTTTTATAAATATGTATGTGTTTTATAATATTTAACAAACGCCCGTTTGCAAATACTGTATTCAAAAGTGGAAAGGAAAGAGCGAATTGTCATGTATTACCGTAGGGTTATTAAATATGCTTGTATTTCGATGGTCTATCGCATTCAACCAATTGCCGTCATCTATCTGGTAAATACAAGATACCAATGCAAGATAAATAAGCGTCGTTATACCGGCCATATTGAACACAGCTAGTTTATTTTTACGGATATAATAAACGGCGAAGAAACTTGATTTGAAATGTTGATGAAGACGTCGATGCAACAACCACTACATATTGACGAAAATGGGAGCTTTGTTCGAGCCGCGGTGGAAGTAGAGGCCGAACCTGGAAACGACTATCCCGTCCAATTCAAAAAGCTTCAACTTTTGTTTCCCTGCTTACTATACCACATGGGTTTTCTATCTGTTCTTCGACGCAACCAGCCAAACTTCCGCTTTTGGCTTTTTTCTGGGTTTTCGAGGCCGTAACCCTTATTTTCCCATAAAATAAGGAAAAAATTTTCATTTGTTGCTTTTATGTTCCAAATGAATTTTTGGTAAACCTTCTAGATTTTGGATCGCATAGTCATTATATTTTTTTGCTCTCGGCACGAAAACAATAATTTTGGCATTCCGTTTCAACCTTTTTTATTTTTCCAAAATTTCGGTTTTTGTAAAAACGGCGAATTTTGTCGAGGTAATTAGTTATGTTTCGAAATAGTACAGCATTTACTCTTTGTATTACTCATTTCCCCCTGAATTTTCGAAATTTTTCTCTACTACAATATAAATTTTATTTTACTCTTCATTTTCAGTGCCTTTTCCTTGGACTGCACGCACAATGGCGGATGGCAAGACCCTTCAACAACTCAAAATAAAGACTAATGTGCTAAAACGACTAATCAAAGAGTCCGAATTTTACAAGAAGGACGCGGAGAAGGAGAAGGCCAAAATCAAGGAATTGGAGGCCACGGATCCGAATGCCTATGAGTTGAAGAAGATGGACGAAGCTTATAGAGTAAGTATTTCTCTTTTTTTTTGTTGAATTTTAGGTTATTCCATCAAGGTTTGGGAATGCCGAATTTTTTCAGGAAACACTTCAAATGGTCCCAGTAGTTGAGCGAAAAATCCGTACAGCCCGCGACGAACTTGTCAGCTATATCAAGGAGAATGCGGACAGCGTCAACGGATCGGGTGAGCTTGAGCTGGCCAATGAGCAAATACAAGCAGCAGCCGGGTTTTGACTGCTCAATTCTTGTTTCCCAGCCTTTCGGCTACTACAATATCAGCGCCCTGAAAAACTAAAGCTTGTCCTCGGTATTTTTGGCTTCAGATCTCTTCTAACTTATGAATAAATTATTCTGAACCTGTGCAAAAAAATACAGTTTCTATTTATGGCAAAATTTTATATTATACAAGAGATATATATATATATATAATTTAACAATGAGACTTTAAAAGTGAGTACAATATAAATTTGAAATTACATTTAGCATAAAATAAATAATTCCTCGTGTTTGAGAGGTTCAAAATCAACAATAAAACCAAGTTTTTGGTCAAAGAAATCCTAATTATCCTTCATTTTCTTCGCTGTTATTTTGATTTTGGGAGCTTGGGCTGTCAAATCGGGAGCGCTAAAGATTTTGAGATATATTTTGTGCGACAAAACTTACTCCATTATGTTGATTATCATTTTGGTCGTCTTCAAACTTTCTCTTTCGTTCAGAACCATCATTATTTCCTTGTTGGTCACTCTCATTTTTTTGGTCAAATTTATTTACATACAAATCTATGGGAAGGCCTTCGAATTCGAAAGATTCAGTCTGAAATCATCAAAATAAATATAAATTTTAGCTAATGTCGCTATAAATTTTTTTTAAAATTTTTCTTACCATAGTGCAGATCTGAAATATTAACCTGAGAATATCGGCCATTCGATGGTAGACTTCTGTGGGGTCTCCTTCCATCAAAATTACGCAATGAAGAGGTGCATTGTAAGGGGAATCTCTGCTTCCGGCGCCTTTTTCGACACCAACACCACCTTTAGAGCCTTTTCCACAAATTTGAATTTTGCATTTGTACTTTTGAGTAATCGCGCGGAGGGTTTGACCGCGTTTCCCAAGCAGGCGGCCAACAACATTCTCCTAAAAATGGAATTATTAGAAAAAATTCGGAAATTTTGGCAAAAATTAAATTTTGATACTAAAATAATGTCTAAAATTAAGAATTTAAACCCTGGATGCAATTATTTAGCCATTTTCAATATAAAAATCCAAAAGAAAACGGAAAAAATCCCTCTGCGTCTGACGGGAATCGAACCCGTGTCGATTGCTTGGAAGGCAACCATGCTGACCATTACACCACAGACGCACGCTCCCTTTCCCTTTTCTTTTTGCGAACGCTTTGGCGGGAAGCGCACGCTGCGGGCGTAAACTTGCATTTTCTTGTCAAAATTCGGCAAAAATCAAACAAAAAAATTGCAGAGGATATCCTAAACTTCAAATAAAATAAAATTTCAAACTCTTACACCTCGTTTCGGCTCTGGCAAGAAGACTTTTTGCTCCAAACGGATGTAATCTGGGCTCCCGGCGCTGAAATCAATCCAATCCGTATTCCATTTACAGGCCAGCCGTTTTGTCTCTAAAAAATAAAAACGTAGGGATAAAATGGCGGAAAATCATGACGAAATATTACAAAAGATCCTATCAAATCCATTTTCTACGTAATTTTTAAAATCCTTACCATCAGTAAGAACTCGAAGAGATTCGGGCAATCGTTGATGTGTTTGATGGATATAAGCAATCTCAGCCTCGACATTATGGAGTGCAAGGGTCGGATCGGCAATAAATGGGCCAAATCTGGGGAGTTTGTAGGGGCAATTTTGAGGTTGATGAGGTGTCAAATACTAAAACTATCAATTTCTCGATTTCAAAGGTAAATTAGGCTGTAAAATAGGACTTAAAGAGGTCTAGACATGAAGTAAAATAATACTATAGGTAATAAATTAATTTAATTTCAAAATTTTTAGGTAAATCCTTCACAGAAATTTTGGTTATTACCTAAAATAATATAAATGACCTCAAAAAAGACAAGTTTTCCACATTGTTTACCTAAAATTCAACACAAAAAATGAAATACTTACCTCTTTTCGATTCTTTGGCGGTCGTCGCTGAGCCCCTTCTGATTGCTGTCCTTGTTCGTAAGTATCCTCATAGTCTTGCTGATATTGACCGCGCGGCTGATACGACTCCGCCATTGGTGTCTAAAAAAATACAAAAGTTTTACAAAATTACTGGAAAATAGCAAAAATGCAACCGATTCGATGCATTTTCTATAAATTTCAACAAAAATTTAGAGATAAAATATTTTCTGCACGATTAAACGAAATGCCAAAATTTGTGGCGAAGTGTGACAAAAAATATTGATTTTTCCAAATACGGATAATGAGGGCCGAAAGTATACAAATTTGTTACCTAGAGGTCATATTGCACTTTCCGTTTGATGTTCTAGGGTTTTCTTTGGATTGACATAAAAAAAATACCGTTTTCGAAATATTTCGGATCAAGATCTCCGTATTTACGTCTGGGTATTACCGAAACGTTTGTTGAGGATGTTCCAGTGGTCTGTAAAGATACCATATGTCAAGAAAAGTGAAAAAACCCTGAGTTCTTGTTATTTCATGTCTGGTTTCTCTTTGCCAAGGCCTTACTGAGAAGTCGCGACCTTTTTGGGACACAACTTACGTATTGCCTTTGTATCTTATCTTTTTTGATGCCGTTTTGTCGCTCCACAAATTCCAAACGATCTTATATCAATATAATTTAATCTTCCTTTCCAAAAATATTCATTTTGTAACAACAATGAACAATTATGAATCACAATGTAAATATATATATATATATTGATGGCATTAAATCTATGTTCAACATGGGAGATATTCGGTGAAGACAATTTGATATCGACGTTAGTTAAACTTCATTCTTAAGCACTGGGTTATTTCGGGGGGCGTGGGGACTAACAAAAAGTTGGGCTTTACAAAAAAGAATGGGACGAGGTTAACAAGGAGAAGGTAACAAATTTAACGAGATTTCTCAGAGAGCGATGTTTCTAGAGGGGAATTGAGAATTGAATACGATAAATGACTTCGCTGGGAAGCTGGAGACTAAGAGCAATAAGGCTGGGCGATCTCTACGAGCTCGTACAACTGGTCCGCAAAATGCCGGGTCGTCGCGGAAAAGAGCGCGTTTTCCCGACCCAAAAATGGTTTGGCTGCTTGGAAATGGGAGGATAAATGCACTTGCTGTTAGTGACTTCATAACAACATCAGAGGTAAATGCAAAACTTTACGAGAGAAACTACTTTTTTGTCAATTTCGAAATTTTTTCACTTTAGTCATCATGGATAATATAAAGAACAAAAAATCCCGGAAATTTGTCGAAAAATAGTCCGATATCTATGCGTATACGACGTAGAACCTAATATAGTTGTAAATACAAATGGAATTGTTACAGTATTTACATCAACCGGGCGGGAAAATGGGATCACTAGGGGAGGGGTCGAATATTTGGGTGGTCATGGTGAAGATCTGGTCGGATTACTTGGAGCGACGCTTCTTCTGTTGCTTCTTGATGTTGGCGACAATTGAGCGTAGATTCTCCATGTTCTGAAAAGCAAAAGGATTACAAATTATATTATATTTTTAATACTGTAGACAAAAAAATGGGGGGAAAACCGGATATTTTGCAAAAAATCCTATTTTCTCGCCAAAAATCGGCTTAATTTTGTTTTTAAACTACTTATGTACGAAGCTTATGCCACAATCCACCTACCAATTCCTTAGCCGAGCTTAGACATCGATCTCTGGTCTCGTGGCGGTCCGGTTTCTTCTCGGCATTCGTCAGCACAAACGGCGTGAAGTCGCGTTTCAATTTCCTTGGCTCGTTGAACTTGTTGAATACGTAGTTCGCTCGATTCGGCGGGTAATGACTTCCCACCGGCATCTTCGTGAAGGTCCGTTGAGTTTTGTCGATTTGGTATTCGCACACGAACACATCGTCCTCTTTGTAATAGGGCTCCTTCGGTCTTCCTTCGCTCCACGCCGAGGGTTCGAGAACGAGGCATCGGCCAACGACCGCATCCAACGGCAACGTGTTGAACAGAGGGGTCCAGAAGAGCTCGTTTTTGTGGAAAAGTCGGTTGGAATCGCAGAAGGTCTCATGAGGACGGGCATAATAGCATCCGAAGACGAACTTCTCCCCATTGGGGCCGGTAAAGAGACGTTCGATCCGGAAGCAGCGGAGATCACTCCGTCTCCACTCCTTCTTGTCCTGATGCTTGCTCTTGTACTCCTTGATGGGACTCCTCTTTTCATCGCTCTTTTTGCTCCGCTTTCTGGGAGTTTGGTCCAGAAGTTGCTTCAGAATCACCTTGTAGTCCTCGTTGATCTCCTTCTCCACGTAAACGGCTTCATTGATTCGAACCTGCAGACCCCGGTTGGTGACCAGAGTACGGTAGTAGGTGCAGTTGGGAAGTGTTTGATCCGGCTGAGGATTCAGGATGATGTCAACTTTGGGAGCGGATTTCAGCTTTTTGGAGCAGAAATCGCATTCGTAGTCGTCGCTGCTGTCTTTGTCGTAGCTGAGAATAAAAATAATTAATTTTGGAGGCAGTAAAAAGCATTTCTTTTTGGAATTCTTCAAAATTTTGCATTTAGATTTTGATAAAACTTGAAAAATTAAGCTTAAAATTGTATAAGATGTATCCGATCTCTACAGAAAAGTCATTTTTTTCACTTTCAAAACTTTTTTAGTCTACTTACTTAACGCAATCGGCATGTAGCCAGAATTTGCATCGATCGCATTCGACCATTTCCCCATCATCTTCGAACATTCCACAGATGCATCGAACACAATCACTGCTATCATTTTCGTTTCCTTCTTCCTCCATTCCGTTTTCGTTGATTTTGACAGCCTCCAAATCATTGTCATAACTCCCAACCGGGGCCAATCCCTTGTCCATATAGGTGAGATCGGCGTCCGCCGACAAAACACGTGTGTCCTGTCGCTTGGAGGCGGCGCCATTCAAGGAAGTGCGCTTGCGGTCTTCGCTGAAACTCTTGACCAACTCCTTGGCCGCGGCGCTCTTCTGATCCTCCATGTGTTTGGCCAGATCGCGGGTCTTCTTGATGTGCAGATAATGGGACTTCAACGACTCCATAGCGCGTCTCTCGCACGCTCCCTGCAACGTGTTGATCCAGGCCTTGATGGCATGGTCGAAGCATTGGATCAGCTCCAATTCATCGTCCTTGAGTTTGAAAACTTTTTGAATCTGCGTCTTCAGCTGGGAAATTCGCGATCTTTTCAGCTTCTCCTTGCTTTCTGCATGCTGCACAATGTCTTCGTAGATGTTGAGCAGAAATTCGAGGAGTTCCGAGGAGTCTTCAATCGAGATTCTGGTCGATTTCGTCGCCTTTCCCTTCACTTTCTTCAAGTTTCGAACCAAAAAGAGACGATTTTTGCGGACAATCTTCACCTCGTCCCGACTCAGCTTCTCCGGCTCCTGGAGGATGGGCCGCGGAGGCATCTGCGACGGTATAACGCCCTGGCAACGGGCCTCACCGCAGCGACACTCCTGTTCCGGCTCCATCCTCGCGAACAGCCGGTAGTCGTAGGTGAGTTCCTCTCCCTCTTCGATGGCCCGTTTCGCGAAAATTCCCAATCGATAATTCGCTCCCACCTGCCATCGTTGCATCTCGCAGTTGGGTTGGCACGAGTGGTTGATGAATCTCGCGATATTTCCCTTCTGTGTGGCGTCTACGACGAAATTCGGAGTCAGTTGGACACCGAATCTGGGCTGCTCCACCGACCTCAAAAGATGACGCATTTGATAGGCCTCCAATTTCATGACCTCGCCCACGTATTCGCACACAAATTGGCCGGGATTTATGTGCACGGTGGTCTTAATCCCACGACCGCGAGATGCCGTGTCAAACATTTGGAGTTGGTGGACCGCTTCGTTGCTCAGCATCCGACGATTTCGGCATTCGTAATGGATGGAACAGGTGGATTGGGTGCATTCAATGTTCAACGCTCGATGAGGACAGTTTCTGGTCAAACAAGCCGCTTCTGGCTCGCATTCACAGGCGTCGGGGTCCGACAATTTGGCTGGTTGGTCGATCATGACGTCTAAAATAAAGGATATTATTATTTTTTTATTTTGTTTGAAAATTAAATTTTGAGAAAATCCCATTTTTTTCAAAAAATTTCAATTTTTCAAAAAAAAAAAAATCCGAAATCGACCAAAAACTTACTGCACCGGATCTTGATGTACTCATCCTTGTTCATATTCTTTGATCTCTTCCGTTTTCGAACCATCGGCACCACATCCAGAGTATTTTCGGGATTAGGCTTGGAACTGGAAATAGAAAATGTTAGAAAAACCTTCTAGAACGGATTAAGCTTTTATCAGCGGATTAATTTGCCCGCACAGATGGTTCAGGAGATTTTTGTGCAGGTCAAAGAATTATTATTGCTAATTTTTGGAGTCTAAAATTCGATTTTTTTGAATTAAAACTGTGCAAAATCTTTGTGATTGCACGGTGCAAACAAATTTTTTGAATGCACAGTGCAAAATTTTTGTTACTGCACAGTGCGACAAAAGTTTTTTATTGCACAGTGCGAAAAATTTTTTGCTTGAACTGTGCGACAAAAATTTTTTGATTGCACAGTGCGACAAAAAATTTTTATTGCACTGTGCGAATTTTTGTCACTGCACGGTGCGACAAAAAACTTTTATTGCACTGTGAAAGTAAATTTTTTGAATGCACAGTGCAAACATTTTTTTATTGCACTGTGCGAAATTGTTGTCACTGCACGGTGCAGTCACCAAAAATTACTGCACGGTGCAACCAAAAATTTCACAGTGCAAAAATTTTTTTATTGCACGGTGCAATCAAAAAACTGAAAAAGAGAAAATAAAGTAATCTCGTATTTTACCCTCGTCTCCATCCCCTTACCTTTCAATTTTCTTTCCATCTTCCTCGATTCTCTTCCTTTTCCGTCCCCTTTTCTTGATCATCATTTCTTCTCCTCTCTCTTCACTTTGATGTCTCATTTTTCGTTTCAATTTCTCCTGATCCTCCCTCCTCTTTATACTTTTGAATGCAGATCGACTGCTTTCCGTGTAGGTATGTCGTCGTTTCATGTCCTCCTTTTTCATCGTCTTTATTTGAAAGTTTTCCCATTTCTGCGTGACTCGGCCCAACTTTCGATGCGGTTTCTTGGCCCTCTCCTCGATCCGCCTCCAATTTAGTTGACAAAACGCCGGCGTCAGTCGATAAATCGGTCGGAATTTGACTCTGCACCTGCTGAACTTGTCCGCCACCTCGTCGACCATCTTCTTCATGCGCAGGTTCAGCTTGTGGATCATGTTTCGGCGGTATTCTTTGATGCGTTTCCGGCGCAACGAGCCCGTTTCCTCGTGGTTCTCATTGTTCTCCTCTCTGACGTTGGAGTATCGCTCTTTTTTGTGCTGAATCGGCTTGATTTGGAGGTCGTGCAGCGCCTCCGAGTTGGTCGTATCTTTGATGGTGGACTTGGAACGTTCGGCCGACGGCTTCGTGATCTGCATAAAGGACTTTTCGAACTCTTGGATCTGCAAAGAACAGGTGATTAGAAGGGGAATTTTGATTGAAAAAGTATTTTTATTTTTAGTTAGGGCTGTTTAAGTATTTACAAATCAAAATTTACTGGTTTGAAAGGTTAATTGAATTGATTAAGAGGAAAACTGCCTGAGGCAAAATGATGAGATATTAATTAATTTTTTTTTTTCAAAATGGAGACATGATTTTTACAAGATATTTGAGCCATTTTTAGACCGCGTTTTGCAGAAATAAAAATAATTTTTTGCTAAATACAACCAAAAATATTTTTCTCTGATCTCTCTGCCTTTTCCATAATCTCTCGTCTAATTCTCTTCCCAAAATTTTTCAAAATAAAAATTATTAGTAAAAAACCCTAATTGCACATTTTCATCCAAAAATAACAATCACAAGACCTTGAGACTTATACTTTATGGCCCCGATTTCGAAAATTTATTATGCTCCTCTTCGAAAGATTCTAATCCACTCGAGGAGGAGGGCATTATCATGGGAACCGAGTTGTTTATCGGACTTTCGGATGAGATTTCGTAGACGGAACAAAATTTCTTTGAAAAAAGGTCAATGGGAATATTGTAGTAGACAAAAGAATGTAATGTAGTTGAGGGGAAAATTGAGATTTTTTGGGGGTAAAAATAAGAGAATGTGGGCTCGGAAAAAATGTGAAAATTTTCTTGAAAAAAAACTTTTTCTAAAAATAAGAAAAAATTTTTTTTACAGCGCAAAGAATTATTCAAATATTGCAAAAAAAATTGAAAAAAATCACAGTACATAAAAATGAAAAATCAAATTTTTTTCAATTCGAAAATTCGAAAGTCAAAAATTTTTCGCACTGTGCAAAAAAAATTCAAACTTAATTCCCGCACTGTGCGAAACCCCAAGAAACTGACATCAACATTCTCACGAAATTTTTATTTCCTCGAAAAAAACACCCTCAAAAACGCATAACGACATTTCTGCGCCCTTGTTCCCACCCTTTTCCCTCGCCTAAATTGACGTGTAAACCAATGGAAAAGAAAGGTATTTAATAACCGAAAACCTAATTAATCCGCAGATTAGACCGAGAAGGGAGAACGCCAGAGGGGCGAACACCGCCGGCCACGCCCTCCCAATGTCATGGGAGGGTTTCGAATTTCCATAGAAACAAGAAACGAACGTTACGAAGAGCCGGGCCGGGGATTGTAAACAAACCCGAGAGTACGGCGGCCAGGTGTAAAATCCCAAGGAATTGAATGTAATGGGCTTAAGAGGAGAGGAGTGCAGATATGTTAAGTGGGAAGTCGTAAGAGGATAGAGGGCATTTAGAATGCAGGATGACGAAATTTGGAGTGAACTCCGATTTGGAGGATAATTTTGGAAATCGTGACAAAACTCGGCAAAAAATTGGAAAAAAATGTCCAAAAAAGAAATCATCATGCTTCACAGAGACTAGACAATACAATGAAAGCCAAAAACTGGCTATTTAGATATTCTAAATAAGAAATTTTTAGCTTAAAGTTGAACGAAAAGTATCAAAAGTCATCAAAATTAAAAATGGGTATAAATGAAAAAATTATGCAAATTTTCGAGTAAAAATTTGCAGTGTTATGGACCAAACCTCATTACAGCATATTCCGATCAAAGCCTATCCATTTTTTACATTGCCCAAAAGTTACGATCACTTTTCCACATCTCTGCTCTAGTGTAATATCCCAAATTCAAATAGCTGTCCACAGCAAAGTTCGAGACTTTCGAACTCTGCCTTCTCCCGCAATCTAAGCCCAAGATAACCCTGATGACAGCGAAATTACTCGCGGCCATATCATCCGCCAAATTGGGGCGAAAACGGACGGCGAAATCGGCCGGCTTTTCGTAATCCCCGGACCCTCTTTGTGCCGACGGATGTCAACAAGGAAAGTAAGTGGCGGATGGCTCATCCGGTGCGTAATTCCGCCACACACAATCCACCATGTTATGATACGACGACATTTAAAAATGAGACGGAGATTTGGCCGAAAAATTGGAGGAGAAAAAGTCGGCCAAATTCGGCTTGAAATACGATGCCCCCACATTTTCGGAGGTATTAAACCCATAGCCCGCGGGGCCTGAAACGAAATCTGCGAGCATGACATTTCACGGCGACCGCGGAAATTGGAACGCTAGTGCCAGAAAAAAGGTTCGAAGCGGGGAGGGCCGAGCGGCCGAAAAAATGGCGTTCACATGTTCGTTTGCTCAGAATTTACTTCTCATAAACACGACAGAATTAGGAATTTAAAAGGGCACGTTTCAAGGTATCAGTTGATAGAACGTAGCATGAGAAGGATTATGAGAAAACGCGATAAATGCGGGGAAAAATACGAGGGCATAAAACTCAAGTTCAGCTTGGGTTTTTTGGATAAAAAAGATGTCGCAAAAGTTTTTAGAGGCTCAAAAGATATGTAAAATGCCCGAAAATGCCATTTTTATGATTTTTCTTTGATGCTATGCAAATTTTCATATTCAATTTTTCGACAAAAGATTATGCGGATTTCCGAAAACAACTAACTTCTCTCATTTTTTTGGCTCCAAAATGATAAATTTTATAAAAAACAACTACATGTATTATGTGCTACATACAATTTTCAGACAAAAAGTAACAATTTTTTGTAGGAAATCCCTCAAATTTGTCGCCAAATTACGCATCTTACGTCTCCATTCAATTAAAAACTCTTTGTTTCGGCCGCGAAAAAGCGAACACCAAATTACTGGCAAAGGGCATTGTGCGTCTGTGGTTTCATTCCTTCCACTCGCATCACGTGAGCAGATGGAAAAACAAAACAAAAAATGGGAAGGGGGCGCCACGATCCATCAACGGGCTGTGGTTTCGAAACGGGCCCCCCTTCCACCTTTTTGCACACTTCTTTTCGGGCGAGCGAGTTGTTTACGTTCGCTGGGAAGGGGCGGATCAGGTAATGTGACAAAGAATGGAGGAAAGAACGGTCGGAAAAAACATCTGGTTGCCATTTTCGATGGGTTTTTGAAGGTGAGAAAACAGGGATGAGTAATATGGCACAGAACGGGGAGAAAGTTCAATTTCGGAAGGGAAGAGAAGGTAAAATACGCGTCCCAAAAACATCTTATGCTTATTAAGACACAAGAGATTTGATTGATTCGTAAAAAATAAAATTTTCCAAAATTCAGAGAGGCATAACCTTATTTTAGCCACTGGTCAACTATTTAAAAAAATCTTTAGTTTTTCCAGTAAATTCAAGGAAAATATCAAGACCTTTACTATCGATAATAAAGAATGGGCCATAAGACATAATGGAGGAACAATTTTTTCTCCGAAAAATAAAAATTGAGACCAAAGTGACCTTATATTAGACAAACGATGACATTAATTTTCTTTTGTTTTTCAAGAAAAGTCCAAGAAAAAATCGAATCTTTTCTGCATCTAGTGGAAAGAAGGAGCTATCAGGCATAATTAAAAACGATTTTTTACATAAAAAATAGAAATTTTGCTCAAAATGACCTAATATTTTACTAGACCCTACTATAATATAATTTGATGTCTAAATTAATATAAGATAGCTACGAATTTGAAACCAACCTTTTCTTGAGGCCAATGGTCCTTCAGTTTGCTGATAATTTCATTTGGCCCCATTGTGGCCAAGAACTGGAAGACGTCTTCGTTCATTGAGGAGCTTGGCCTCGCCGACGCTGATCTCGACCTATTCGAGTTCGGACTCGAATCCAGGATCGGGGCTTCGGCTTCGGTGGACGGGCCTGGTCGATTCGTCAAGCCGGTCTCTTCATCTGCCCGAATCAGCGTTGGCATATCCGATAAATCGGCGTGCTGATCCGCTACATTCGTTTGGATTTCGCTGATCTCTGGCGCACAAGGCTGATTCGAGAGGGGCGGCAACATGGACGATGCTGAAGGCGGCTGATGCGCTGGAGTGGGTTCGGCGGGGTCGTAGGGCAACGCCTGCACCGAGAACGCCTCCCCACTCAAGGGCGGGGTGAATGCCATCGAGGGCGGGGACCCGTCGATGGATTGGATGCCCGAGTCCGGAGAAGTGGAGACCTGTTGTTGGACCTGATGGATTCGTTGATGCGGATGCTGTACCGGCGCCTGCCATTGATTGTAATATCCGTTGTTCTGGTAGGACGTTGATGGGTAGACATTACAGTCGTAGGGGGCGTTGTAATGGTGGATTGGAGGGTTTATTGAGGGGTTGGGATGCATGGAAGGGCCCATCGATGGGTTCATTTGTGTATTCATCGATGTGCTGGGGAGGGGTTGCACTGAAAAGAAAATTTTTGGTGCTTTTAGGTATGAAATTTCAAAATTTTTGATTTTTTTATGCATTTTCAAAATTTCAAAAAAATACGTCATCATGACATATTTTTTGGATTTTTTTTCAATCAATAATTTGTTTTGAAGACTTCAAAAAATGTAAAATACGCTGCTCATTTTTAGTATTTATTTTTCTTCGACCTACTTTGTGACGTGCCAGCCGTCTGCATGTTGCAATGCTGATAGTATCCCTCATATCCGCCGTAGTATCCATGCGCATTCGTGTTCGGCATGGGCATTCCTTGGCCTCCCAAGTACTCTTCCGTGTTGATTCCCCCATTCGTGGGCATCAATTCGTTCATTTCAATCGAATTCAGATCCTCCTGAAGATCGTTCATCCGATACGAAGTGGAGGGCATGTTGGGGAGGGGCGCGGCACTGGTCGAGGGCTCAATGACTGGGCATTTCTGAAATGAGGAGAGGGTAAAAAACGAATCGTGAAATTTCGTGGTTTTTTTGATTTTATACGATTTTTTTTGTGATTTTTACAATTTTTTGGCCAAAAATTAAGGAAAAATGGAAAGTTTAGGAAAAAAAATAAAATTTGGTTTACACTCGGGGTAAAACACGGGCCGGCAAGTCAAAATATTGCTGAAATTTGATAGATTTTGATACTTTTTTGCAAAAATTTTTATGAAAACCCGAAATTTTGACTTAAAAACGAAAAAATAATCAAAAATAATACGTGTTTATACTATGCGAAACACTTTCCCGCAAGCGGAGCGCCGAACTACCAAGATCTTTTTAAAAGTTTTTTACATATTTTTTGTAAAAAAATAAATTTTTCATTAAAATCCCCCTTTGCTATAGCCAAACCATCTCCTCAAAAATTGTAAAACCCCATCCCAGACTATGTTTGCAAATTTTTGTAGTTTAAACCCATTATCCATCGAGATCCGGGGGATTTTCCTAATCCCGCAATAACAAGTCTACTTTTTTAATAATCCCGCTGTAAAGTAGCCTACTATTTACTACGAACCATTGAATAAAAAGTTAAAAGGACAAATTCAGTTCCAAAATTTAATCCGTCGTCGTAGTAACGCCGAAACTAAACGATCTTCGAAGCGAAAACCCAAATTTTTGGGGAGAAACAAAAAACGATTAACTGATAAGCGAAACAAAAACAAAAAATCCCCTTTTCGGGGCTTTGTCACTCTTAATTTCTTTTCGGTTTTTTCGTCGAAACACTGATATAAATGATGGAAACAGAAAGGCGAACTTTGAGTGAGAGTTGTTACAACTCAGCGCCACGTAAACAAGTCAATCAGTGGCGAGAAACGGGCCAAAAAACGTGAACTTCATGAGGGTTCGGGAGAGAAATAAGGTTCAGTTTGTGGGGAGAAAGTGGTGTGAATGGAAGATTTGGTTAATGGTACAAACAGTCAGCTCCGTATTTTACAAAATATATATTTTTTTTATTTGAGATTTTTTTAATTGTAAAAAATAGAAAAGCCAAAAATTTAATATTTTTTTATAAAAAAATAGTAAAAAAAGTAAACAAAAAAGAAATAAATATTTTTTAGCAATTTATTTATTAGGCCTAGGCAAATAAAAATAAAAAAAAATCTAATGGGAAAAATTTAAAAAAATCGATGAAAAATAGTTATTTTTAGTTTTTATTTTTTATTACTGCTTTTTTAATAATTTTTAATCACGACAAAAATAAAAAAACTCTAAAAATTCGTTTCAATTTTTTCTGTATTTTTTTGATTCCAATGTCAAACATGGACCCAAAGACTAATTTTAGACCCACGAATAGTTTCTGATTTTTATCTGCACCTTTTATATCACTCCTTTTCCTTTAATCCCCCCAATACATCATGAACAACATCCCAGAATCCTTAAACACCATTTCCAATCCGAACTTTTTATCCGAGTACGTGTACATCCCAACAAAATAACACGAAAACTACAGGGTGCGCCAAAAATATTGGGACAAAAATCAATTCCGTGTAGCTTTTTTCAGCAGGCCTTGGAATCAAAACTTTTGGCCGTTTTAGCAAAGGTAACGGTCTTGCTATACGGCAACGGTAATGCCAGGGTTGAGGCCTATTGCAAACTTGAAAAAATATTCAAAAGTTTTTGGGGGACCAAAATTTTCTTTTCAAATGGATGACCGGGAAATCAATTTGGCCATTATTTCCGCTAAGGGAAAGTAAGATCCTTCAAATTTATTGTGTTTAAAGCACATGCTATTCACTTCGTAACAACGTATGTAATCATGGTTGACGACCGATATGGCGGCGCTGGTCGAAAAAACAAAAAAAAATCCCGAAAGTTTGGATTTTTATGTCTTTAACGATCTCAATACCACAGTATCGCCCGTGTTGCTCTAAAATTTTGTGTTTATAGAGTGTGTACATAGGGAATTGTCATACTGTAAAAGAAAATCTACACCTACACAGGGACAGTTCCTGTATGGAAAAAACTTTATGGTGCGGATTGGAGGCACGGTCCTTCGAAGCTTGATATATTTTGGCAGTTTACTACAAGTTGAAAAGTACTTGAGCGTAAACATCGACGTAACGCTGTACTCGGGATACATGTTGACAAAACTGAATTACATTTAGCGATCTTCAGTCCAAGCTCACTTGACGAGCAACCTTAGAGTAAATTCTACCGCTGTAGTCACTATTTCATCCCCCAGAGGCAGAAGATAAAAAAATAATTTTTCAAAGACGACTAGTCAGACTCTCGTTGTCCTTATAAAAGTATCTCTGATGCCTAGTACGCTGGGAACCTTACGTCGAAACTTCTACATAAAAATATTTGATCTTACGAAGTTTTCTGGAAAACGGCGCGTTTTTAGGCCGGCTTTGACGAGCTGTAAAAGATGAAATCGTCATTATAAGTAAAAATCATTTTTAGTGTATAAAAAGCGACCGCTACTCTGTCATATAAAGTGAATTTCTGCCATAGCATGCAACGGTAAAACTAGTGTTTCCAATTTTTATCCATTTTGGGGTCCGTGTCTCAGGGGCCTTAGTTGTGAGCACTTATAATGGCAGAACAGGTGTCGTATACGACTACTCTGCCTGAAACTTTGAAGATAGATTCTTGGGAGCATTGCACGTTTGCACAAGTGACCACTTTGCTCTTGTACCATTACAGCCCGCAGGGCAAGTAAAAATATGAGTCCCAATATTTTTGGCGCACCCTGTATAGTCGTCTAGGTTTTCTTCTCGGCTAAAAATATCGTGTAAAGCAACCAAAAATACCTCCGAAAAAGGCATTTATAATCGCATTAGGCCCGAGAGGAGCGAAACTATACGAATTCTTGGGACACCGAGACAAATATAACACTCCAAAGTGTAATTGAGCCAAATGTTAAATAGTACGAGTGTTACAATTTTAGCTTTTGGCGGGAAAATAAAAAAATGAGCCAAAAGAAAAAAAAAATGTTTTTGATTTTAAAAAATATTTATTGCAGCTAGAAAAATTTTAAAAAAACGCTAAGCATTCTTTCTACGACATTGAAATTAACCAAAAATGCAAAAAATTTTGTAATTTTTGAAAAATTCCAAAATTAAAAAAAAAGCCTAAATTGCCACAGGCACGTATATTCGATTTTCCTCAAACTAGGCCTATTTACTCTAAATAGGCCATGAATTAACTGCTTTAAATTTTAACCCATTCTTTGCAAGCTCAGCCGAGATATTCAACTATCTTTGAAGACGAGAGACAAAAGAAAATGAGGAGTCGGACAGAGAAAAAACATTTTCGGTTATATCTTTTTGAATTCAGCTTTGGGAAAATAGATTTTCTGCAGAAATATTGTAGTTTACACTCTGATGCGAACGTCAACTTTGTTTTTCGAAAATCATCCATTTTTTAAATTTTACATAGTAAATTTTCGGTAAAAAATCGAATTTTTTTTTCAAAAATTGTAAAAAAATAACTACTCTACTTCCTTGTTATTTAATTTCGTCACTTTTTCTCAATTTCCCCTCCAAATCCTCCTAATTTCCCAGACCTGCCCTTTAATTTCTATTTTCGCCCACAAAAGCAGGCTAAAAATACGAACAAAAGACGCTTGCCCGAGGCTGTGTACAGATATACAATCTAAATTTAGTCGTGCTTCCCTCTGCGGGCACCTGCATTCCCTTGCACAACCAATGCTCTTAATTTTTGATGTTTTAAACGTTGAAGTAAGATGAAAGGTTAACCCAATTAACATACATAAGGCGTCATTTTGGAGTTGAATTCAAAGTTTGGCCAAAAAAGTTTGGAGATAAACAGAAAATGTCACATGCCCGAGGGGTTTACATTAATTTTTGATCCATGCCAAGAGGAAATGAGCAATTTTTCGAGGCGAAAAGTTGAAAAGTTTGATAAAAATTTGGAAAATGATGACAAAAAAAAGGGTAAAAACTTAAAATAAGGTTGAATAAAGTGCAGAAGAATGAAATCTATATGATGTATTAAAACAATCAACGCTTTTTGTAGGCCACCAGCATATTTGTTTTACAAAAAATAGGGCAAATCGAATGTTTTCGAAAAAAAATTTTTTGATAAGGCACGACTAGAAATGCGAATTTCTCAAAGTTCAGCATTCAGATTTTGAAAATACCTATAGAATAATTATTATGATGATAATTAGAATAATCTTGCAAAATTTGAAGAGAATCTGATGGTTATCCATTATGCAATTCACTTTTTAAAATTTTGGTCTAAAATAACCTAAAATAATATAAAAATATTATTTTTGCCGCGAAACGGAAGACCTATGCTTTTTTAATAGCAATATTCCGATTTTTCATAGTATAATCCAATTCATTACACCTCATTCATATAAATTACGGCCTTAATTTGCCCAAAACAGGCCAAATTCCACCTGTTTTCCCACTAATTTGGTCCTATTTTTCTTCACAATCTCCATTATGTCATTCCGAAATTTCTAATTGAGGAAGTGGGCCAAAAAAACATCAATACTTCCCCCTCAATTATTCATTCTCTCAGCCAAAAAAGGGATTAGCCCGCGGGGCGTAAACATGTGTATAAATGCGACATTAACAAAATGTAAAGGGTAAACAGCGCTAAATTTGGCCAAAAACTATTAAAAAATCTTGTTTTGGGTTCAAAAATTATTCTCCACATGACACCACGACCTTAGCTGTTTGATTACTAGTAATTTTAGAAGTAGTCTTTTTCGGGATAAGGACTGTTTTTTCGGGATTTTTTGTGGAATTTTCCCGACTTTTCCGAACCAAAAACCACTAGAAATAATGTACAAGATTTCGCAAAATCCCATACACAATTCGGGCCAAAAATAGACGCACAACTCCAAAATTAGACACTCTTCTTAATTAAGGGGAATATCGAGACATTGTTTGGTATTTACAACTGGCAATAATTGAAAGTGTGAGACGGGGGAAGTAAAAAAAATTGTTTTTAACAAAAACCAGACATATAATTGTAATTGGAAAGTGAACTTTTATCAATTTCATTAACAAAAGATCTAACTTTTAGCCTTGCTCATTAAAATTTAAGCCTGAAAATTATGTCATAACCATATAATCTGAGCTATATTATAGTTAAATTAACAGCCAAAAACAAAATGACTTTTTAATCCGAAACATGTAAAGTACCAGGAATGAAATTAAACAAGCGATGAAGATGGGAAAAGGCGGAGAGATTGACATCATATCCTGGCCAAAACAGCGGCCGAAAAAACGTTTAGAAGGAGATTTGGGGGGTCTCATTTAATATTAATTATCGTCTAACGCGTAAACAGGAGCAAATTTATGTTTACATTTTTAAGAAGCGAGGGAAAAAATTAATTTTAAAAAAGCTGTTCTTTGAAAAAAAATTATGGAAAATTGCAAATAAAAAACGAAAAAATTGGTAAAACACACGATTTCAAATTTTCAATGATTTTTTTATCTCTAAAAATTAAATAGTTCCTCATCGGTTTATGACCCCTTAATAATGATTATATTGAGGTTTTCAGCAAAAGCCCACACGAAAACTACGTGATGATTCGTATTATAATAAAAACAACAGAAATTATTAAGAAAAAGTATGGTTAAACTATTTTTTGGTAAAATACGTACACCTGTTTGTTGCGAATTATATTACATGGAAAAAATTTTTAAAAAAATATTCGAAAATTCGCAAAAACCTTTGAAATTATTGTAAGAAACGCCTGTAGCTAAAATATTGCTAAAAAATGACTGGTTGACACACCAAAATTAATCTCCAATACTTCAAATTAATTTTCCTACAGCCATTAACACTTCAAGTTTATTTCGAAACTAATTTCCCACCTCTAATCAACTTCCCCTTTTTTCAGAGTGCGAAACAGAAGGCGAGTAACTTTCCCGATTACTGCCTTCAGGTTTTTACACTTTTCCGTACAATTATAATCCAATTAGTGACTACATTTCGCAGCTGACGTACAAGTCCAAAAAACTTTTTGTTTGCCAAAACCTCGAGGTGAGGAAGGGATGTAATATTGTTGGAGACTGCATAAACAGAAAAGTAATCCGTTAAAAGGACGGGATTGGAATTGGAAGAGAGAGGTTTTGCAAAGTATACGGATTGATTTTGGATTTTAAAAGTTAAAAAAAAAAATCGAAAAAATTTTAAAATTTAAAGAAATTCTGCATAACGCGGCCAAAAAAATTAATGTTTTTTTAAAGCGTACATTTATTTTTTTAATAAAATTTTTTGAAATATAAAATGAATAAATCATTTTTTTTCTTGACTTTTCTGCATAACGCGGTTTACAAATTCCAAAAAAAGTTCCCAAAAAAAATTCTCAAAAACTTCCTCAACAAGTTTCCAGCCAAATCTCTCCACTTTCGATCATCAAATCCCAAAGAAAATCCAGAAAATTCTCCGGAAATCTCCCAAGATTAATACCCACCCGGATTCCAACCTTTCTGGCCTTTAAAAGTCTCAGAGAACTGGATTTTTGCTCGCCGTTTTCTCGAAATCTTCTTCTTACTTAATCCCCCTGTTTACAGATTATCATGTGAAATTGGTCGGGATTCGACGTAAACCCGGAGGGAAAAAGTTTCAAAAAAATAATTTCAGCGGGCTCTTTCATTAGAATTAATTTTGGGAGTGCGTCAAAACACGAAAACAAGACAATAAAAAAATATATTATACTATTGTATTTACACTATGATAGAGGTCAAAGTTATCTAGATTTTATCAATTTAAAATTTGAATATTGCCTTAAAAAGTCTTCAAAACCAACCTGAGGTCCATTTTTGCTGTTTGTCTTTGGTTTCACCGCAATTTGGCCGTTATTTACACTTGTCGCGACCCCATTCGTAGTTGTGATACTGCTCGCAGGGATCAAGGCCACCTTCCCATTCGAGGCCAAGATCTGTTTGTTGGCGCCGGCTGGGACTAACGCCTTGAATGCGGGCTTCAACTGAAGAGTCTTTGGGGCTGAAATCGGCTGAACTGGCTGAACTGCCGATGCTGGGACTGAGCCGACTGGAGTGAGCTTCATCGTTGAGGGAATGGATGAAGCTGGTATTGAGGAGGGGATCAGATGAGATTGCGAAGGCTGAAAGGGTAAAATACGGTGTATTTAAGTTGGAATGGATTTTCTTGAAATTTGAGGAAGTAAAGAATTTTTCGAATTTTTAACGGTGGATGAAAACTACACAATGTACACCGTTAGATACAACAAGAAACAAGCTTCAAAACTATATATAATACTATTCTATCGACCAAAGATTTCGGGTCTATCAAGCCGATATTGTACTTGACTAAAAATTACGGATTGATGTAAAAAAAATTCAAATATCTCAAGGTAGAGCAATAATTATAAGTGGATAACATATCGTTATAAAGGGTAATGAATAAACTTTCTAATGATACTAAAGGCTTTATCTTCAAGTTCTCCTAATTTTCAAAAAAATCGAAAAATGAAAACCACCCAAAATTTCCTTTGATTTTCTTTGGTTTGATGACGAAAACGACTATTATATTGCTAAAGACCACCTAGACTGGCATGTAGAACATGTTCTTGACCCTATCACAACGTATATCTGCCCCAAAAATCATGTTTTGACCAAAAATTTTCCCTAAACTTCCAGAAACTCCAAAAAATTTCCACAAACTCACATTTTTCACCGGGCTCTGCTGCAAATTGACTGGCCCACCGCTTGTTGAGGTCGATGGAGCACTGACAACCTGGCCAGGGCCATTCGAGCCGGACGGTCGTATAATAAAGCCCCATTTTGGGGCCTCTTTTCCCGTCTCATCGCGGCTCTTAAACATGCACGGGACCGCTTCGAAGCTCATTTTTTTGGTACACTCGGTACTTGTGGACACTGTTGTGGGTTGATTCGCTGTTTTATCTTTGGGTTTGTGGTTGCAAAGTTCAGTAGAATCTCCGGTTTTTAGTGGGATTTGTTCGGTATTTCCTGGAGTTTAGGTCTTGGCGCATTCCAGCTGAATGACGTCAGTTTGAGGAAGTTTACCGCAGGCGATTTGAAGGGGGAAAATTTGGAAAAAGTTGGGGGAATTTGGGTGGGAAGTGGCTGAAGTGAGTTTGGCTGTAATTTGTCTGAAAAAATTGGGGGATTTTAGTTTGAAAAAAAATAAATTTTGAAAAATACGCAAAGTCTCGGTAAAAAAAATAAAAATTAAACACAAAATATTTTTTATTTTGAATACACGGCGCGGTAGAGAAAATTAGAAAAAAAAGCTTTTTCCGCACAGTGCGGTCGAAAAAATCGAAAAATACAAAAATCAAAAAAGAAAAAGAAATATTGTAAAATACGTGTAGTAGAGTTAAAAAATGCACTGTGCAAAAATAAACATATTTTTCCGCACAGTGCGGTCGAAAAAATCGAAAAATACAAAAATAAAAAAATGTAAAAAGTACATAAAAATTGTAAAAATTTTTCAAATCAAGTTCCAAAATGCACAGTGCAAAATTTTCAAAAAATTTTTTTCTTCACACCGTGCAAAAAAACCAAAAAATCTCAAAAAAATCCCTCGTCATTCCTCCCCATTAAACTAATAAAAACAATACACGAAAAGCACTCATTTCCCGTCCAAATGACGTTTCTCCACCTACACCTAATTAGATTTCATATTTCGCGCCATTTATGGAATTTTTGCGTTTGCAGAAGGCGATAACAAAAAACTTTTCTCATGACATTTACGATGAAATTTGAAAGGGGAAAACAAAAAGTTTGTTGTTGAGTTTGGTGGCTAGCAAAAGTTTGATGATTTTTTTGTAGAAAAATCGGAAAAAAGTTTATGAAAAATCCCTAAAATACAACATTTTTCGGAATTTTCAAAATGAAAAATTAGATCTTCTTCAAAATGCGATACGAGAGTTTCCATAAAAAGAAAAATTTTCACTCACAAAGACACATACTAAAACTTGGTTTTTTCTAACTGTCTCTCCTCATCTTCAACAGTCTTTCTTCTTTAAAGGCCGTTAATGTCAAAGCCGTGCTCAGACTCCTCAGGTAAAATTTTAAAAAATCTGACATCTGTACTCTAACTATTCGTTTTTCAAAAAAATCGTAAAATCTGTTTATAGCAATTTATTAAATTTTCGAATGCTATTGACATTAAATTTGATCGATGTATCGGCTCGTATTTTATCTTAAAAAGCCATTAAAAAGTATCAAAACCCCTCAAAACTGATTAAAGATCCCAAAGATTACCAAAACAACCCCCACAATATGACGTAACATGCAAATTCTGTTGAAATTCCCGACAAAACGCCCCTCTCCTTCTCGCATAAATAATGTAAAGGGCGCAAAAAACAAAAGCCTCGAATAAATATAATTCCGAAAGTTTTGGTGGTGCTTCCCCTCCGCGTAACGTGTCCGCGGGTGCGTCTCTTTTCGCCTTTTTTGGGCCGCCGCTATCGATTTGTTTTCCGCTGTTTTTATGGCCACCTTATATGGCCCCAACCCAAAAAAGATATGACAAATTTTGGGGGGAAGGGATTGGGTTGAAAAAAGGGGTCCAAAAACTTGGAAATGCCCATAAAAGGAGGGGAAAGTGCACGGAGCGCGCAGAACCGCAGGGATAATTGACTCTTGCCGGACATTAGAGAGGATGGATGATGCTTGAAAATGGGAAAAAAGTTCGCAAATAAATAAAAATCAAAAACCGAAAACCCGGCCAAAAATCATCCAATTACTGGAGAAAGTTCTTTAAAAAAATATCCAAAATTGTGATAAAAAATGGGAAAAATGTCGATTAGAATTTTCGGGGCCATTTTTGAGATATTTAGGCCAAAAACCAAAGATTTTTAGGGAAAAAACTCAAACAATTTTTTTCAAATTTCCCTATAAAATTCATAAAAAATACTTGCAGAATCCCATAAAAAATCTTCTGGCAGTACAAAAATCTTGCTAGTATTACAAAAAAAACGTAAGCAGTCTCCCCGAAAATTAGTTAAATTGAGTGCCCGCGATCAAAGATAAAGTCCCAATATCAGATTTATAATAAAATCCGCTTTTTGGGGATTAGAACGCCAAAACAATGATGTTGGTGGGAAATGGTGACAAACTCAGGCCGCTGACGCGGTAATCCAAGATTAGACAGAGTTAATGTGAGATCAAATTTGGCTAGGAAACTACACTGGAACCTCTGTACAAGGAACCTAAAAAAATTTAGTTGTTATAAAGAATTTAGTTATGACTTCCCGAACGGACTTGTATTAGGTTGGACGGAAAGTTCGTACGATTTTTTACTGCTGCTACTTTTTCTTGCGCTGATGGAAAAAGACAAACACAAATATATGGTATTGGTAGGGGACAGGCATCCCTATCTGGCAGTACAACCCTCAGCCATCTTAAGCATGTACGAACTGAGAACTTAATTTAGACATTTACCCATCTTTGGTCTACAAGTAGAGATCCTTAGCTGGTTTGTTTAATACAGTGAGGGACGGGATCCAATGGCAAAAAACGTCGGCTTTTGCATCCCGGAAGGGGCCAAAATGACTCCAAAACCTTCCCTTCTCCAAGCTATAAAACCCCGATTTGAAGAGCCCGCCTTGAAGGAAAGGGCGCGCTTTTCAAAGCGGAGTTTTTTAGCTTAGAGAAAGGAAGGGTTTGGAGACATTTTGGCCCCTTCCGGGATGCAAAAGCAGACGTTTTTTGCCATTGGATCAGGTCCCTCACTGTAAGACATAATAAGAAACTGTTTTGGCACTGCTAAAAAGCTTTCTTTTGATGCTCTTAATATGCGTGAAGTAGTCGGGGATTAAATCAAAACATAGCCAGAAAACTTGACTTTAGCAACACCCACCAAGTTTGAATATGATTTACAACAGTCGCTTGCCGATGTATTCCTATGGGTTTAACTATGATACGCCAAAACTAATGACACTCCCTTACACTTAGCTACCCGTCCTTAGCCAATTGTTTTACTGCGTAACATGACAGAACTCAATGATTTATTTTTCAAAAACTCGCTTGTGAACTATCGGAGCAATTCGTAAAATTCAAAAAACAGCTCAAAGCAGTTTTCTAATCCTCCTTTTCTAGGGTGGAAAATGGAGCCTCTGTCTCGTTCTACTACTTTATAAAGCAATGGGTAACCATTGTTAATTGTCAGCAAATCACACGCATTTCTCTAGAGCTATATATTTGTGGCAATTTTGCCTCTTTACGCCTAACCCGAAGCGTCTACGATCCGGGTTATTCATGTAGCACGTAAAGGGCTACCCGTGTGCCTCACTGAACCCTGTTATACGGACAGACCATCAGCAATGCGTGGAGTAATAAAAAAACTTTTTCAAGCGGGGCGTTTTCTGAAGATTTGGTTGAAACAATAGCTATTATTTTATCCCACAGACTTTTTTAAGAGTTTTAACTGTGGTTAACATAGTCGGATAGACTACTAGAAATAGCCTAAAAAGTTTCAGAGCTTCAGCAAAAACGGTTTGGAAACTAGAGCTTGCATTCCGCACCCCACCCGAAACTACCCCAAAGCGGAGGACCTCTTATAATTATGTTCGTTTTGGTCGAGCTAAGGACTGGGACATATCACATAAATCTGCACGCTGTACTCTTGTATATACTAGGTATCTACGGTGGACAGTCGGTCGCGGCGTAAAAAAAATTAATTTCAAAGTTGGGTAGCAAATCGTACGAACTTTCCAACCTAATAAATTCGTAATAACTCCAAGAAAGGGCAAAACCATTGATGTTTGACAATAACAAAGTGTGTTTTTTTATTACCCGGAAGCTAGAATCTTCATTTTTGAGTGCTCAATGACGTAGAAAAACAACAAATAAAAAGTGCAATTTTTTTGCTAATCTTTTATTCATGTTTTGCGTAAATTATTAGTATATATCGTAGCAAAATACGTAGGCTATATTTATATAATTACAACGTGAATTAGTTTAAACTACTTTTTCTTTCCAAAAAGTTTACAACAAACCGACAAAACATTGTAAAAAATTTAATGAAAAAGTAAAATGTAAAACAAAGAAAACTCTATCATTAAATTCACACCCAAAAAACGACATTTTAAAAAAATTTGTTTAATATCTCAAAAATCCTACATGAATAATGTTATGCAAATCCTTTTTTACTGCCTTCTTTTGTCATCATTTTGTACATCAAAAATTAATCTTTCGTAATCCCAACAAAACTAGTCCAAAAATTTGCATAAACCCACCATTTGACCAGTTAATTTAAGCGGAGGGAAATCGAAAAAAAACATGACCCGGAAGATGGGTAATTTAATTTAAAGTTGGGAAATGGAGTGCCGATTATGTTAATGGCAAGGCAATGTGTGAAAAAATAGAAATTAATGGGTACAAAGTAAAGTAAAAAGAGAGAAACTGGGGTCAAAATTGATAAAAAAGAAGAGGCGAGTAGTATTATTGGTATCTTATTGGTAGTAACTGTAAGAATGAAATGCAAAGTACAGCCCCGATCTGACATAATAATTGCAATAATTTCTATTTAAATCAACCTTTCTACTATTAACTCAAAAAAATGAACTTTACACCAAAACCCCCACAAAAATCCCCTCTAATTCATCGGTTTACAACGATAATTACAACCCAATCCCGCCCGCCATAATGTGCAATTAATTGCATAAAGATAAGCCGAAACGAAACCCTCGAAAAGCCCGAGCCGAAAGCTGTTAAAGGAGTCGGGAAATTCGCCCAAAATGGTTAAATGGTGTTTGAAAGAAAGCCGAATTAATGGTGCATTTCGAATTAAAAACATATCGAAAAGAAGAAGAAAGGGGGGAATCAAAAAAAAGGGAATTGAGAGAGCGACACACACACCATTCCCCCCTTCCCTTC